GATTCCTTACATCATTCATACAAAGAGAAGTACACACATTCCTGTAATCCCGTCTAAAAATACTAGTAGTTTGTACTTATGTTGGTGAAAAGAAATCAACTTATTAAAAGAGTATCCGACAGCCATTTGACAGTGAGATTCTTAGGCCTCCATGACACCCGATCCCACCTGTGATATTTTAGATCTGTGTTTGCTCTGCTCATAATTTATAATATAATATAGTTTCAATGGACTCAAGAGTTTGGTTATTGTGCACTGTCTTCATATTTCACAGAGAGAAAGATTATTGTCATTTAAAAACAAGAGGCCCAGAGGCCACAGCGCTCACCTGAGCACATCGGGCTTGAATTTACTAACCCCCCCCCCTTCCAGGCGTTCATCATTTGAACAAACTAGAATCTACACTACCTGAGGATGATTCCATATAAATATCACTAATCATAGCTCTGAAGTACTTGAAAAGAAGATTTTAAAAGGTTTCCCTATATATCCCTATGTAAAACTTGGGTCGGCCATTTTGGTCCCACCCTATCCCCAGGGCCGGGGGTCATGATTTTAACAAACTTGAATCTGCACTACCTGAGGATGATTCGACATGAGTTTCATCTTTCCTGGCCCGGTTCTTTAGAAGAAGATTTTTAAAGATTTTTCCTATATATTCCTATGAAAAACTTAGGTCGGCCATTTTGGCCCCACCCTTGCCGCCCCAGGGGTCATGATTTGAACAAACTTGAATCTACACTACCTGAGGATGATTCCACATGAGTTTCATCTTTCCTGTCCTAGTGGTTCTTGAGGAGAAGATTTTTAAAGATTTTTCTTATATACTCCTATGTAAAACTGGGTCGGCCATTTTGGCCCCACCCTTGCCCCGGGGGTCATGATTTGAACAAACTTGAATCTACACTACCTGAGGATGATTCCACTTGAGTTTCATCTTTCCTGGCCCAGTGGTTCTGGAGAAGAAGATTTTTAAAGCTTTTCCTATGTATTCCTATGTAAAACTTGGGTCGGCCATTTTGGCCCCACCCTTGCCCCGGGGGTCATGATTTTAACAAATTTGAATCTACACTACCTGAGGATGATTCCATATGAGTTTCATCTTTCCTGGCCCAGTGGTTCTGGAGAAGAAGATTTTTAAAGATTTTTCCTATATATTCCTATGTAAAACTTGGGTCGGCCATTTTGGCCCCATCCTTGCCCCGGGGGTCATGATTTGAACAAACTTGAATCTACACTACCTGAGGATGATTCCACATGATTTCATCTTTCCTGGTCCAGTGGTTCTGGAGAAGAAGATTTTTAAAGATTTTTCCTATATATTCCTATGTAAAACTTGGGTCGGCCATTTTGGCCCCACCCTTGCCCCGGGGGTCATGATTTGAACAAACTTGAATCTACACTACCTGAGGATGATTCCACATGAGTTTCATCTTTGCTGGCCCAGCGGTTCTGGAGAAGAAGATTTTTTAAAATGCCATTAATTTTTAACAAATTCATGATTATCTCCCCTTGGAAAAGGGCGTGGCCCTCCATTTGAACAAACTTGAATCCCCTTCACCCAAGGATATTTTGTGCCAAGTTTGGTTGAAATTGGCCCAGTGGTTCTGGAGAAGAAGATGAAAATGTGAAAAGTTTACAACAACGACAACGACTACGACGAAAACAACGACAGACAACGGACAAATTTTGATCAGAAAAGCTCATTTGAGCCTTCGGCTCAGGTGAGCTAAAAAAGAAGTGAGTGTTGGGATAAAAAGATATGCAGCAATATACAAAACCTGACTTTGAGATACCTTTATATTTTAAATACCAGTGGTATTTTTAGCTCTTCTGAGCCAAAGGCTCAAAGAGCTAATGCTATGGCCATTTGTGTGGTGTGCGTCGTGCGGTGTGCGTTAACGTTTTAGAATATGGGCCATAACTCAAGAATCCCTTGGCCAATCATTGTCAAATTTGTCACAGGGTATCCTTGGCCCAAGGGCTACCTTTTGTACTAAAACTAGGGTTGGGACCCTAAAACAAGGGGAGATAATCAGGAAAATGAAACCAAAAGTACTGGTTGCTAAAAAATCTTCTTCTCCAGAACCACCAGGCAGATTTTCACCAAACTTACATATAAGGGTCAGGATATGTTGAAGATTGAAAATTGTTCAAGGCATGACCCTGGGGCAAAGGGTGTGGTCTCAAGGTCACTTCAAAGTTAACCAAAATTTACAATTAATAAAAACGTTGATATTTTGCTTACTATAAAGACTAGGATCATCAAATCTTATAAGTTGATGCATCTTAAGACTTCACATAATGTTAACACAAAAGTAGGTCATGGTGACCTACTTTTTAAATTTTACAGACTTTTGTTTTCAAGTTGATTTGGAGGCATATTTTGGACACTTTAAGGCCTATGATCATTAAATTTGGTCAGTTGATGCATCTTGGGTCTTCGAACAACGTCAACTTAAAAGTAGATCACCGTGACCTACTTTTTGAACCTTATGACTAATCCTTTCTAAAACATTTAATCCCATTTTTTGAGACACTGAGAGGTTTAGAATCATTAAATCTTGTACTTTGATGCATCTTGGGAATTTAAAAAATATTTATGAAAAAGTAGGTCACTGTAACCTACTTTTTGAATTTTGTAGGCATTTGTTTTCAAATTGTTTAAAAGACATATTTTGATTACCTTCAGACTAACGATCATCAAACTTTGTCAGTAGATGCATCTTTGGACTTTGAAAAATGTCGACCAAAATGTAGGTCACGATGACCTACTTTCAACATTTTATGGATAGATTTAAGTATCCTAGGTATTTATTGGCTTAGAATCATTAAATTTTGTGAGTCGATGCATCTTGGGTTTTCAGAGAGTGACACCAAAAACTAGGTCACAGTGACCTTCTTTTGACATTTTATGGCTTTATTTAAGTATCTCCGTTACTTATTGGCTTAGACTCATCAAACTTTGTCAGTTGATGCATCCTGGGTTGTCGGAAAGTGACGACCAAAAATTAGGTCACTGTGACCTACTTTTGCGGTTTTGTGGTTATATTTAAGTATCTCTGGTACTTATTGACGTAAAATCATCAAACTTTGTTAGTTGATGCATCTTGGGTTTTGGAGATTGTCGACCAAAAAGAAGGTCACGGTGACCTACTTTCGACATTTTATGGCTATATCTCAGGCACTTATTGGCTTAGAATAATCAAACTTTGTCAGTTGAGGCATCTTGGGTTTTAGGTGAATGTCGATCAAAAAGTAGGTCACGGTGACCTACTTTTGAATATCTCAGGTACTTAATAGCTTAGAATCATCCAATTTTGTCAATTTAGGCATCTTGCGTTTTCGAGAACTTCGACCAAAATGTAGGTCACTCTGACCTACATTTTATGGCTATAATTAATTATATCTGGTACTTATTGGCTTAGAATCTTAAACTTTGTCAATTAATGTATCTTGAGTCATCAGAAAATTTCAAACAAAAGGTGGGTCACTTTGACCTACTTATGGTATTTTATAATTATATTATAATATTTTCAGTCTTAACTGGCTAAATATTTTCAGCCTTTGTCAGTTGATGCATTTTGGGTCTTATGATACTAATAGAGTTGGAGGCTTCTAATAGAAGTGATAGATTGTACAATTTATCAGAAGAGCGATTCAAGGCCCTTGGGCCTCTTGTATATAACTAAATGAAATTTTACAGTAAAAATCAATTTAAGACATGGGGATGTAAGTATCGGGGTATCTAAAATTATGTTGATAATATTTGATTAGATATTTGAGAATTTATAGGAGTGATGACATTACTTTGGAATCAAAGTGAAGACAAAGAACAGGATTGATCTAAAGAAATTTACATACAAATATGTAAACAGGGCATAAAATTCGGGCCCCCTGAAATTCCAGAGGTGGAATAAGGTGCCATGGAGGAGTAAATAGCTTCTGTTTACTGGTCACACCCGGTGAACCCTGTGTACAGATCAAATAGATGGAGTATTCAGTAGTCAAATTTTGTATAAAAGCATGAGATGAAACATATAACAGCCAAAACAGCAAAAACAAAGTGTGATCAAATCATGGCCTTTGGTGCTAGCATGGGGTTAAAATAGGCATTCAAAATTTTCATCAAAATATAAGGAAATTGTTTTTAAAATTGGACTACCCAATGTATATTAAATCTGATTGAGGTAAGTATTGATTCAAATGTGTTGAAGTTTTTGCAATTGGGATTAGGATAAAACTAACAAGAGAATAAAATTTTCCATAATACAGGTATAAACATGGAAATTTTTGAAAGAGCAAGATCACATTACTATCCAGTTCCAGTATATCTTTAAATGTGGCAGAGGGAATGTGAATACTGCTGTGTGCATCTGTAGAAAAACTATATATCCATAGCCTATAAACCCTAGGCCTCGATAGCTAGCAAGGGACATGGGAAAACAAAATGCCTCTAGCTTCAAGTGTATAAAATCATATTCAATTTCTGAACCAAAAGGTGTGAAACAAAACATTTCTTTGGAAAATTAATCTATGGTAAAAAAAAAGAGTAATATTCCCATTTCCTTGGAATTTTAATTCAAAGGGGAAAAATACCTTGAGCATTAGTATTTTCTTAGAGACTTGTATGTCGACCATTACACTGAGATGGTTTCATTTTAGACCCCCTTTTTAGTGGTATGAACCTTGAATAAATGGATTTTAAAAAATACCAACGTCGAGGCATAAAATTGTATTTGAAGGTAAAGTATGCCCTTATGTCATCTTTCTGTTAAAAATGCATATTATGTCAAATCTCACCAAAGCTTTATTTCACCTGTTTAAGAAATGATGTTCATTTTGGTCTGATTTGTTCTACTTCTTTATGATCTCCCAATTCTCTGTTATAATTTTGATTGTTAGTGAAAATTCAAACCAATAAAGATCTTTGTAGCTGGCAAATAAAAAAATAAACATTATAAATGATAAATCAACATTTTCATTCTCAAAGACAAAAATATCAAAAGACTTTATTTCAATTCCCATCAGCAAATAAAAAATAATCTTTATAATAATACCTTTCCATGTATAAATCTGCATTGTTAAAATTGGATGCTGCAAGGAATTTACAAAGAAATATTTAAGTTACATGTACATTAATTCTTTAAAATGCAATAAAAAAGTCCCAAAATAAATCAGTTCACATTGCACTTTTTTAAATGCTCTGTTGATATTTCAGGAAACTATTTAGATATTACAGAATTTTTAAACAGATTGAATGAAACAATGTCATCAAAATACTTGATTTCAGATTTATACTGTGTACCAGATGATTTGGAAATCAATTTTGGTATAAAATTTCATATAGCACCAATTTTTGGCCTTGGAAATTCAACAGCTTATGTAATGTGTGCATTATTCTATACAACTGAGTGAACAATGCAATTGACAAAGATATGTAAACAGACAAAGTACATATTGCAATTATTGAGATATGCGAGTTACATATTAACACTTGAACCTTATTGGTGCAATAAAAATATCTTTTTAGGCCATAAAAACAATCTCCCATAACAAATAAATTACAAATTTTGAAATCTGTATATAAATATCACATTGACATGAGTAATGGTACAACTTTGTGGCATATCTGATAATAAACAAAAACAATAATCTGATAATAAGAAACAAAAACATTACTTATTCAGTAAAAATTCTCAAATTAAGTGACTGTATAACCCATCTCACACATGATAAAAAATAGCCACCATAGACTCCTCTTAATTATTGACCAGAGTAAAAAAAAAATTCAGAAAAAAAAAACATCCAGTAGTAGTGACTGTTACATATTTTGACACAGGCAATAAATTAATGAGTTCAGGGTCCATACCACAATGAATAATACAATTTCTTGATGTCTTTGACAATGGTAAGCTGTTTTTTCTCCTTAGTTTTCAGTCCCATGCCATTATCTGATTTCTGATCGATTTTTCACTCCTATGATGATCAATTTTCCGTCTCTCAGACCAGCGAAGATGTGGCTGTTGCTATTGGTGATGGCCAATGAATGAACAGGGACATGGAGTGGCAGGACTGTTAGTTGTCTGAGTCTTAAAATAACAAGAACGATCAACATAAAGCAAAACTTTACTAGTTGAAAGCATACACTAATGCCTATTTATTATTCAGAGTGGTATTTTTTGCATAATTATGATAAACATTGCAAAGTAATTAAGCACACATCAGCATGTAAAAAACTAAAATCAGATCATTTTCCACTGTTGTGGAATAAAATAACATAATTGATAATGACACATGATATAAAATTCTGTTCCTACCCAAACGTTTCCCAGATGCAGAGTTGACCCTGATTGTCGCCTGTGATCAGGTGATCTTCCACATTGATCACATGACCCAGCCCCTGACTCAGTCTCTCAGTACACAGGTGCTGTCCATTGATGGAGAAGAGATGGAGGGAGAACCTCTCCTGTTAAAAAATACTATGAAAGATAGATCACACATAAAGCTAAACCTGATTACCTCAGCTGCAATGGGACCAAGAAACCTTCAAGATACATGTATTTGAAGGTTTGATATGTTATGGTTAGAAAACAATGAGAATGAATCACATCATTTTGACATACCCATGGTATTTGAGATAGCAGAGTTTGAGATACTGAAGTTCTACTGTATATGAATTGTTTCAGAAAGCTTCAAACAACATGTGTTCATTTACTCATTACTACAGGTTGTATGAAGATTATACATTTTACCTTTGGTTCTATAGGCAATGTCTCATGGCAGTACAACACAATACGTCCCATATCATCCATTACCATGTGGGGGATATTTAACGTGTATCCCATAGTGCACGGCGGACGGAGGGTCCTCATGTAGTGTCCTCTACGAACGGTGTGTATAATCACAGTGCCATCCTGACAGTACAAAAGTTATCATTACCATTGAATTTATTTAACATTCCTTAAGACTAACACCTCCAAAATTTGAGAAAACAATGCATGATTTAAATTTATCAAACATTAAAGCATGCCCTCTCTATAAATTGATTGATTATGTAAATTAGCAACCTTTGAGGCTGACACAGCCGTATCGAGCTCCACAGAGATCTGGACAGCGGTCACCTCAGCATCATGTCCATACAATGTCTGAAGTCTCTTTGGGTTCACATAGCTGCTGTATCCTCCCTTAAATAAATCATACATTTCTCTACCACAAACACTTTAGATCAAATTTAATACATCTCAAATAAAGATACCAGTAGTTAACAATAAATCAAACACAGGTATCAAATAGCATTGACATAAAACAAATTGATTTCCTTTAAATAATTAAAATAATATTGAATTGATCATTAGAATCATACAAGGCCCCACTGTAAATAACCTTGACCTTTTGACTTTGACCTTACCTGCATGACCACTTCCCACACAATGCAGGAAGTATCCGCGGACCCAGTAATCAGCTGTCGTCCACAGTGATCCAAGGCCAGACAGGTCACCACATCTGTAATGTTCAAGCAATATGAAACTTATTACCTGTATATAAGATCTTTAATAATACATGTAATAATCTTTTGTAAATCTCTTAGATGGTCAAGACTTAAAACTCAAAGACTGTCAATATTTTTCAAAGTAACTAATATTAATTATATTGACTCTTTCTTTAAATAGAGAAATAGAGAGATTCTTTTTTACTGAATATAACAACATAATTTCAGTTGTTTTTTGACCCCTGCTGAAAGTGGGGGATATTAATTTTGGTGTGTCTGTCCCTCTGTCTGTCTGTAGTTCTATTTATCTGTAACACTTTCATTTCCAAGCAATATCTTTTGAAGCCTTTGAGCTTTTGCAATTAGGTTTTACACAATAACTTCCTATACCCTAAGGAAGATCCCTATTAATTTTGAGGTCAAAAGGTCAAGGTCATAAATTCAAAAATTTTGTCTGTTTTAACACTTTTGTTTCCACATGAAATCTCGAGAAGCCTTTGAGCTTTCGCAATGACATTTTATACCACAACTCCCTATAGCCCAAGGAAGACTGCTCTTTATTTTAAATTCAAAAGGTCAAGGTCATAAATTCATACATTATGTGTGTTTGTAAAACTTTCGTTTCTGGGCTATATCTCAAAAAGCTTTTGATTTTTTGCAATTAAATTTTATACCATAACTCCCTATGGCTCTTCCTGCCCCCCTTGAAGCCCCCCCCCCCCCCCCCCCCCCCCCCCCCCCCCCCCCCCCCCCCCCCCCCCCCCCCCCCCCCCCGCCCAAGTTCATCGCATTATCTACTTTTTTCCTTAAGTAGGGAGCAATGATTCCCCAATTAGCCTGTTTTTTTTAGCTGAGGGTTAATTATCATTGTACATATATGTAATGACACTGTATATAAAGTCAAACTTGCCACTAGTCACTAGTAATTAACATCATTAAAAATAAAGTTGATGTCAGGTGATCTCTGATTTAATACATGTACCTATATGTTGTATGATGTGGTTGACTTTCTTCCCCTTTCCCAGGTGATACACCTGTAAACTATTGTCCCAGTGACCAACACTGAATAGGAGCTTGGCATCATGGGATACCATAAAAAGCTTGGAGTCCACTTTTAGATTCGGTGAAAAGGGACAAGGCATTCTTCTTTTACTTCTATAAATAAAAATTAAAATATTCATAAAAACAATAAATACAAACAAATGTTTGCAAATCAGTGAAAAATAAAGGGATATTCAAAAGACACATCAATTTAAGATTTAGAAACAAAGTAAATTAGAGCAATTTGTATCAAATAAAAGCCTGAAATTCAATGGTTTTATGCCATACTTTGGGTTGCTGAGAGCTGGGTCCTTTTCAAATGTGAAGTAGTTAGAGATGGATTTATCATAGGGCAGCCAGCCATGTAGACCGATAATTCCACTCTCAGAGATTGTCACCTGGAAATAAGTCAACAGAACTCAGCAATACACAGCATATCTATCTTAGATGTTACAGTACTATGTGGAAAAGGTAAGGGTAACCAGAAGTCTCTGTCGAGACTTAAGCTCTACTGGTTTTTACTTAAGAAAAGTAGCAGTTGGGAATTGAAACTTTACAACAGCAATAAATAGAATAATGATCCTTGATTATAAGTCTCTTTATGTTCTTAGTGTAGTCTACTTGCATGCCACATTATATTATAATCAGACTAAAACTGTGTTTGGGGTGGTATTTTACAGAAATTTCTATCTTTAGTAATCAAGGCAATAATGTTCATCAAAATCAAAAAATGATAAATAGAATTGTGTATTGTATCTTAGTGTAGTCTTAACTTCTGTGCAAAATTATACTGAAATCAGAACAAAACTAGGAGGAGTAGTGTTTTGAAGTATATCATAGAAAGTTCTATGTTTAGTAACCATGGCAACATCATTCATAAGAATCAAAAAACCGATAAACTGAATTATGAATCTTAGTGTAGTCTACCTGTGTGCCAAGTTAAATTGAAATCAGACCAAAACTGTAGGAAGAGTAGCATTTTGAAACAATTTCACACAAATTTCTATTTTTAGTAACCATGGCAACATCGTTCATCAAATCAAAAACCAATACACAGAATAGTGTAACTTAGTGTATTCTACTTGTATGCCAATGTTATATTGAAATCAGACCAAAACTGTAGGAGGAGTAGCATTTTGAAACAATTTCACAGAAATTTTACTTTTAGAAACCGAGGCAACACTGTTCATCGAAATCAAAAACCAATACAAAGAATTATGTATCTTAGTGTAGTCTACTTGTGTGCCAAGTTATATTGAAATCAGTCCACAACTGTAGGAGAAGTAACAATTTTAAACAATTTCACAGAAATTTCTATTTTTAATAACCATAACAACATCGTTCATCGAAATCAAAAACCGATACAGAGAATTATGTATCTCGGTGTAGTCTACTTGTGTACCAAGTTATATTGAAATCAGACTAAAACTGTAGGAGGAGTAGCATTTTGAAAAATTGTTTACAGACAGACAGATGGACAGCTAGGCGGACGGACGCCAGAAGCATTACTATCACATAAGCTCTTCTGGTCTCTGACCAGTAGAGCTAAAGACATGGCATTTGAAATTTTAGTAAACTTTAAGTAAGAAAGTTTACCATAGTATCAGCCATTCCATGCTGTATGATGGACCTCGCTTGACTTCTAGGGACGGAAATGTACACCAGAGGATCAGTTTCCTGGGAAACCTGTACACAATATTTTTTTGGTAATTTATATAAATTCAAAACAAAGTAACATATGTCTAAACCCACAGTTATTGGTTTTTGTGAGTTAGTCTGAATGTAAACACTGACCTCCACAAAGAAAACCTTGAGCTGATGGAGAAAATCAAACACACACAGGGGGCGGTCAGCTTTGATGGCCTTCAGGGCCACTTCTTCCATTGTCATTCTTCTAGGATGGGCCTCCTGAAATATACGACAGAAAAAAATGTGCATTCATTTTTCAAAATAAAATGGAACAAATACCGGTAAGTACAATGTAGCTCTTTCACATGTCTTAACTGTTTAACTTCATAAAGTGAGGTGCGTTTCTTTCAGTCATGTGTAATAAGCTCACGCAAAATTCCCTCCCATTCCATATTACACTGCCTCGTAAGTTCACACAGAATTCCCTTCCATTCCATGCTATATTTTCTCACCTTCAGAAGCTGACAGGGAGTCTGTCCAAAGTTGTTGATCATCCCCTCTATAGCCTTCCTCTCTTTGTCATCCTTCACAGCATCCAAGTCAACAGCACCTGTAACCACAAGGAGCAGGTAACTCAGAATAACACTTACAGCATTACAAGACTGTAAAATTACTACTACATTGAATGTATAATCCAATTATTTTAATACCTACTGAAATGTTAGGTATACATGAGATGCAAGATAAAATACTGTAAATGTATTACATTTGGCGTGTATGATATTTGGCGGAAATTCAATTTTCAACAAGTTAGCGTAGATTTGATTTAGCGCTGTCTGAAGTTGCTAGTTAAAAAGTTAATATACAAGACATTTAGCGATGTACTTGAATTAGCGGACAATACTTTCTGCCAAAATCGCTTAATAGAATACTAAATGTAATACGTTTACAGTACATCATAGTAAGTAATACAGTAAAACTCGTTTAGTACGAACACGGATATAGCGAATTCACAGACATAACAAAGTTTTTCTGGGTCCCCGGCAAAATTCTTAACAAATCTTTGTATAATTTTACGGTTATAACGAACTCTGATATAATGAATTTACAGATATAGCGAACTGATTTTGAGTCCCGTTGAGGTTAAATATAATAAAATTTACATCTTTTATAATGACTTTAAAGATTATAAAAAATGATAAATTGAACTAACTTTATTTCCTTTTAGCATTTGTATAGACCATTCAATTCATAATAAAACCTTAGTTATCCAAGATATGTTTTGTAATATTTGCTTCCCTAACATATTTGGTAGTAATACTTGAAGGAAAACATGCACATTGCGAATTCGCTATAATGGTTAAACGAATTCATTATACAAATATAGAGAATTACGGATATAGCGAATTAAATTCACAGGTCCCAAGGACTTCGCTATAACTGAGTTTTACTGTACAACAGACAAAAGGGCTTTTAACACTTTACAACTTACAAAATTGTATGCAAAATAAACTGAATCCTCACGTCACAGAAATATTACGTTACCATTTCCCTGCAAGCACTTTCTAAAGTTTAGTGTAAATAATGTCATGACGTAATATTTTAATTAGAAAATAATTTTTCTTATTTTATGAGATTATGCAAGAATGAAATGGTTGGAATTTGGCAATAAATTGAAGATTTAATGAACTTTTTAAAGTGCATGAAAATGTGTGATTGTGGGGAAACGGTAAATGCGTGATTTTTTGTCAGAAATAGGAAATGGTATATGCGTTAAAATGCGTGACTGCTGGGAAGGGGGTTAAATGCTTATGTCACCTAAGCCCTGCTCTTCTTCAGAAAGTTATTTTAAAAAGATTTTTCTCTTAGTATTTTAATAATTATTTGGACTGTATATTATGGTCCCATCCTAGAATTTGCCATGACACTCAGTTAAAAATCTTATTCTGGGTCATAACACAAATGCATCTTTACAGCACATCAGCAAACGTTTTACAAAAAACTTTAGAATTTCTTATATATCTCAACTCTCAACTATAAATTAGGCTCTGGACAAGAAATCAACATTTGTTCAAGTGATCATGATTTAAGTCAAAGACTTGATTTTAGTCATAAGCAACAATTATGCCATAAGTGAGCTCCTATGGTGTGAAAAGCCCCATAACACATTAAAAGGTAGGCAAAGAAATGGAGATTGTGAATCTACCCTCATAAATGAGGGAACAAAACAAGTATCTTTATATACATGTATATAACTTAGTAATAAAATATTCAGCATTCCAGAATGCCTCAAAATTTCATTGTTAAAAGACTTTACAACAGGTTAATTTTGCAAACTGAATTTTTTTTAAATCAAATTAATCCTTCCAAGAAAGCATCAAAATTTCTTCATTGACCTAATTAAATTTTTTATTTTTGTGATTCTTTTGATGTTGCTGGTATACTATAATTTTTTTTTGACTACTGTAAGATTTTTTATAATGTTGAGTTATAATATAAAACAATAAATTTTTTGTAAAATTTGGAAAACCAAAGAAATTAACTAACCACAGAATAGGTGAAAGAAGGAATAATAAAAAAATCTTTTGTAACTATTGCAATAAAGTCATGCAGAGTTATATGAAGGTAAACTCAATTTTACTTCATAAAAAAAATAGACAGAAATGTATAATTTTTTAGTTTGAAATACTAAAAAAAGACTTAATATTAAATATGCTGAAAAATTTGAGTAACTTTTAGTAAATGCTTCAGCTGACATTACCAGAATCTAAGAAGTCATCATCTTCTATAAAAACAAGATATATTTTTGAAACAATGCTCTTACTACTCCATACTTAAAGTATTTGTCAGAGGCAAAATCTGTATGAACATAGATTACTTAATACATGTATACTGGCTTCAAAGCAATATTTTTCTCTTCTTCAAAATGAGCATTTCATAATTTTTTTACCATTCTTTACATTGATGTACTTTATTGACTAAAACTGTAAGGAAACAAGAGGCCCACGGGCCTTATAGGTCACCTGAGTATTGTGTAACAACTTTCAAACAATTAAATTTCGTGTTTTAAACCAGAGGCGATGAAATTCACAATTCACAATTTTGAAAGAGGCACCATTGTTTATCATAATTATTAACTTAGCATGCTTACTCTATTTACTTAATACCCAGAGGTAGATCGGAGTAACAAAGAGAAAATGTACTTCCACTTTATACCCAGTTGTGCACCTCACCCCAAAGGAGCCACTGACCCAGGGGCCACATATTTCAAAATTTTGCAAATTTTATCATAAAATGGTTTATTAATACCAAAGAGCAGATTTCAAAGCATTAATTTATTTTCAGACTATGTAACCCCCGACCCAGGGGGCATTTAAAAAAACACTTTGCTAGATGCACCTTTCTTCATCATAAATATATATACTTGGATCATTGGCATAAAACCCGGAAGCAAAAGAAAATATTTTCAAAAAATTATTGTATTTTTACTATATAATCAATAGAGCCCCACCCTAACTCCAGAACCCATGACCCTGGGGCCATAAAATTCACAATTTTGGAAAAGGCACTCTTTCTCATCATAACTATGTGCTTTGTTAGTTTATTTAATACCCAGAAGCAAAGAAGAAGATTTTCAAAGATTAAATGCATTTTCACTATATAATCCATAGAGCCCCGCCCTAACACCAGAACCTCTGACCCTGGGGCCATAAAATTCACAAATCTGGAAGAGGCACTCTTGCTCATCATTACTATCTACTTATTTACCGGGTAGTTTATTTAATACCCAGATGTAGAGAAGAACATTCTCAAAGAATTAATGCATTTTCACTATATAATCAATAGAGCCCCCCCCCCCCTTACACCAGAACCCCTGACCCTAGGGCCATAAAATTCACAATTTTGGAAAAGGTACTCTTGCTTATCATTACTGTGTGCTTAGTTACTTTATTTAATACTCAGAAGCTGAGAAGAAGATTTTCAAAGAATAAATGCATTTTCACCATATAATCAATAGAGCCCCGCCCTAACACCAGAACCCCCGACCCTCGGGCCATAAAATTCACAATTTTGGAAAAGGCACTCTTGCTCATCATTACTATGTTCTTAGTTAGTTTATTTAATACCCAGAAGCAGAGAAGAAGATGTTCAAAGATTAATTGCATTTTCACTATATAATCTATAGAGCCCCACCCTAACACCAGAACCCCTGACCCTGGGGCCATAAAGTTCACAAATCTGGAAGAGGCACTCTTGCTCATCATTACTATCTACTTGGTTAGTTTATTAAATACCCAGAAGCAGAGAAGAAGATTCTCAAAGAATTAATGCATTTTCACTATATAATCAATAGAGTCCCACATTAACACCAGAACCCCTGACCCTGGGGCCATAAAATTCACAAATCTGAAAGGGGCACTCTTGCTCATCATAACTATGTGCTTAGTTAGTTTATTTAATACTCAGAAGCTGAGAAGAAGATTTTCAAAGAATAAATGCATTTTCACTACATAATCAATAGAGCCCCGCCCTAACACCTGAACCCCTGACCCTGGGGCCATAAAATTCACAAATCTTAAAGAGGCACTCTTGCTCATCATAACTATGTATTTAGTTAGTTTATTTAATACCCAGTAGCAGAGAAGATTTTCAAAGAAATAATGCATTTTCACTGTATAATCTATATAGCCCCGCCCTAGCACTAGTACCCCTGACCCTGGGGCCATGAATTTCACAATTTTGGTAGAGGACTCAATGCTCATTACATTCATGCCAAAAGTTTGCTTGCTTGATGTCCGGGAGTAAAGAAGATTTTTAAAGATTGCACTAATTTTAGTGGTTTTGGCCCCACCCCTCAGGCCCAGGGGGGTGGGGACCATGAAATTCACAATTTTTGTTCCTCTTCACCCATAGATGCTCTATACCAAATTTGGTTGAAATTGGTTCAGTGGTTTTAGAGAAGAAGCTGAAAATGTTCAAATGTTAACACACGACGCACGACGACGGACGAAAACAGATAGCAATAGGTCACCTGAGTTACTCAGGTGACCTAAAAAGTGAATACTTGTATGCTCAACTTTACTAAATATGAAACATTCCATGCTGACTTTTAAAACTATTTGTGCAATTTCTGTTGTGTAAACACTTGTGACATCAATGTCAGGCAGGTTAAATTTACCGTTCATGATGAAATGACAATCAGACAGTGTCAACCTTAGAGATCTTGTACCACTGACTACCCGGTGACTATGACTCACCTTCGTAAGTACAGTAGTAGAAGACATTGAGCGCCTCCACGGCCGCGGGTCCCTTCTGTTTGTATCCGAATATCAGATCTATCCAGTTGTGGAGGTTGGCCGAGACGTAGTCTGACTCCAGGGCCTTCCTGTGTTTGTAGATAAAGTCCTCCGGAGACTTGGCCCACTTAGGGAGGATCACGTGATTGACCCGCTCCTTACAACCTTGAAGCTTACCAAGGTCAAAATCTGTCAGAAAAAATAGGACTCCATATCTTGTTAAGATTAACTAGCATTCACTCAAGAAACCCAATATCAGGGGAAGGTAACTAGATAACAACTTTCTCTCTCTCCATACTACTCAACAAATGATAACAAAAAACCCTAGTGTTTATTTATTGAATACTTATAGCTATATGAATCTCTGTTAATTTACAGGACTCCTGAAAAGGACGTAACTAAAGCATGATGCATGTCTTACTTCAGTATAAATTCATAGAAACACCAGATACTGTAAACCAACTTTTATTTGCGACAACTTTATTTTGCGACTTACCAGGGATAAACTAGTTCGCGACGATTTATTTTCACGATCAAGCCTATTTTGGATCTGTATTTAATAGGCACACAGACTTTAAGGACCGGTTCACGGCGAGAAATATTCGCAATATAAGAGCTCCTGCGAACTTCGTGAAAATTTCTCGCACATGAATAAAAGTTGGTTTACAGTACTTTACACTGTCTTTCTTGGGATGAGGGGTAATATAAGAATCCACAAACCATTGGTATTGACAAGAAACTCTGGGAGATAGAAGAATTCTGGGATCAGCTCCTTCACGTCATTAGGATTGTCCATCAGGGATTGCCAGGTAGCTGGGATAGAGTGGAACTGTCGGTCAGCTACGTCAAACCTAGTAAGAAATATCACATATAACACACACAGTCTGTCCACTATGTAAAACCATAGTGATACATAGCATTCAAATAAATCACAGGCAGGTTTCAGCCCACCATGTGGAGTTTGATGTTTGCCAGCAGATTAGAATTACCTGTTACTCTGTAGCTGTATGTGGAGGGTGGTGAAGGGCTCCATTCTTATCATGTAGTGCATGACCCCTGGGGCATTAGAGTAATGGGTACCATAGTGGAACTTCTCTATCACACCTGAGGGGTCCTCAAAACTATCATACCTGTGTTACATAAAATCAGAGTTGTAAAGAAGATGCATGTTACGATTTATATAAAATACATGTACAAATAAACTGTAGGATTTGGGAATTTCATTGTCATAAAAGCCACTAAGCAAGATACTGTGTATTCAAATCAAACTGAATTTTCCCCTACAAAACTTTGGTTAATGGACTTGCTTTCTCCAAATTTTCTTTTTAAATTATAAACTCACTCTCTCTCTCTTTCTCTCTATCTACTATTTTCAGGACATTGGTCCCTAACAGACTTACTTTTCTTTGACCTCTCTTTCATTTTTTTCATTGTTGGCTCCGATTGGTTTACTGAGATTTCTATACACTTTGGGATTTTCCAGATCTAAAGTGTCTGAAGTGTAATCTGCCAGTATCCATGGAAACTAAAAGATGAACATCAATAGCACTCAAAGAAGGGAATGAAACAAATGTTACTCTGTGACAAATTTTATCCTCTATAAATGTAAACAGAAGAATCCTACCACTGGGTACTGGCTAAGATCGTTGTACGTTCTTCCTGCTATCGCATTCAACTCTATCAGGTACTCAAAGTTACTGATCTCCCTTTGTATCCATTTCTATAAAACCACAAAAGAACTTTATTCGGTAATAACCAATATTTGCCCCCCAAATCAAACTTTGATGAAGATATATTTAATTAAGTTCTTAAACATGGGAGTATATGCTGACTTCAAAGCACTGAATATTTTCATAAGTAATGACGCCATATGTACGTAATGACGTCACAAACATGACGTAAATTTCAGTTTTTTATGAATTTTACAGAAAAATGCACATATTTCGTCGATATTTTGAGTAAAACTCACCGAGCTCATGTGTGTTCAGGATCAATATTTTGATATAATGTGTAGAATGATAATATCAATGAAATATGTCAATATTGTTCCTGAACAAACTTGCACTCTATAAATTCTAAAGCTAAAATTGTTGAAATTTTGTCCATTTTGTCCTCTTTCTGAAAAAGGATATAAAATCGGACTAGTTTGTGACGTCATAAAAACAGAAATTGTGAATACACTGCTTTGACACTATAATATTTTCTGTTAATTTATATTTCTCATACAATTTATTGAATTCAGCACATTTCAGGAAGTTTTCAAAATTTGACTTTTGTGGGGGCAAATATATGCAATATACCGCATATAGTTCTTTGTCACTATGAAAACCCTTGCTCCAAGGAAATGTATTAAAGCTTCAATGTATTAAAGAATAAAGACAAAAGTCTATAGAACATGTATATACATTGTGTATTTTTGGATACCTTGGTGAGTCCTGAGGCTTTGAGCATCTCTGCTGGTGACCTTGACACAGTATAAATCAGGTTTGGAGGTTTCAGGCTCAAAATCTTACTGTACACTTTATTTCTCTTCTGAAAATACAAAATCATGGGGTTAAATCAGTTCTCAATATACATGTATGTACAGTTCAAAAACAGTACATGTACTTATAAACTTGATTATTTAAACAAGAGGCCCATGGGCCACATCGCTCACCTGAGAAGCTTTGACCATTCTGTTCTTTACCAGATTTCCCCCTTGTTATACATAATGCATCCCCACCCTACCCCACTGATCATAATTTAGACATTTTGAAATCTACACTACCCCATGATCCTTCCATGGGCACATATGTTTCAGCTTTTTTGGCCCAGTGGTTCCTGAGAAGAAGATTTTCAAAGATTTTTCCTATATATTTCTATGTAAAATTTTGATTCTCCTATAATGGCTCCGCCCTTCCCCCGGGGGTCATGATTCCTACAATTTAGAATTTGCACTACCCCAGAATGCTTCCACATAAGCTTCACTTTTTCTGGCCCAGTGGTTCTTGAGAAGAAGATTTTCAAAGATTTTTCCTATATATTTCTATATAAAACTTTGATTCCCCATTGTGGCCCCGCCCTTCCCCCGGGGGTCATTATTTGAACAATTTAGAATCTACATTATACCAGGATGCTTCCACATAAGTTTCAGCTTTTCTGGCCCAGTGGTTCTTGAGAAGAAGATTTTCAAAGATTTTTCATATATATTTCTATGTAAAACTTTGATACCCCATTGTGGCCCTGCCCTTCTCCCGGGGGTCATGATTCCTACAATTTAGAATTCACACTACCCCAGAATGCTTCCACATAAGCTTCACTTTTTCTGGCCCAGTAGTTCTTGAGAAGAAGATTTTCAAAGATTTTTTCTATATATTTCTATATAAAACTTTGATTCCCCATTGTTTTTTCTCTTTTCTTGATTATCTCCCCTTGCGAGGGGATATGTCCCTTCATTTTAACAAATTTAAATTCCCCTTCACCCAAGGATGCTTTGTACCAAGTTTGGTCAAAATTGGCCTAGTGGTTCTTGAGAAGAAGTCGAAAATGTGAAAAGTTTACAGACGGACAGACAGCTAGACAGACAGACGGACGGACGGACGACGGACAAAATGTGATCAGAAAAGCTCACTTGAGCCTTCGGCTCAGGTGAGCTAAAAATCATTTTTCTGTGAAAGGTTATAATAAAGTACAGTAAAATTTTATACACTGCTTAAATCATGCCTTCTCTCTCCTCACTTAACTCCTCTCTCAAATTACAAAACTAAAGACAACTTTAGAATTTGCAATAAGAACTTTACCCTCGGTTCAAAGTTAAGGAAGAAATTTGTTTGGTCAATCATGAAAAGTTCAATAGCACTCCTCCGAAGATTATAACGACGAAAATGGATTTCTCTTAGAAGAGACAGGGACCACTTAAAATCTTCACCACCTGGTAATGAAATCAGTAGGAATTTAATCAAACCAAATATGACATAAATCAAAGTCATAATCAACTGTTCAAGGAGAAAGTTATAAAAACAGTGGATAGATACCCTCTTCTCTGTTTGAACTGCAGTCAAAAAAGTAAATATTGGAGGTTGTGACCTCTAGTCGACCTTTAACAACATCCACCAAAGTCACCAATTCACAATCTTCTGAGAGAACCAGTTTTTCTTTCCCTTGAGGTTCATTGTTTCTGCAATAAAGTAAAACAAAACATGTAAATGAAAGACACTTATGTTACCTTGCTATGAAATTTAGCTGACAACCTGTGATATGACTTATAACCTATCTGACCTAAGATCTGTGCTGATGACATGGGATATGGCCTATAACTTTCTAACCTGAGGTCTGTGCTAATGACCTGCGATATACTGTAAATGTATTATATTTGGCCTGTACGATATTTGGCGGAAATTGAATTTTCAACAAGTTGGCGTAGATTTGTTTTAGCGTTTTTTGAATGTGCGTTACATAAACCTTCATACACAAAGCCTTTAGCGATGTACTTGATTTAGCGGAGGATGCTTTCCGCGAAAGGCGCTAAAAAGAATACACAGCCAAATGTAATACGTTTACAGTATGACCTTTAGCCTTTTTGACCTAAGATTTGTGCTAATGACCTGTTATATGCCCTATAACATTTCCAACCTGAGATCTGTGCTGATGACACTCCAATCCTCCTCTCCAATGAAGTCCTCATCAATCTGATCCTTGGAGACCAGAGCCTCCCTCGCCAGCTTGATTTTCTTGATCTCTTCTGCAATGTCTGCTTCACTTGCCCCTATTATACAAGTATAGAAATATAACAAAGTTCACTGAAAATTTTGAATTTATGAAAAAATATTTAAACAAGGCTTTCATTTATCCCTATCTCACTTGTAGCAGGTTCTCAGCTTATACCTGGAGAGTCTATCTGCTAGTTGGGTCTCAGCCCTTAGTTAGATTGTCTTTCTGCTAAATGTAGCTGGTTCTCAGCTTATACCTAGACAGTCTATCTGCTAGTAGGGTCTCAGCCCTTAATTAGATTGTTTCTCTGCTACATGTAGCTGGTTCCCAGCCCTAACCTAGATTGTCTCTCTGATATCTGGTTCCCAGCCCCTACCTAGATTGTCTCTCTGCTATCTGGTTCCCAGCCCTTACCTAGATTGTCTCCCTTATTGCTGGTTCTCAGTCCTTACCTAGATTGTCTCTCTGGTAGCTGGCCTCTGTATGGGGGTCAAAGTAATAATTAGGAATCATCTTCACCTTCATTCTCTTAAAGTTTTCTTGATTTGATAACTTCCAATGCATCACAGCTGTGCCACTGAAATGAAGTACATCATTGAAAAAAAATGGGAAAAACCTGAATCTGTAATCTAAAATACTGTAGATTCCTAAAGATACGCGAGGAATTAATTTCCGCGTAATTTCGCGAGAAACATTACTCGCGAAATAATATAACTCACTTTTATTTTTATAGTGTTGAAATCCATGTAAATTCCATCGATCAACCGTCCATTCGTGAAATATTATTCTCGCGATTTGTAAGAGCCAGCTTGTGATAATAAGTACTCGCGAAATACATGTATAAGAATCTACAGTAATTTAAAAAACATTCTTTAAAAGTAGTGCATTAACTTGCAAAAATTTGATGATGCCATATTTTTCAATGCTCATGAATAATTCCATAAAAAAACAAGAGGCCCATGGGCCATATCGCTCACCTGAAAAGCTTTGGCCATTCTGTTCTTTACCAGATTTCCCCCTTGTAATACATATTGTGACCCCACCCTTCTAACTAAACATAATTTAAACAATTTGAAATCTACACTACCCCATTATGCTTCCAAATAAGTTTCAGCTTTGATTTTCAGATTTTTCCTATATATTTCAATGTAAAACTTTGATTCCCCATTGTGGCCCGCCCTACCCCCGGGGGTCATGGTTTGAACAATTTAGCATCTACCCTACCCTAGAATGCTTCCACATAAGTTTCAGCTTTTCTGACCCAGTGGCTCTTGAGAAGAAGATTTTCAAAGATTTTTCCTATATATTTCTATGTAAAACACTGATTCCCCATTGTGGCCCCGTCCTACCCCCGGGGGTCATGATTTGAACAATTTAGAATCTACACTACCCCAGGATGCTTCCACATACATGTAAGTTTCAGCATTTCTAGCCCAGTGGTTCTTGAGAAGAAGATTTTCAAAGATTTTTCCTATATATTTCTATGTAAAACTTTGATTCCCCATTGTGGCCCCGCCCTACCCCACGGGGTCATGATTTGTATAATTTAGAATCTACACTACCCCAGGATGCTTCCACATAAGTTTCAGCTTTTCTAGCCCAGTGGTTCTTGAGAAGAAGATTTTCAAAGATTTTTCCTATATATTTCTATGTAAAACACTGATTCCCCATTGTGGCCCCGCCCTACCCCACGGGGTCAAGATTTGTATAATTTAGAATCTACACTACCCCAGGATGCTTCCACATAAGTTTCAGCTTTTCTGGCCCAGTGGTTCTTGAGAAGAAGATTTTCAAAGATTTTTCCTATATATTTCTATGTAAAACATTGATTCCCCATTGTGGCCCCGCCCTACCCCCGGGGGTCATGATTTGAACAATTTAGAATCTACACTACCCCAGGATGCTTCCACATAAGTTTCAGCTTTACTGGCCCAGTGGTTCTTGAGAAGAAAATTTTTTAATGACCCAACCCTATTTTTCTCTTTTCTTGATTATCTCCCCATGCGAGGGGATATGTCCCTTCATTTTAACAATTCAAATTCCCCTTCACCCAAAGATGCTTTGTACCAAGTTTGGTCAATATTGGCCCAGTGGTTCTTGAGAAGATGTCGAAAATGTGAAAAGTTTACAGACGGACAGACGGACGGACAGACGGACGACGGACAAAATGTGATCAGAAAAGCTCACTTGAGCCTTCGGCTCAGGTGAGCTAAAAACTATTGATACATTCTTTGTCACATTTATAACATCAGGCTGCAAATTTTTGTTTTGATTGATAAACTTACTGTTCAGACCATACTCCTAGTGGCTTTCCATTTTTTCAGTGTTTTGATTGATAAACTTACTGTTCAGACCACGCCCCTCTTTCCCCGGTGAAGAACCGCTTGGTGGCTCTCCATTGTTTCAGTGTGGACTGATGCTGACTCTTGTGCTGGACCTCAACATTGTGGAACCTCTTCTGCTCGGAAGATTCTTTACTGTGGAACGGATCCAGGATTTTGTTCTAAGCAAATGAATCAAAACATTAAATCAAACATTAACATCTGCATCAGAATTTGGAAAATAAGACATATATGTACTGTATAGTTTTTTCTGGAAATGTGATCACCACATAACTTCACTCCTTTGTTAGGATTTCAGTTTTTGATCATACCAAGCTGCTGTCAGGTATTTTGTTACATTCACTGTAAAAATGCATTTCATGAACAGTTACTGAAGCATCCAAATATCCCAGAAAAATATACATAGAGTTACATGCACAAAACATCTTAAGTATATATACTTAAGATGTTTTGTGCATGTATCTCTAGTTTCTTTGTTTGAATAAGATGTTTTGTGCATGTATCTCTAGTTTCTTTGTTTGTGATATTCATCTCCTAAAGCCCTACCTTATCAGACTTTCTGATAGCTAATCATAGTTAGTGTACTAGATATACAGTGCCATTGTACTGTGTGCATAGAATCTTATTATGTTCCCCAAACGAAGTTGGGGAACATATTGTTTTTACTCTGTTTCTTATTATTATTATTAAGGTCTTCCGTTTCCAACGGAAGACCTTATTGTTTTCGTTCGGTTTCTTTTTCCCTATTATTATTCTTTTTTCTTCTTACCGATTTTGTGCATGCGAGTTCTTGGAAATGGCTCGACCGATTTTCACCAAACTTTCAGATCTGATAGATATTTATCTGAACCTTGTCGGAAATTTAAGTCATCGATGACGTCACTTCCGGTCGTGAGATATGGACGATTTTCTGATTTTTAGAGGGTCGGCTTGTCCTGGAAACTCCTTCGGAACGTCTTAAAATATTGACTCACGATTTTCAGCGAAAGTAAGGGAAGGTTTGCTGAGTTGCAAGCAGGCGTCCAAATCTTCATAGCGCAAAAGGCGCCGAAGCTCAGTGGAGCCAAAAAAATGTCTCGGAAATATCTCACAAAATTTGACATCTTTTGTTTTATATCTTCGTATCTGTTCATAATTTGTTAAAACATATAGAAGAAAAGTTGTACAGATTCACAAGACCTTTCATATGAATTCAAGAAAAAGGGGCTGTCCCCTCAAATCAGGGGCTCAGAAGGGCCAAAACTCTTTCATTTATATCTCTTTATTGATCAATAGTTTGTTATACATTACAGAAGCAAAGATATTCATCATAACAATTTGTAACAATATATTATAAAATTTTGATCATATGTTACGTAATTAGGGGTCACAAGGGGCCAGAATGTCACATCTTTGACTCTTTATATCTCAAAAAGGGGGAATATTTTGATAAGCAATATTGAACGAAAGATGATCAAAATAATGTTCTAAACAATATGCATACTTTGAATTTTTATAAAACGGCCCCATTAAGGACTTGGAGCGATGGCCCCTAAATATTTCCATTCAGCATATCTCCACCACGAGAAAAAATCTCTGAATAAGTGTTGAACAAAAATTTTTTTGAATGACAAGACCTTTCATTTGATATCAAGAAAAAGGGGCCGACCGCTAAAATTAAGGGCTCAGAGGGGCCAAAAGTCTTTCATCTATAACTCTATAATGATCAATATTTTGTTATACATTAATGAAGCAAAGATATTTATCTTAACGATTTGCAACAATATATTATAAAATTGAGATAATATGTTACGTCATTAGGGGTCACAAGGGGCCAGAATGTCAAATCTTTGACGCTTTATATCTCAAAAAGGGGGAATATTTTGATAAGCAATATTGAACAAAAGATGGCCAGAATAATGTTCTAAACAATATGCATACTGTGATTTTCTTTTAAATGGCCCTATTAAGGACGTGTAGGGGTAGCCCCTAAATATTTCCATTCAGCATATCTCCACAACGGAAAGAAATCTCTGAATAAGCGTTGAACAAAAAGTCTTTGAATTTAAACAAAAAGTGTTCAAAATCACGAGACCTTTCATTTGAAACCAAGAAAAGGGTCTGGCCCCTCAAATTAGGGGCCGAGAGGGCCCAAATCACTTTCATCTATAAGTTTTTGAGATTGTTGAATAAATCAAAAGAATTTAATCAAGTGAGAGAAGTGTTGATATTTATTTTGCAACAAATATCATAGTCAAAATCATATCTCATCTTATTGAAAAATCGGACGGAAGACCTACTCGTTGCTCGCAACGAGATCTCATCTAGTTAAGGTCTTCCGACTTCCTTCGGAAGACCTTATTGTTATTCGTCTGTTTTTTATTATTATTATTATTATTATTATTCTTTTTTTCATAGTTAGAGCGATATCTCAGCTGTGCGTGGATGGATTTAAAAGATTTTCACAGGGATGATGCATCATGAGAATATCTCCAGACGTGTTTTCTATTTTTTCGAAATTCACTTTCGTTCGCGATTTTTGGGGATTTTTGTTTTTTTTAAAAGGCATTTTGTCCAGCATTTTTCTCGAGAACGGCTAAAGATATGAAAGTGAAACTCACTGAGGTGACAGAACATCGAACTCCATTATGGGCAACGACCTTTATTTTTCGTCGTCTGCACTTCCGGTCGCAAACGGAAGTGAATTCAAAAAGTCTCATTTTTCAACTTTTTTGTTTTTCAATATTTTTCTTTTTGATTTACAGGGTTTATAGTGTGTCTTATGAGAATTCTAAATATGTATTCAGAAGCTTGATGCGTGCATTTATTGAAAAGATATGATCGAACCAAACTTTGTCCCACTGTCGGGGGTTCGAATCCTGCCGTGGGCGTTCCCAAATTTTTTCTTTGTTTCTATCATTTTTCAATTGTAAATGACTTTTCTCACTTTTTATAACATGTATGAAATATTTTGCCGATTTTTGAAAGCTATATTTAAAGATATTTCGAGGTTTATCTGTAATAATCATGATATATGTTGAGAGACTGCTGTATATGAACGTAAAGGGAAAAATACATTCTGAAACCTATTTCATGGGATGACGCAGCATAGATATCTAACGAAAAGTCGGTTTGAAGACAGCTTGTTGCTTTAGCAACAAGAACGCATCTAGTTCTTATTATTTTTCTTCCTGGGAAAATTTTGTCCGCGAGTGATCTTGTAAACTACACATCCGACTTAGGTAAAACCTTTTTAGGGTCAGTAGGGATGTTATGTAGATTTGCCGAACGAAGGTCATTTTGCGCGCACGTGCTTGCAAGAGTAAGCACGTGCAACACGTTAAATGGCCAATATAATGTATATTGCCTTAACTTTTCTATTTTTTGATGAATTGCTTTGAAACTCATAATGTAAGGATATATTAGTAGTATAGACAAGATGACATGGTCAAAATAGCAAGATCTCACGCGCATGCACGTGCGCTTTGCTCTGATTGGCTGAAACTAAAGTATCAATATCTTTCTTGTTTTTCGACGAAATCCTTTGAAATTTTGAACATAGCCATGTATTACGATATCCTACAACATGATGTATAGCAATTATCATGAAAACACGTGTATGCACGTGCGCTGCAATCTGATTGGCTGAAACTTTAAATAGCTATAACTCCATCGGTTTTCAACCAAACAGGATGGGATTTGGAACATAGATATATATAATGAACTTCTACAAGATGGTATGGTCACAATGCACATGCATACACGTGCGTGTACGTGCGCTGCAATCTGATTGGCTGAAACTTTAAACAGCTATAACTCCCTTAGTTTTCAACCAAACAGAATGGGATTTGGAGCAGAGATATATATAATGGACTTCTACAAGAAGGTATGGTCACTATGCACATGCATACATGTGCGTTTACTTGCGCTGCAATCTGATTGGCTGAAACTTTAAACAGCTATAACTCCCTTGGTTTTCATCCAAACGGGATGAGATTTAGAACATAGATAGATGTAATGGACTTCTACAAGAAGGTATGGTCACCATGCTCATGTATGCACGTGCGTGCACATGAAATGGGTACAATAAAAGATACCCTTGAATGAGCGTTTTTTTTTTTACTTTTGGATTAAATAATTTAATATTTAGCATATTAAAATATATAGATTGTGTAGACAATATGATATGGTCATTACGCACATGCATTCACATGTGCAAGTGTGCATGATAAAATTTCAATGAACATTAGTACACTTTTGGGTAAACGTTGTTAAAGTCTCAAATGCATAGAGTTTGTCTTATTTAATTACGCTTACAGGGAATATGACTATAAATTGGAGTTGGGGAGCGTTTGGGGAACATCTGTAATGGTCCCCGTTACAATTAGCACTAGTTATTACCTGAAACTTGAGCTTGGATTCTCCCTTCTCTCTGTTTTTCATGTGCATATTGACCATCATGGCTTCCTTACACTGTCCCCAGAACTCCCGAATGTTGGATTCTAGTTCTCCAAACGTACTCTCGTCAAAGTGCTGCATCTGAGGTTTTACCTATGGAGGAGAAAAGGATTTCAAAGTTTTTTTTTTATAAGAGCAATGAAATCATACGCTTCAATCCAATCTTGAAATAGGAACTTGTACACTGACCTTTATTTTTTATAAGATAATATTACTTATCTTAAAAATATATATTACATTTTACAAAAATAAGAATTTCTTTGTTGCCTTCTACATCACGTAACCATGTGAAATATTAGTGGTATCATTAACAATGAGTTTGACTTACATAATTCTCTATAAACTGTTTCCACTGCTCTGATACACAGAAGTTCTTAAAGTCATCAAAGAAGGTCGGACTGTTACTGGTCTGGGGAAGGTCAGGGAGAAGTAGGTCAAGGTTAAGGAGACCGCTGGCCTTGTCTAGTAGAGCCTTCATCACAGGAATCAGGAACGAGTAGGTGTCCGAATTGTCTGTTACCATGGAAATATAAATATACACGGTTTGACCTTAGAACAATACATATACTAGAAATGAAACAAAAAGAGCAATCACAAAATTTGTCTCTTATCTTTAATCACAGAAAATCATGGGGATTACTGTATGTGTACTATAAAAAGCAGGCTTCAACATTTAGTAGCTTTGGCAGGGACAAAGAATTTGCTAATTTATGAATATTGCTAATAAATCATTCATTAATACAATATATGGCATGTTAGTGTGTACCACTAATTCATGAATACACCAACAACTCAGCATCCAGTGATTGCACAAAATTTTTAATACAGCAATTTATGTACACATGCAGTACATGCCTGACTGCTTTAAACATAACTTTGTACAAGCTTCAGTTTCAAATGAATTCTAATTCTGACATTTTCACTTACCCCTAACAGCCTTGAGCACCATAAGATTTAAGTTTCCAATGAGAAAGGAAGCCTCGGCTGAGCTAGAGATGAGTTTGGTCTGGACCAGGGTGTGGAGTTTAGCTGTTGCTACAGCACACAACTGTAAATAGGCAACTTACAACTGTACAACTAATTACATATACATAGAAATTAAGCTGATTTTGCAAGTACAAAGTCCAATTTTACTATACTTTAACATGAAAAAAGCTTTCCAAATTAAAGCAAAGAGAGTTAATCCTTTCTGAGATTCTTTTTGGTGGTCTTACCTCTAGGCCTGGTTGACTAGCCAAAACTGGTGGCCTTACCACTAGGTCTGGTTGACTAACGTAGACTGCTGGCCTTACCTCTAGGCCTGGTTGACAAGCATAGACTGGTGGCGTTACCTCTAGGTCTGGTTGACTAACGTAGACTGCTGGCCTTACCTCTAGGTCTGGTTGACTAGCGTACTGTATGAGTAGACAGAACTAGACTGGTGGCCTTACCTCTAGGTCTGTTGACTAGAGTAGACTGGTGGCCTTACCTCTAGATCTGGTTGACTAGCGTACTGTATGAGTAGACAGAGGCCTAGGCGAGCCATCTCCTTCCATCCTCCGTCAGACTCTACGTCCCATACAGCCAGATTGTCCAGTAACGCCATCATATCCTCTATCAGCTGATCAAACAGAATTCTCAAATTCATATTTTATTCCTTTAATTAAATAATACATAAAAAGTTCAGGTTTATATCAAAAGAACAGGTAAAGAGGTTCCATTTTGTATGCATACTGACTGGGATACACATTCTAAATACATGTTTATACCTACTTCATAAGCTTCTGTTTTTACTAAGAGATACTTTTTCCCATTTTTATGCAACATTCATATTAGTTTTGAATGATAAAGGGCCTTTTAGAATGATTTGAAAGTATTGTACTAAGTACACTCTGCAATCTACCTTACCCTCTCACTGAATTTCTCCTTGTCTTGCTTGGCATCCTGGGACATAAAACAGTGAACCAGTTTAACCAGTTGTATCGCGTTCTCTGTAGGTGTGGCTGTATCCTGAGCTGTCAATCAAATAAAGCAGCTCCTACAGGTTCCCATACATTGATAATCCAAATAGTAATGGAAGTAAATTTATTCATAGAATTCTTCTTGCTTATTCAACATTCAGATTCTTTACTAAATCTACATCAAACTGTGCTTGTATGTTAAGTTTAAAGAGTAAATCTTAATTCATATTTTAATTAAATTGAATGTAATTGCGATTATATCTTCAAGAATCAATAATACTTGAAAAGAGAAAAAAAAATCTTGTAACAGAAAACATTTCAAATTCTCAATTCTCTTATCATTAGCTTTTTTCTTTTATTATTAGATAAAAAAAAAAAAGACTGAAAAAATGTGAATTAAGTTGAGTGTGATGTGAGTGTCTGGGTAAATATCTGGTTATTTTTTTATTACCTTCTCATCTTAAGCAGTTATAACATGCACCCAACATACACAAGGTTAACAGAAAATGTAAGCATGCAAACTAAGGGTGAACAAAAGCAATCATTAGGGAAACATTCTAAGCAAAACCTCTTTTTAATTTCATACTTCTTGTTTATTTTCAAAGTCTAAAAAAAAATCCATTTGAATGAACTTGACTAGATATTATGGTATACATTCTGAAAGATGTTTTGTTGTAGCATTTTAGAAGTAAACTTAACATAAGACTCACCAATACTGAAAATGAATTTGAAATTTCACTGTTTATAAAAATAAGTCATCAGCAGTTGTATATAGAATGAAAAGATGTAAAAGCAGAAAGTTTTGTTTAGAATGAGTTAAAATATGAATGTAACGAAAGGAATCAACTGATGGATCTAATGAGGGATAAACAAGCACTAACACAGCTTGATACTGTCAAGGATCTGAGAGGCGCTTTTAAGGGTAGAGGACAAAAGTTGTTGCATTTGATTGGACGGATCTTTTTCCAATTCAGGTGACCTCAATTGTTTCTCTTCATCTAAAATCAGACACAAGTCATCAGCAAGCTTAAATTAAGTGAAGTGACTACCCCCATACCATCTGCCCATAGCCATTACCCCCTCCCTACCACATCTGACCCCAGTCCCCATCCCTCCCATATTTACATGCCTGTACCTCCCCTAAAAGTTCAACCCCCATCCTACCCCTTTCTAAAGGTTCAATCTTAATTCTTTTTCCATGGAGTTATTTATTTTTCAAACCATAGGAGATTCCTTTTTTGTCATGATTTTAATATGTGTCTCCTTAAATGCACATTTTATACTTAACATTTTGATCAATCTTTAGTATTTTTTGGTAATACATGTATGTAGATGCAAATATATACTCTGTAGCACTATATATATTTTCAGTATTAAAAATGCTGTCAAATCTAGAGAGTCAATTTCTATGGAACCAGCTGTGTCTTGTTTAGACAATTTTTTACTGTAAAACCAAGTTTAACTTGAAAATGTAAACCTACATGTACCAAAAAATTACTTCAGCAGCACTCTTCATTAAAAATTGGGATAAAAAAAACAGTGAAAGCTAAATTAAGATGTGAGTCTCCACTACTGTTTAAAACACAAAGAAATTTAGAAAGACTACACAACATTCAAATACATGTATCAGTTATTATTATTACATATATACTGCACATGTATTGTAATAATGTGAGAAAGAAAAGCAAACACACTGTAATAACACTATAGAATACAGCAATATAAAACAAACACATCAATAATGCATATTGTGGCTATAAATATTGAAATAGATATCTTATTTACTGACAGAGCTGTGCACATTATATCACATACAGATTTATATAAACACACCTCGCCAAACATCAATGAATTCTAACCTGCGTCCTTTAAATCTGAAGTACAGGAGTGGATCATCATTTCTAGGAGGCGTCTCTTGATTTCCCATGGTGATCTGATCAATTCATGGTCTTCACATAAATGATCCACCCACGAAAAGACAATGCCTCTCTCCTACAAAAAACAAAACAAGAGCCCATTGACACAGCAGTCACCAGGCTTACCGAGGTAAACTCAGTCCTTCTGTTCTTCAGATTTTAAAGTTTCTTTTATCACTTCACAGAAATGTTATACATCAAGAAATAATAAATTTCAAATTTCTTTTTAAAGTTAAAAATTGATTAGGACATTTCAAGAAAGTGAAACTATCCTGGACAATACACGATCAAAATTTAATTTTAATCATGTTAATATTGTTCAAACAGTGCACAATATCTGTCAGTACAAAACAAACTTTTAAGAGAGTTGATTTACCTTCCAGGCAGCATCGTCAGAGCCCTCCACGCCTTTCCACATTATTGTGAGGAGGACAAGCAGCAGATTCTGACACAGCTCCTCGGTCCTCTCCCCGCTGTCCTTGACATATATTTTGTGGATTCCAAGGTTATCTAGAGCTCTCTGAATAGTATCCGCCTGCGTGAACCCTGAACTGACCCGCTTCTCTCTAGACAAGGTCGCAGAATTGTTTAAATCTATTGCACTATCACTGATTGAGAAAGAGGATGAAGAGGCCACGATGGAGGATGACCTTTGACCTACTGCTGTCAAATCCTCAACACTGGCACTGGAGCTCCTGCTGACTGACCTTGACCTATCATCCTCTGAGCTATTAATATCATCAAACGTTCTTGAAAGATAGAAAGGTGTTGTTGGCTCTTTTGGGGAAGACACTTTTTGACTATTATCACAGACGGAAACTGAAAGACTGTTAGGAACACTGATACTTGTATTGCACGAATCATTGAGTTGGGTTTGAGAATCACAGTCTGTAGCTGACTCCTCATTGAGAGTAAATTCCACATTTTTATCTTCAGAAATAAAAGAGTCTGACTGCTGAATTTCCTCTGTTTTTCTGAAGATGAAAAGCTTAGTTAAGGCTTCCTGCCAACCAAGCTGTTTAACAAACTGCTTGGCAGCTCCTGGCCTGTTCACCAGAATAAAAAGCAGCTGCAAAATAAAATTAATGAAATGAAATAAACGAATGCATAAAAATTATCAACCTTTAAGGGCCAGATCTCTGGACTGACAATTAAACAATAATACATGTACCTAATAGATGTACTGAAGAATACAAATAAATGTACAAGAAACTTAAATCATATGTACAGTTTACATAGGGACTCATAAAATTAGACAAAAAAGAAATTTCTGTTATTGTAACTGACGTTTTTATAATTAGCTGACACTCACCTGTCTACTGGCCTCTAACTTGATGTCTGATGCCGAGTAGTGGATCAGTTGTAACAGGGCCAGGATAGAGTTATAACTCTGAGGCACATCTGGTAAACAGATGAAAATTTCACTGATGATTAAACATTTAATGTTACTAAATATATGTTAAAATCAAATCACAGTTAAGACTATCCACTTTTTGTCAGCTATACAGCCAATAATTTATAACTCAGCTGTTAGTTTCTATATCCACCAGGCTTACCTAGTGCAGAGACTTGTTCTAGGAAGCGTTTGAACATTGGTCCCGAGACATCACAGTTTCTCATCAGCTCCACTAGACCTAAATGTCCAGTGTCCGATAAACGCAAAGGGAGCTTACTCTTCTCGTACACTTTGTCCGAGTTTAACAGCAGGTAGAGTACCTAATATCAGACAAGTACACATGATATACACCACTGTAAAGATCAAAATCAGAAATTCTAAATCAGGAGAACAATCTATATCTCTTATTTCTCTGCTGTGGTTCTAAAACATTTAAAGCTACATCTATAAACTTACACTGACACTAAAATATACATGTATAATGCCAAACACAATTTACCATAAAAACTGTCAATAATGAATGAAATGAAATTTTTTCCATACCTTGATTATTTTTTCATAATAAATGACAGATTTCCCAGGATGCACCAGCAGTCCGTACATGAGTTCACCCGTCTCTGGTTCAAACATCAGTAGGTGTAGCTGGTCGTTCTTTGTCTTACTTTCCAGCAGAGAAATCAGGACATCCATTGTCTCACACGCCTGGCAAACATCATTATACACAAAACTTATTATCTACATCATACCCTTAATTTATTTTTATATATTGCTTATCCTTCACTTAAATTTTGATGTTAGAGGAGAGTGCAGATTTTCCTTTTTAATTAAATTCTCAGAAAATTGAAGGAATGTAAAAAGCATTAAATTAAATCTTGAAAAATTATCTTAAATCTAATATATTATTCATTGATTATATAAAAACAAATGGTTGAGCAATGCTTTTTTAATTTGTTTGTAAACTAACCATATCTTCATCCTTGACAGCAAACAGGAATTTCAGGATGGCGTTCAGCTCATCATAAAAATTCAAAGATTGCAAAGACATAATCATTTATGGCTGGGGTAGAGGCTGGGCTATAAATCAACATTCAACTTATCATAATTCACCTTGACCAAAGAATCTGCATTACGAATAACAGTTAAACTTCATTTTCTATATGTTGATCAGAAGAAGAAAATAATCTTGTGCTTGAATTTTGTTTATTTTTTTCTCTTGGACACATCAGGTTTGGCATAATACAGTTTCAAAGTACATGACTGCATTAATTTACTTTCTCAAGGGGACTATGAGTTATCATCATAATAGACAAGATTTCAGATTACACAACATCTGGATTAGCATGTTTCACTGTCGCATCATGCTTAATGATCTTTTTGTCTAAAGTACACATAAAATTCATAAAAATATGCTCATTTGATAAACCACATACATGTATTAACTACTTTTAATGAAACCCCACAGCTTAAGTGAGTTATCTCTTTGTATTGACTGATTACCTATAAGCCAGATGTAGACTTACCTGTAGAACATTCTGATGATGTAGACTTACCTGTAGAACATTCTGATGATGTAACTTATAGAACATTTTTGTAGACTGACTTACCTGTAGAACATTCTGATGATGTAGACTTACCTGTAGAACATTCTGATGATGTAGACTTACCTGTAGAACATTCTGATGATGTAGACTTACCTGTAGAACATTCTGATGATGTAGACTTACCTGTAGAACATTCTGACGATATCCAGGACAAACTGAACTCCAAACCGCTTCCTGAAGAACTTTTTATCATCCTTAATGATGGTGGACAGGTACTGGATGTGACCTAAAACAAAATTTATCCAACTACAACTCAAATTAACTCACACATATAACTGTGTAAAAACACTGTAAACCAACTTTTATTTGTGTGTGAAATTCACGAGAGCCTCGTCACCGCCAAAATTTCTCTCCGCAAACCGGTCATAAAAGTTTCTGTGTCCATTAACAACATATCAAAATAAGATTTGATCGCGAAAAATTAATCATCGTGAACTAATTTACCTCTGGTAAATCATGAAAAAAAGTGGCCGCGAATAAAAGTTGGATTACAGTATATACATGTAATATCAGATTCTTTGAGAGATGAGGATAGTATCACATGGCAGTTTTCTATTTCTGAACGCAACCTCTGTACTCTCAAACCTCAGTATATTTTGATTATGTTCTCTAGATTAGGTATCTTGGTAAATTTTGAGTGGATTATTTGACTGATTATATAGGTACCCACCTATTCTGACAGGAAATTCACTGCTGCTCCAGATCCTGAAATCAAACAACAAGTACTGGTACATCTGGCTCAACAGAGTCTGGTTCACACTGGCTGTTGTTTCCAATAGCAACTGAACCGACATGAGCACATTCACATCTATCAACCGGGAATTCACCTTCAATGAAACACAATATCACATCTCAACAGTATTGTATGATTTTATTATTTGTAGATTTTACATTTTAGAATTCATTATAAACAAAAAATATTTCTGTAAAAATTATTTTCAACAAGTCATATAATTTAAACTTTATTAGTAGAAATCTTCTAACACACTTGGCTGTAATTTCATAGAAGTAGTTCTAGAATCTTAGTATCTGTCTACACTTACTTTTTGCAGTAGAGCCCCGATTGTCGCAGCCCCTCCTGTTCTGATCATTGCCTCCTGATTGGTTCCCTGTGAGTGGATCATGTGTCGCAGTAATGTAAGAAATCCCGCCACCTGATTCTGCTCCAGCTTGGAATCTGTCAAAACAATAAACAGAGAGTACTGTGCAAATTCTGTCTATATCATATTTACTAATAAAGTCAAACCCTTAAGGTGTGACACTTTTCTGAAAAAAAAATAATGATGTGCTGGACAATGCATTTCACCTACATACATGTGCAGTATTTGATATTTTTATGATAAAATTTCAATTCTCTTTCTGTTGGATATAAGTGTTTTCTAAAAACTGGTTACAAAAACCAAATTGAGCTGCAAGAATAAAGGAAAGACTCCACTTTTGGTGTTTAATGTCTGATGCCGAGTAGTGGATAAGTTGTAACAGGGCCAGTTTACACCAGACTAGGAGCACCCCATTTCTCACCTGAGTAGGAGCTGCTGGGGACGACCACCCAATCATCCTGATCCTGGTCTGGAGACATAGACTGGACAGCGTCCATCTGCTGGACAAGGTCAGAGTCAGGGACTGGTCCATTGTTGACTTGTTCCAGGAGTGGAAACAGAACCTGTATCCCCCCTATTCCGTTAATCACATCCTGAGTAGAAACAAAATTACCTGGTTCATTCATTTCATGTATTGATAAATTTATATGATGCTAAAGGAAATTTTATTATAATTTTTCAGGTAAGTTACATGGACTTAACCTAGTATTTAGTTTTGTTTGATAAGTTAAAATACTTCTAATAAGAGAAAACTTAATTTTACATAGAATCAAAAGAGATGTGTTTATCTACAGATATTTCTTTTATCACACCATAAACCTACCTTGATATCCCAGGTAACACACCTCTGGCCTGAAAAGTGTCCGTGATTTTGGTTAGGGGACAAGTCTACACACTCTCCATCTTTACAAGCCTGAAAATCAAATCAGGGTATTATTCAAACATTTCATCTGCTGCCTCTCAAAATATATTTGACTATACACAGAAAGCATTTCATAAACTCAAGTTCCACTTCAGCATTAAAGTAAAAGCTGCTCTATACCTTTCTTGTGTATTTAACATGTAGTTTACTACAACAAAACTTGGTTATATCGAAATCAACAGGACCTATGAAATTACTTTGCTATATCCATAATTTGTTATATCTGTACAAGAAATTCATTAAATTTAAATAGCTAGGGATCCAAGGTAACTTTGCTATAACCATAAATTCGCAATATCAGTGTTCGTACTTAATAGGTTTTACTATATTGCCTTACCTTAGCATTGTAGTAAACCACTGTTTTACCAGGAAAGTCTGTAAAATCTGGGAAATCGTCATCAAAAAATAGTACTGGATGATTTGGCCCTGAAAAATACACCAAAAGAAAATACTGACATTGTGAAAAAAAAAAATCAAGATGACACAGACAATGATGCAGCTGAATTTCACCACCAGATGCTTTCTGTACACTATACTGACCTGCCAGGTGCAGAGCTTTGACCTGAGCGGGGGTAACCGTGTCATGGAACACTGAGACTGACCCCAGCAGTCCCCCTAGATTGACTGGGACCCCCCACACATCCTCGTGGGTCCCTGTGGGGATGGTGGTGATCTCAGGATCGTCTGCGTTCTTTCTCGTGAACAGCCGTCTCAGCGGAGATTGTTTGATACTCTCAGTGTTTGCCGACTGGTTCTGATCCAGCAGTGCCTTCACCACAGCCTTGTTACAGGGACTACCTATCCTACAGTCTGTGAAGGGCTACAATTATACATGTACAATGTTGAGAAAATTTTTTAAATTGGTAAAATCTAACATATCTATCTGGAAAAATTGCATGTTAATTTATAGATACATGTCATTTCTGCAAGTCTGAAATAAAGAAACTGAATGTGGAATAAGACTTCTAAAATTTTTTCACCTCTGAGACATTGGGAAACTTGAGCTGTGAGCCGAGTTTGAGTTTTCCGTCAATGTAAATAAACAGCTGACTACTTGTGAAGGGTCGTCGGGAACTGCTATGGACAATGTCAATTGAGTGCTGCAATACAACAACAAATTAAACACAATCTTTTCTGCTTCCAAAACATGCATAAAATAAAACTGATATCCCATATTTTACAATTTCTATATACACTCAGATTAACAGCTACCCGTGGAGACTTACCCAGTGCTCGTCCCCCAGTGATGTGTCTGTGACCTCCACTGAACTGTGCTCTTTTCTGTTGTACACAGACACCACAAGGTCATACTCCATTGTAATGAATGCCTCAAACCCACAGCCAGAGTTGGAGACAAAACTGTCAATCAGAAAACATAATGGTAGTCTTATCCTAATTCTATCGCAAAAATCACAAGAAAATTTCAAACACATGATGTGAAATGTTTAGAGCATGTATTTATATCATACACAATATTTCTTACACACTGACATGTAAAGCTGTCTAGTGCCATACACTAGCTATGTTTTCTACACTGACCTGTAAAGCTGTCTTCTATAGACCTGTTCTGTAGTTCCAGCGGGGGAGGAATGGGAGTTTAGACAAACCCAGGTATGAAAGGCAAAAGCATTCCCTGGCCACTTCCTAATCCCAGGCATAGAAATAATCTATAACAACAAGATTAACACAGTCTACAGCAGTAAAAACTTCTGAATCAAAATCTATCTTCTATACATTCTCATAATTATGCTAATGCAAAAGGACCATATTCAACAATCATGTCATTTATTGGAGGATATCAAATCTGAAAGTATGACAGTTGGATTACACTCATATATTAGAATATAGAATGCACTGTACAAGATTACTATCTGGCAATTACTTGTTTACATCACAACTTGTTTTTGTATTTTTTTATGTTCGTAATGTCAAAGTTAATACCTCACTTTCCTCCATCAAAGTCAGGAAGTAATGAGCACCTTCCTTCCCATCATGCCTTGCCATTGTACATAATGCCCTCATCAATCTCGAAAAGTTAGGATTCTGGACAGGAAGAGTAAAATCATCAACATGATCATGCAAATGTAAGAGAAAGAAAACAAACAAAGTTAAGTTCAAGACTTAAAATTAACATTGGCACATGTATTGTTAGGTCAATTCAACTACTCAGGCTTTATCAAGTTTTGGGACCTGATGTTAAGATTGTAATTGTACATGTATTGTAAAAAGTACCTGATTTTCTTCCTCATCCAACTTTAAATGCCCTATCAGTTGCTTTAACTCTATAGCAGTAATCGAATGTGTGCCCAAGGTTTCCAGTAGATTTATTAACATTGCTGAAAAAAAAGGATGAAGTAATTGGTCCCTTAGAAACAACCTGACAGCACTCTTATATGCAAAGAAATTATCAAATTAACGTGAATATTCCAGATTCAGGTCCTTACCCACAGCTTTAGGGTCAATCTGTTTCTGTCTGCCCAGAACTTTGATGATGACAGAGATCATTCCCTCATTACAGCAGTTCATCTTGTTCTGTTTCTGAGAGCTCAAAGCACATAAGTGATCTGCCAACCAAATCTGTAGTTCCTTAGACTGAATATCAGGCAACCAGCACAGTAACATCAGTGCTGATTGAACATTTCTGATCATGTGACTTTTGCCTTCACAAAACTCCTCCTCCACCACCTGTAAATCAAATTATTTCAAATAACAATGAACCTGCATGTAGATAATGTACATTTATTTTAATATCAAAATTTGACATTAACTTTTATTCAGTATAATAATCAATCTATTCAGTTTGTGGATTCACCAGGTTGAGCACTCCTTTCAGCAGAGACATGGATGGCTGACCCAAGCTTTTTAGAGCTTCCACAAACTTCCAATACCCAACTCTTAATGCAAATCTCTCCTGAAACAACAGAAGATTCAGTTTAACCTTATACAATTATGGACTGTTAAGAAGGGAGACATCATCAATTATCAGGTCTGAGTAGGGTTGTCACCAGAGGGCGCTTGCGCCCGAGGGTGACAACCCTTCTCAGACCTGATAATTGGTGATGTCTCTCGTCTAAACAGTCCATGATAGTTTTTTAATCCTGAAGAATCAAAATTATCAAACAAATAGAGTAGAAAATAGTTAAGTCCTTGTGTTTCCCTACTCTGCTCTGATTTCATACTTTCAAAACATGTAAACAGACAACTTTGATGTCATAGTCACTGCATATTTAGCGGTCCTGCATATTAAGTAATTGTACGTTTATAATTATGAATAGGAGTTATCTGGCTTAAACTACTGTAATTTCATTCAAAGGGTGACAACACAGTTGTAACTGTGCATGGTCGCTATTTCATTGTCATCTGAAGGGAGACAACAGTTGTCACCCTGAGCGTGAGGGAGACATCATGAGTTGTCTCCCTGCATGTGACCTGCTCTAAACCAATCAGAGTCACTGTATAATATTGAAGGATACTGTATGCAGGGAAACTTTCACCTCCATTTTATTTTGGCTCCTCTCGCCCTACCCTCATTTGGGCGAATTTGAAACGGGACGAATTCAAAGAATACAGTATAATTTCTTAAACAAAACTATGACTGGGCGAATTTAAAACGGGGCAAAATTGTTTGTAAGTGTAAAAGGGCTAAAATAAGACGGGGCGAAAAGAACCCTGTATACAGTAATAATACATCTTTTGTTGTACATGATTGACAGTTTTAAATCTACAAAATGATATCTTACCTTGGCATTGATGGAGCCGGTGAGTACAGAGTTATCTTACCTTGGCATTGATGGAGCCTGTGAGTACAGAGTTATCTTACCTTGGCATTGATGGAGCCTGTGAGTACAGAGTTATCTTACCTTGGCATTGATGGAGCCGGTGAGTACAGAGTTATCTTACCTTGGCATTGATGGAGCCTGTGAGTACAGAGTTATCTTACCTTGACGTTGATGGAGCCTGTGAGTACAGAGTTATCTTACCTTGGCATTGATGGAGCCGGTGAGTACAGAGTGATCTTACCTTGGCATTGATGGAGCCAGTGAGTACAGAGTTATCTTACCTTGGCATTGATGGAGCCTGTGAGTACAGAGTTATCTTACCTTGGCATTGATGGAGCCGGTGAGTACAGAGTTATCTTACCTTGGCATTGATGGAGCCTGTGAGTACAGAGTTATCTTACCTTGGCATTGATGGAGCCGGTGAGTACAGAGTTATCTTACCTTGGCATTGATGGAGCCTGTGAGTACAGAGTTATCTTACCTTGGCATTGATGGAGCCGGTGAGTACAGTTATCTTACCTTGGCATTGGTGGAGCATGTGAGTACAGTTATCTTACCTTGGCATTGATGGAGCCGGTGAGTACAGAGTTATCTTACCTTGGCATTGATGGAGCCGGTGAGTACAGTTATCTTACCTTGGCATTGATGGAGCCGGTGAGTACAGAGTTATCTTACCTTGGCATTGATGGAGCCGGTGAGTACACAGTTATCTTACCTTGGCATTGATGGAGCCGGTGAGTACGGAGTTATCTTACCTTGGCATTGGTGGAGCCGGTGAGTACAGAGTTATCTTACCTTGGCATTGATGGAGCCGGTGAGTACAGAGTTATCTTAGTACAGAGTTATCTTACCTTGGCATTGATGGAGCCGGTGAGTACGGAGTTATCTTACCTTGGCATTGATGGAGCCAGTGAGTACAGAGTTATCTTACCTTGACATTGATGGAGCCAGTGAGTACACAGTTATCTTACCTTGACATTGATGGAGCCAGTGAGTACAGAGTTATCTTACCTTGGCATTGATGGAGCCTGTAGTACAGAGTTATCTTACCTTGGCATTGATGGAGCCTGTAGTACAGAGTTATCTTACCTTGGCATTGATGGAGCCAGTGAGTACAGAGTTATCTTACCTTGGCATTGATGGAGCCGGTGAGTACGGAGCAGATGACCTGTAACACAGACAGGGCCAGACACTGGGCCTCGGATCCCGTTAACTACAGCGGGAAATAATAAGGTTAGTCATATATAGCATTAAAATGTAAATACATGTAAAATGCTAAAACTGTGTCTTCTTTACCATTACATGTTAAAACCTATTAATTCTTAAAGTGCTTGAAATCTCACAGAAGTTTTCTGTAGGAGGGCCACCAGAGAATCAAACGTTCCTCCACTGACCAATGTGACCTGTAGAGCACCGCGATCCTGACAGGCCAGCATCTCATTGACAGCATCTACAACAGAGACGGAGGAAGAAGTGCCGAAAATTATGTACCATGGTATATAGACTAGATATTCACGAGCATTGTCCCCTTTTTTATCAATTCCCCCTGGTATAAGCCTTGTTTCCTTTAATTTATTGGTTTGTGTGCCTTCCTACTTACGGATCATACTGAGCTGCATCTGTTGATTAAATCCATTCTCTGATTGGATGTCGGCCGAGGTCAGTACCTCCATGTAACCCTCCATCACCTGAGACACCTCCACTTGTCTCTACAATCAACAATACACACCTGTCATCTTATCTGATACGGTATAGCGGGTTTTCTTGGTGGGTGTAAAATTTGGCGTTTTGCCTGCTGAAAGGTATGCCAATAATTTTGGCGTAATTTATATTAGCGGACACAGGGTTTCATCTCTTTGCAGTTGTACACTAAGAAGACTAAGTTAATTGTTAACTGACTATTTTAGCGATTAAAATTTTAGCGGGCTGCCATCAGAACGCCAAAATAAGCCAAAATTAGCACCCCGCTAAAATAACCTGCTATAAGGTACATTATTCATATCCGGGCATGAGAGGGGACCACAGAAAATAACATTTCACCATTTTACAATGAACACCATTTACTGTTTTTGTGATTAGGCTAGACAACAAAATAAGTTGATCACATATAAAGAAATTAGAAATTTAAAAAAAAGAGAGACTAAGAGGTAGTCAGTCACTAATTTGCATATGATGAAAATTGTCCACACTACCTGAAGATGATTCCATATAAAAAAACAGCTTTGAATTCAAATTTGATATATCCTATGTAAAATTTACTGTACATGCCCTAACAATCTTGCTACACTACCTAGAATCCACATATACAACATCTGAGTCCAGTGCTTCACTGAAGGATAGAGATATTTCCTATATATTTCTATGTAAAACTCTGACAATATTTTTGGAATGTACAAGTGTCTAAAAAACACTAGATCAAACTCCAAGAAAAAGCAAAGCAATATTCCTATAGATGCCTTTATATATACACTGACAAAAAGATGGATTATTTATGTCAAATAAGTTACTTTGTACATGCTTTTTAACTTTAGTTAACTCTTTGAAAAGAGATTTGTAGATTTTTCCTATATATTACACTGGAAGAAATATTTCATATATTGATCAAAGATTAGATGTTATGTATACACATGACATGGTTGCAGTCAAATTTGGGAAACATATATTCCTATGTAGAAAACCCACTTTTCATCAAACTTTTTACATACATGTTAACCTATTGTGATGAGAAAAGATTTTTAAAGATTTTTCCTATACATTCCTATGTCAAAAGCGGTAGCATTGCGCGCGTGTTGTTTAACATTTGGATTATCGAGGATCTTCCACATGAGTTGTAATATACATGTATATTTTAAGCCTATATAATGAAATCAGGTACCTAAACTAATTAATCTTATTTGAACAAATATCAACAGCAAAGAAGAATTCCACATGAAACACCTGGCCCAAGTTTGACATAAATTGTACAAATTCCTATATATTCCATGTAAAACATCGTTTTGCTTTGATTGAACAAACTGAATCTACACTACCTGAGGATGCTTCCAAGAGTGATCTTTGCTGAAATAGCCTAGAAGCAACAATTCTGAATGTTCATTCAATTTTTAAACAAAACAAGTGATGGCATGGTTTAATCTAGATCTAAAACAAGTTCGTATCTTTCGTTGTATAAATCAGATTTCCCGCGATGATCGAAAACGAAAGTAGAGATGTGCCACATGGCTTGGTCAATCGAATGATTTCTATTGACTTTATTGATAAAGTTGTGAGCTTCTGTGCTTTTAAAGATGATGTCAAATTTGTATTGAAAATTTTACTTCTTGCAAAAAAACATGAATTCAAATTTGATTTCCATGAAATTTACTGTACATGCCCTAACATCTTGCTCCCTAGAATCAGTCATATACAACATCTGAGTCCATGCTTCACTGAATGAGAGTGTAAAACTCTGACAATATTTTTGGAATGTACAAGTGTCTAAAAAACACTAGATCAAACTCCAAGAAAAAGCAAAGCAATATTCCTATAGATGCCTTTATATATACACTGACAAAAAGATGGATTATTTATGTCAAATAAGTTACTTTGTACATGCTTTTTAACTTAACTCTTTGAAAAGAGATTTGTACATCCACAGAATACACTGGAAGAAATATTTCATATATTGATCAAGATTAGATGTTACGTATACACATGACATGGTTGCAGTCAAATGGGAAACAAATTTCATGCAGAAAACCCACTTTTCATCAGACTTTTTAACAGTTCTCTGCATAAATGACCTTGATGTCAAAAGTTATGACCACAATACAATGATAAATCATTTATTTTTTTCTTTTATCTTTTTATTTTATTTTATATTTGCAAAATGATTGAAGTATAGAGTAGCAAAGAGTTTAAAGTTCTCATTCCAGAGATATTCAGAATGCAAGATTTTGAGTTTGAGTGTACCTACCACCTTAGATTTATTGTGCTATTTAAAAAAAAAAAGTACAAAGTAACAATAATATGTTACTTTCAGAAAACATTTGGTGCTTCAAGATAACTTTTCAGAAAACATGGGAAAAACTCTCAGATTCTCTTTGTAATCACTAATCAACAGTACAGAGTCTGTAGCTCTAAAATTCTTAATATGGTTTCTGCAATCATCTAAATAAGATAAGAGCCGTGCTTTGCCTTTTGGTGCCCTGCACTGACCTGGTCTGGACTTGATCCATGGATCACATGAACCATACACACAATACACTTGAGAGCGAGGTCCTTCATTTCTAGGAGATCCTGCCGCTGTTCATTGGCCGGTCCTGACAACTCGTTAGATGACATCATCTGTAGCAGAATGTCTAAGGTGGCTGGTGTAATTACCCTCAATGCATTGCTCTGAAGGAAAAAGGTTGTCTAATCAAAAAATCAGAATTTACATCACCTTCTATAGAACTAGACATTATCAAGATGATTTAAGGAGGAAAAAAACATTTATAAGTATCTTTCTCTCTCCATGCTCTCAGGCGACCATTTTCCTCTCCCCCTCTGAATGTTATCCTGTACCTGTGTTCCACACATCAGAGCTCCAAACAGATGGAGGAACGTAATCTTCAATGACACAGACAGACATGGCTTGTTACAGCAGTCTGAAAAGCAAATCACTCTTTATTTGTAGGGCTGGGCAGGGTACAATATATTAAAAAGGAAAAACATTAAATATAAAGATTTACCGTAGAAGAATGGCACCACCTCCACATGTAGTTCAGCTGGCCGGTATGTCATCCGACTCTTGTCCACAACCCAACTACAAATGTAACGTCAATAGGCAGTATGAATTGATAGATAATGCTTTCTTTTTGGGGTGATATGGAGCTTCAAAAACAATATGAACATGATTAAAAAAGAAATGCTTTAGGTATTAATTTTCCAAATTTTAACCTTTTGAGTCTCTTCCTCCAAACAAAGTAGGGATCGTATAAACATTCAAAGAAATGAACCATCAGTTTGAGGAACTCCTTCATCTGGACTTCCTGTAGAGCATTCTGGGATAGCTGGAACAGAAACTCAGACTTATAATACAGTTTTTATCAATATCAAAATAATCTAATTGAATGCAACTTACTTTTTCTGTTAACACTGTTCCTATGGTAACCAGGTGTTTCACAAACTGACAAGATCCCAGCAGTGGCACGTTATCATAATTCCTAGAAATAGAGAAGTCTAAAGGTGATATCTGATATCTCTAACTGATATCTCGAATATTATGGGAACATTGAAGCAAGTTGGGAGTTCTTCCACATGCTCTTTATGTCAGTCTACTAGAGTGTCTCAAATCCTTGGAAACTGAGGACCTTTTTTCTAGGTCAAAATAATGAGGTTTGACTGTATTTACATAGCAGACCAGCTTCTTTTAGACAGATTATAGATGGTTCTCATAAAATCATGCCATATGATATCCAATGGTGTCTGTATCTTAAATGACAGTCTAACTAGAATAAAAATATTTCAGAATACATGTATTAAACCAAACATGCACCCTGAGAATGCTAGAGTAATTAACTTACATGAATACATGAAATACTATACAATTATTGCTGTGTTTTGAGGTCAATACAATGATTTAGCCATCTGAGGAGTACAATATTCACCGAATACAATATTGACCGAAAAAAACAGCAATAACTGTTTTATTATATGATTAAATTATAGCAACTGCTTTATTATATGATTACATGTTAGCAATATGATTAAATGATAGCTAAATCATTGTATTGACCGAAAAAAACAGCAATAACTGTTTTATTATATGATTAAATTATAGCAACTGCTTTATTATATGATTACATGTTAGCAATATGATTAAATGATAGCAAACTCCAAAAAGTCTGTTTTTCGATTTAATTGAATATTTTAACAAGAAATTTCAACAATATTTAACACATTGTAACAGAATAAATGGTACAATAAAATATTGAAACATCAGCTTCTTTTGTCAGGTCAATCTGTCTATCACTGAACATTATAACCATTTTCACTTGAAGTTGACATTGTAATTGATAGTAATATTTGATGAATTGTTTAGAGTCAAAACTGGAAGGCCTGAGGCAATAGACTGAAAAGATGTTCTGGACATCTCTATGTGCTCTGTAACTGTGGTCTGTCCACTTTTACTTACTGAGTTACAAGTACTTGCATTCAGATTCGACAGTGTATTCGTTTCAGAAATACATGGACCCCCCACATTTTGAATGCCATATAATAAATATATTTATTCATTACATTGATACATTGAAACACAATTTGTATGAAATATTTCAATTTTTGTTTCATATTTGAATATAATGCTGAAAAAATAAGCAAATAAATACAGATCAATCAGTACTAACACGTATATATCTTTACTTACATGGATACAATGTACATACATTTGTAACATTTTTTTTCTGCTTCTGTTGAACTCACCTTGATATGATTATCAAACATTTTACGATGGACTCAGCGAAATGAATATGCTCGATACTCGAGTCCTCGTTGAATTTCTCCAGACATTGGTTGAGATGATGAGACAACATCTGTAGCAGGCCATCGGGAAGCTTAGTAAAATGGGGGCCCTCCTCTGAATATCTGAAAGTGGATTCATATTTATAGAGATTACAACTGTCAAAAACTCCTAATTATTAATTTTTCATGCTTTCTTTTTCAACTTTTCAAGGAATAAATCTGTACTGTTATATATAAATAAGGGGGAAAAAAGAATAACTACTACATGCACAAAAATTTTATTAAATATAATAAAGTATAGAGAGAAACAATTACCCTTCATTTAAATGCAAAAACTCCAGGTCAATTAAGTTCTGGTATGTGTCAACAAATTCATCTATGAATTCCTTTAAGATTGCAACATCATTCTGAAATAGAATTCAACAATATTTCAAACTAAATTGGCTATGTTTCTAAGGATGCAATTTAAAAATGGGTTTTTCTTCAAAACAATATCAATATCTTCACATTGCACATTCTGAAAGTCAATCATGTCAGTATAACACTCCTATAAAATATACAGTAATTTTGTAAATTTCTGAAGAGCTTCCGTTGGGCTCTCCCCCCCCCCCCCCCCCCCCCCTTTGGATGAGAGGAGGGGGGGGTGTCAAAACAGCATCCAGATCATTTGTGCCTAGCTATGCCTTTGATTGAAATACTGAGTCAAAGCAACATTTAATTCAGTGATGCAGCATGGTCAAATGTACATTAATACAAACCATCAGATTTATCAGAATTCTTCCCATATTATAAAATTTAAAAACTATTTCCTATAAATATTTGTGTAAACAAGGCCTGAATAAATACTTCCCTCAATGTGTATTAAATTTCAGAAGACAAGGGATATTCTACATATAAATATTGAACTTTACTGCTCTTTCAAAATGCTGTGTTAATTTACATTCCCTGTTAGCATGGTTAGTTTTTATCATTATAATTTATAGAATATCATAACTCCTTCATTCCTAACCAAGAAATAACATACATATTATATAGTTTTGTACTCAGTCTGATGTCAATATTATAAACATTTTAACAAGAGGCCCATGGGCCACATCGCTCACCTGAGCACTGTGGCTAGGAAAAAGTAGAACTGGTTTATTATTGAAAAGTTTAAATCCAAAAGTAGTCCCATGACTAATCATGGCTTTGCTATTCTTGAGGAAATGATTTTTAAAGAATTTTCCTATATATGTCTATGTAAAACTTTGATCGGCCATTGTGGCCCCGCCCTACCCCCAGGGGTCATGATTTGAACATTCTTGAATCTACACTACCTGAGGATGCTTCCATATAAATATGATCAATTATGGCTTTGTTATTCTAGAGAAGAAGATTTTTAAAGAATTTTCCTATATATTTCTATGTAAAACTTTGGTCGGCCATTTTGGCCCCGCCCTTCCCCCGGGGGTCATGATTTGAACAAACTTGAATCTACACTACCTGAGGATGTTTCCCCATAAGTTTCATCTTTCCAGGCACAGTGGTTCTTGAGAAGAAGATTTTTAAAACATGCCACCAAATTTTCATCAATTCCTGATTATCTCCCCTTGAATGAGGGCATGGCCCTTCATTTGAACAAACTTGAATCTCCTTCACCCAAAGATACTTTGTGGCAAGTTTGGTTAAAATTGGCCCAGCAGTTCTCGAGAAGAAGTTGAAAATGTCAAAAGTTTACAGACGGACAGCTGGACGGAAGACGGACATCAGGTGATAAGAAAAGCTCACTAGAGCTTTCAGCTCAGGTGAGCTAATAAAGAGATTTACGAATTAAATGTACATATCAAATGGTAAAAGAATGATTATGATTTAGTGTCAAGCATGAATGCGCTATGTAATACATCACTCAAGGTATAAATTGTTGTGTTCATAAACATGACCTTCTGTCATGTTAATAAGTTTAAATGAGGATATGAGGGTTGAATAAATATGATGATCAATGTATGGATTGGTACCAAAATTAAAGAGTATATCCAGTATCAAAAGATGAACTTCCATTATGTATTGGTCAGGCAGTTTGTCTCTAAAATTCTGCACAAGAGTAAGGAAATCAAATATCACTGATCACTTTACAATATATCTTAGGCTGTTTTGAAATTAAATTCTTAATGTAACCAGCAGATTGAACTAAATCATGATACTTGCTGTAATTCTGACTGACTGAGGCAATTATCTGGATCATTTGCTCTTGTTTATTTCTAATATTTCAGCATAGAGCATTGTAAATATAAACATATCTAGGGCCTAACTTTGTGCATCATCATGGTAGTATCGTTTATATATAAGATATATTTGGAAAAGGGGGAAAGTTCATTAAAATAAGGAGGGAACCTAACTCGGTCTAGCTTTCTAGTTAACTCAAACTAACAGCAATAATTATCACGTTTCGATTTTTGCAGATTGTTGTGTACCAATAAATGCACGATGTATTGAGATATAGGTAAAGGTGTGACATTGGACGTCCCCTTTCAAGCAGTCAGCTCTCCATGTCTATTTTTGGAGAGATGATACAAACTGAAACGGTAAACAAAGTTTGGGTGTATCTCACCTTGGAAGAAAATCTCATCCATATCTGAAACAATTTTTCAGCCGGTGTCAGCTCGGCCATGGTTTTAAAACATTGACTGAACGTTTCAGTGCATCCTATTTTCCCCTCTTCTCATCATCAGGTTAACAGCTTCCGGCTTCTTGACACAGGTGTTCATCGCTTTTGTTAAACGCTTATTGATTGGCTCACTGGAATTCCCGTTTTATACCGGTTGTTTTCATTCGGTTGCTTCTCTTATGGGGATCATTTCAAAACAGTTCCTTGAGAGGGAGCATATCAGAATAGTAGAAAGTTTTGATGTCGAGAAACTCGGCATAATCACTGCAGATTAAATATTTTTTTTGTATTTTTTGATATTTAAAATGCCCCAATCTTATGTTTGAATTAGTGTCATACCGACAGAAAAAGATAAATCTTCAATACTAGCACTTTTAATTGTAACCCCCCATCCAAGCTTCAGCGTGCAAGATTTAATTTGTTTTCTAAATATATTTTTTTTTACAGTAGACAGAAATGTTGGTTTATTATTGTACATAAGAGCAGAATCTTCAGTGGATTCGAATACAACATGTAGCTCACGTCATTTCCATATGTTGCATTCTTGAAAAATCATCGATTTGACACAAATTAACGTCTGAGAAAACACTAGATGAACATGATGAACAAAATACCTGAGCTATTTTCATAAGGAAAGTACATCTATAAAAAAAATTTTATCCAATAGTAAAATAATATCATATTATTACAATGAAAGCCAAAACATTATTGCGGAAACAACCGAAGTTCCTGTGGGGAAAGTGTTAGTGTATGGTGGGGGGGGGGGTCCTCAATAAAACAAATACCATGACTTTCCTTTTTATTTTATTTTATTATTATTCATTTATTTTCATTTTGTTATTATTATTATTATTTATTTTTTTTTTTTTTGCTTGTCAAGGAATTTTTGATAGATGATGTGTCCCCGACTGAAATGAAATTGCTCTCTATGGGCCCGAATCTCAGATAGTAAAATTGATGTCTATAGATCAGGATTTCCAAACCAAAATTTCAAATGACATGCAAACAACTTCAACTACAGATTTAACACCCCCCCCCCCCCAGCCCTTCCGGATCAAATGGTGATAATATCTCGAAAATGTTGGACTGAAAAACTGAAACTTTTTCAATCATTTCAAAATTGACATTGTCTGTCATTTGGATAAATCATTAACACCGTGCGTATGAGAGTAGCTAAGGTAGATTGCAATTAAACGAATTCCGAACTAAAATTTAAAAGCTGTTTAGTTCCAATATTGCAAGTAAATATTCCACGGTCTTGCATTTTTAAGGCTCTGTAAAGGTTGAGGATCAGTTCTTGAACTTATATATCGATTGTGTTCAGAGCCATAAAAAAATTGTTCGTTATTCTAACGGAGGAAGGGTACGTGTGGGTGAATGCTGAGGACAGTATGGAGGGAGCGATAAAGACTGCCCATGCGCCCCCTAAAAAAACGAAATAATAATTAAGATGAATGGCAAAGGAATCTAAATTAAGTCTATTCAATAACTTTGATGGAAGGTTATCCGGATTGAGAAGATTTTCCTTTATTTTTTTTATAAACTCTAACTTTTCCTAAAAAGTGCCATCCTACACTGTAAAAACAGTGTTTAGAATCTAAACACAAATCTAAACACATTTTTTGTATCAATTTTTTTTTTTTTTTTTTTACACATTTAGCTCTAAACGTGTCTCGTTTCTAAACACGTTAGACTTCATGTGTTTAGTTACTAAACATCGATGTTTAACCCCTAAACACTTAAATCTAAACACATTTTTTGTTTCACTTTTTTTTTTACACGTTTAGCCCTAAACACATCTCATTTCAAAACACATCAATTTTTAAGTGTTAAGTTGCTAAACATGTTTACTTCCACAACATTAGATCCAAGAATAGTTTAAATTATAAACTATCGCAGGAAAACATATATTTGGAAGAAAAACATTATTAAATAAGTTTCCTACAAATACCATAACATTATTGAACATTCAAACATAGATTTATTTTGAAGAATTTTAAATTCAATATACACATATAAATTAAAAATTATAAATATTTTTTTGCTTGTGTCAATATTAATCAGCTCAGCAAGCATGCACTTATTCCTCATGTCCGTAACAAAAATTAATCAAGCTTATTAATTTCCTGCAAGTCTTTCACTAGAAACACACGATCACATGTTTTCGTCCATTACTGCCAGAAAGGAATCCATTCCCATCATACAAATGTTTTGGGGCTGTTTAAATATATACCGCACAGTACACTTCACGAAATTCAGTTTCCTCTTAAATGCAAAAAGTGCTGAAGATGTACCAACAATTGCGTGGACTTGGAAATGACACCATCTACTCTGAGACGTGTAGTTTTGCTTCGGTCTGGACCATATCTTGTAAGAAAGAAATGAAATTATACTAAAAATATGCCCCTTGCTGACTGATAGCTAACTGGCTAATATATGCAACTTTTATTGAAATCCATTTCACAATTATGTATTTTTAATACTGATACGGATATAGATATTTTCAATGACATTCTATGTAATATAAACTCCTTTCTAGCTTTCAGGAATGCAAAAATAAAAGAAGGAAATCTTGATCTACAATTGTGTACTTGCAACGTTTCTCATTGTAGTCAATTTATGTAAACAGACCTTTTATTGTAGTAATATATGTTGCATTTCAAATGCATTTCACAATCCCTTCCTGGTTATCACTTTGGTTATGATTCGCCTCATTAAATCCATCATCTTTAGCTTATTCTGGAATTTTCTTTAATTGTTTCGATAACCGCCGCTCTATTAACGTTCAAATATATTACGCGTAAACACATTTAAGCACAGATGAAGAAACAAACTTTTGTCAAAGAAGAAAATAAAAGTGTTTAAATTAAAATCTAAACACGTAGTTTTTAATTTTTTATACAAACACAAAAATGGAATTGAAGTGAAAAATATTTGTATATCTAAACACGTTTGAACACCACAGATATATATAGAAATTTATTATTTGCATCATTTGCAATGAAATTAGGCCAAAAAATATATACCAATCCAGGCATCCATTTTTTGTTTGTATCATCTGTCCTTAAACATGTTTAGGTCTAAACACGTAATGGAAGTGTTTATTTTCTAAGCGCAGTTTTTACAGTGTTGTTATCCATATAAAGATAAAAATCTTTGATTGACCAGCTAAGTGTTAGTTCACTTTAAGCTGACGGCATTATAAGGATAATGCACTTTATGGTGTATCTAAAGAAAAAAAAGGTTTTCCATATTATATTAAATCAAACAAGGACATAGCTTAATTAGCCTCAAACTATATTTGATTTCATTGACTGAAATTCTGAATGAAGATTAAGCCTTGGGATGAACTCGAACAGAAGCACGCTAATCACTGATACCTTCAGAGGGAGAAGAAAAAACGATTGATGGTAACAGCAGAGGTAGATTTGAGGTTCAATATAGAATAAGATGTTTTAAAAATCAATTAAAGTCATGACCAAACATTCTGTTCATGCACAAGGTACATCTTTGATTTCATTCTTAATGCTTGTTTATTTGTGTATAGATGGTCATCAAGACAACACTATATCTTTTACCCCCCTCCCCCTCCCCCACTCCCTTACACACCCCCCCCCTCCCCCACTCCCTTACCATTTACAATCAGAGCTTGAAATCATAATTAATTATAATTCAAAGAGAACCTAAGAAAAAAATAGAATAAAGTAAGATTAAAATTATTTTTACATGTATCTATTGTCAAGAAAGTACGTAGTATCATTCTTGGAACAGGTACCCCCCCCCCATTATTTTAATTTTGTTTAAATATACCAAGCATTAATTTTTACTATTGAAAATGTTCATTCATTTTCAAAGCCCCCCCCCCCCCCTTTTACATACACATAAACTTTCTGTTTTATCATAGAAAAAACAAATCAATTATTATAGTAATTTGGAAATGTATAAAATAAAATTCAGCTGTGAAAGAAAGTTGGAATCTACCCACCCCTTTCGCCACAATCTTCCTAACCCCTCGAAATCATTATTTTCGGCTTTGGAAAGTTTTCGTTTGTGGATCCGCCACTCATCTTTGCAAGTTTCTTTCACTGTATTTGATTGGTGAAATTTGTGGAATTAAACCAATCAAAATTGCTTTTGCATTTTAAGAATAAGTTTTAAGTGTCATGGCGGACAAGGGTAAGTCAAAAACATATGAAAAGTATTCAGACGATAATTAATAAACAAGTATGATCTTTTTTGACATTTCAGTACTATAAAATGGATCCATAACAAATGTTTTTTGCAATTCATTTACTAAATACATGATCTGATCATTCAGTTTTCGTAATAGTTTGGTGAATCATCTGATAAATATTCATAAAGCAGGTAATACTTTTGTTCCAGTGTTTAAATTGGATATTTCCTTGTTTACCTTTGTATAAAGACACGTGAGGTCCACTTATATATTATATCCGCAAATCTGGAGCGAAATATATAGATAAAGTTTTGACATGTTCGAATTTCCTCTATTTACATAGCCCGAGGAAGGAATTTTGATGTTAGATAACATTTTTATTTAGCAAACGGACATTGAAAACATTAACAATCATTAAATCGAATATTTTTAATATAGTATGAAATCAGACTGTGTACCAGCTGTGTACCTTGCTGCATTGCAATAATAACAAGAATAGATATGGGTTACCCCATATCCAAAGATATTCGACTTTTAGATTTAATATGTTTAACAGTGTTTAATGACGTTTATAAAAATAAAACTGCACTGTCTAGTTATAGAACTTGTGTAAATTTCGATTGAATAAGTAAATTTGGTCATATAGTCTCCTAACCATGCTAACAAACAGTACACATACCTATGTCCGCAAGTCCAGTTAGCCTTGGTCTATACACACGTGCGATGGAGTTGTCAAACGGACTCCCGCGAACAGAGAAGTGACGATGGCAGACAAAACTTTTTTTCACATAGATCACATGAATACAAATTCTGATTCATAAAAATTAAACGATTGTCAGTTTAGAAATCCCCGGCCAGTTCGGGTTTTGTTACACATTTTACAGGTACTCTCCCCATGTGTAGTTTGTCTACACACGTGCAGGAATCTGCTCAGGGATTGAAAATTCCGTCAGTTAATGTGCTACACACACAGAATGATTTTTTTTTCTCTTAGAGGAAACTATATGATAATTAACGAACAATTAACATGATTTTAATACTGTTGTTGATATATAATAATCACTTCATCAGTGAAAAAATATCAACCGAAGAATGACCTAGATATTCTCTGTTATCAAACATGTTAAAAAAAAAGCTGAGGAGGGAGCAAATTTTACGATATGTAGGAATATTAACATTTTTTATTTGCATTTAGGGGGGAAAGTGATCTTTGGAGGAAAAATTAAAATTAATTTTGGTTTCTTTTACGTATGACATACACAACATTATTCTTATCATGAACAATTATGTTGTATCTACTTATTAATGATGGAACTATTTTCGTCGGAACAATTTGTGTGAGTCGCTGCTGACTACAGTAATATATCTTGAACTAATAGTATGCACTGATCGAATATATTAAAAACCCTCTCCAAAAGTATTTTTATCAATTCCATTTCATTTTTTCTGCATGACTGTTTTTGAGAGAGTACTACAAATCCAAAGGATCTTCATGTTGATGCAAAAATAAATTATCTGTCAAATGTTAATTAAAATTTAGATCTGATTGATTAAGTAAATTTGGATATAGATGAGTAAAAATGCCATATGCCATTACTTAAATATAAATTAATTTTAAAAATAGGAATGATGAATTCCTACTACATGTACATGTATAAATGTCAGAGGCAATCTGTAAATGGATAACAATGTCTTTTTATAGTTGATAATCCAGAGTCTTATGCTTTTGGCCAGGGAATTTATTATTGTGCAGTAAGAGTGAAACGGTTCACAGTGGTATCGATTCACTGTGGTATTTCTTCTCGGTTCGATGCACAGTACAAAATCTCTATTTTCAGTTCGGTTCGTTTTTCGGTCAGGATCTTTATTCAGTTGGGTTTGGCATAAGGTATAAACATGTTCCTCCATATAATTCAGTTGTAATTAGTTCAAAAACGTAAATTTTTGTGGACTTAAAGTTTGTAAAATACTGTTTATTAGTCAAATCAATGAAATTGATTTCTTCTATCCATTTTGCACATGAATTATTTGACTAGATTAAGTAAAGGAAGCATAAAACAACAGTTGAATTTTTTTCCTTCTATCAAAAGGTATCGTATCGAAAATAACCGAACCGAGACCAAATTTTACGATATGTATCGAACCGTGAGGGAGGCATATTGTTTCACCCCCTATTGTGCCACATGAAATTTGTATTCATTGATAGCCCAACGACAAGAGTTGTTCAAAAATCACCTTAGTATATAGTGGAGAAAAATAGAATTTTTTGTTAAAAAGCAATTATTTTAGCTTTATGAGCATGATAAGGTTAACTATTTCATTTCACATAAAGGAAGATTTTCATAAGATACAAATAACAACTAAGCCCATCTTTAAAAATTGTTTGACTGTTTAATACCCTGTCTAAAACTGGCAGGCTAAAATGTTGAAATTTTGTGAGAAAAAAGATTTTCCCACTTTCCTACCAACCCATTTTTGTTAAGGGGGGGGGCAATCAAACATTATTTTAAAGTAAGATGGCCTAAAGGAGAAAACATTTTATCGGTAGCGGAAGTAGTGGAAGTTTAAATTTCAATAGAAAATGAATGTAAACAATGTACCAGTGCCTGAAATAATTTTTTTTTTGGTCAGTTACTGGAGACCATGTAGCATATCATCCATTGATGTTAAATTCATTTATTATTCTCAGATACGAAATAATTTTTGGTTTGAATCAAGATCTTTGTGGCAATGAATCACAGTCTGCCCTCCCTCCTCCCAAGTCCAGGACCCCCTTCCTCCTTACCCCATGCAGCTAGCCATTAACCTAGAAGCATATTTTCCCTAAATTACCAGTTGTATGGTCACTTCTTCACTTTAATAAATGATATATTTTGGAGAAACACAGAATAGTAAACCCCTGATTCTCATTTTTGTAATCTTTATGACACAGGTTCTACTCTTTTTTTTTAGGACTGTATTGTTTGTTCTCTGTATAATTGTGATACAAACCAAGGACGAACACCCACACCCTGTATGTGAGGGTGTTTTGGAATGGTGTACTGTTAGCCAACAAACTGGACCCAAATGATGAAACCCTCTACGCAACCTGTGATGTAAGTGCCCAAGATGGAGCCCCAAATGACCCCAACTTAGAGACCTCAGAAGCTGGATGTCTGACTGGTAAGATTATATTGCTAAAAAAAAAAACAAAAAACTAAACTGTCTAATAAATGTATCAATACCAAAAATAAACAACTCTTGAAGGTCTAAAACTGCAATATTGATGGTAGAGATAACCATAACCCAAAATGGCATTGCTTCAAGTATATGTAGATAACATAGCATATACAGGTAAACCTTATAAGTTTGTCTCGAGATTATATATTCATTACCAGCACTGTCTATTTGTTTCTGTATGCTATGATTTCATGATGCAGTGTTTCATCAATATGAATGGTGAGTGTGAATAAAAAAAAATGTACTCATGAATCTACTGTATTTGGAAATAAATCAAAAAAGGAAAGCATAACAGGGACAGTAACTCTTGCATCCCTATCATAAAGATCTCAAAGAACTTCATAAAGAAGTCAAAACCTTAAACCATAAAAACAGAATTAAACAAGTCAGGATAACATTTTTTTGGTGGGGGGGTTATTATGACTTAGTTCTAACATGAATGTATATATGAACTAACTTCATGTACCAAATGTAACAAATGCTAGCCAGATCATGTGTCATGTACACTTCACAGATTTCCTTTTACGGTAGAGCAAATAAAAAAAAAATAAAGATGATCTTTTGTGGGAGGTTTAGCCAAGATTAGAAGATGTTACACATGTTACATAACCAGGGTTTGATATGGAGAGAAAAATCTCAGGATTTCGCTAAGTTTGCATAGGGTTTGTTTTACCTGTAGGTTCATAGTGACATAGGTATTTAGGTCAGGATATATATATTCTATAAGTGAACTTGAACTCACCTGTGCAAATGAATGCATTTACTGTTAATTTGTTTTGGAGGTGTGATAACGTATATAAATATAAGCACAGGTACATTCATATCAAAGATCACCTGGATTTATATATTAAACAGGTAATGATTTATGTATATTGATTTTAATACTTATAAATACATGTTTTCATAATATTTTACATGTTTTTATCAATTTATATGTGGTAGGAATGGTAGGCATATTCTACCCCCTAATTAAACAAGGTAATTGTTTAATTAATTTTTACTAAATGACTTGTACTTGTGTGTAAATGGATTTACATTCATTAAATTCTTGGCAGATGTTTTATCTTAGATCAGTATTTAAACAAAGCAGGAAATATATATCCATTACACAAATATACATTGTATTGTTACAAGTTTTAAGTTTGTTTGTTTGATGACGATTTTTCTTTTTGAAAAATTTTCCTGCTCTACACATTGTATAGATAACATATAGTCTAAGGTCTACAGCTTGCATAGGTTGAAATAGAGTCTAAAAAATTAATTTTCTAATGAACTATTAAAGCCAACTGCAGGGTTTCATTAGAAAATGGAACATAAAATTGCTATTTCAGGAAATCCCATTGAAGATTTTATGCATAAGTATGCATATTTAATTAAGTATATAGAGTGGGAGATTTATTAAAGTTTGATTTAAATTATGAAGATTTACAGTTTTTTTAATTCAATATCATTATTATGAATGTAATTTTAAATGCACTGTATATGAGCAAATGACAAAGTTATGAATTAGAACATTCCTTTAACTCTCAATGTAAGAGGGCTGAGGGTCGCAAAGTCAGACTTTAGATCTTAAGTTTATTTGTTTCAGTAGCATAATTCCTCATTTAATTGATTTTTAAGTTTTAAGGGAAAAAACTACTGGTAAAATTGTCATGGTAATTTATTAGTTGAATAAATTTTGATGGAACAATGAGGATTCAGCTTATGCATGTATTAATCAGCGAATAGATCAGTCCAAAAACTAAATTTAAGAAAGAAATCAATATTCCATGAGCTATATAAATGTCATGTCAAACTATGCTTTGAAGCTTATACAGTAAGAGAAGGGATGGATGAGGATAGAGATTCTGTCTATACAAACTAAACAGTACTAAGGAACTAAATTATACAGCTATATTATACAGTAGCCTGTAACTGTCAATTTATTCAGTTCTGTTAGACTTGATAATGATTAAAACACAACATAATTAACATTGGAACACATCCCAGACAATGCAGACTATAGACAGAGTACGGTTTCTGATGCAAGTTTTGCGCATCATTGACTGACGTTTCTGAGAATCAATGTCAGTGAGGAGCTTTTGTATGTAATCCAATGTTAAAGAGCTGATGTAGTGTTTGTGATGTAGATTTCATAGGGATAAGTCTACAGCTGGTAAAACATGTGGGTATTTTCATATATTATGCATTACATTGTGTGTATTCACTTTAATATTTTGTCAAAGATAATTTGTAGGCTCTGTGGATATCTGTATTTTTTTGGTGCTATTTGGTAGACAACTTTTAAATGTTTGATATAGAAAGACAAGTTTATCTAAACACAGTTTTAAACAACATGCCTTTAATAGCCTAGATATATACATTTAATCTGTGTTTGAGCAAATTGTTTTAAAGCAGAACTTCTTTGTCCCAGATTTCTTTGTTGTTAATGTAATATGTCCCAAATGGACCATTATCCATGTCTGCATTTAGCAGTTCATATAAATAAGTCACAGACATATGCATGTATTATACACAGACTCCCTGATTTCTTCAACTGGTTTACATTTATTGGGTATGTTGAATTAATTTGATAAGATAATACTGTAGACTCCTAATTATTTGCGAGGAATTAATTTACGCATAATTTCACGAGGAGCATCGCTAGCGGAAAAATATTACTCACTTTTATTTCAATGGTGCTGAAATCTACGCAAATTCTGTTGATCAACCATCCATTCGCTAATTATGATTCTCGCGATTTGACATTAAAGAGCCAGTTCACAAAAAAAAAAAGCACTCAAGAAAAATAAGGAATCTACAGTATGGTTATAAAATTCCTCTTTATTTTATAGGTGTGTTTTCTTGCAAATCCCTGTCTTTATACCTTTTTCTATAGAATTCCTCTATGTTTTGTAGATGTGTGTAATCTTGCGAACCTCCCTGAAGTAGAGATCCTCAGTCTTATAGAGGAGCAGATTCCCAAGTATCGCCTGCGGGCGGACACCATCACCAACTTCTGTGGGTACGAGAACGAAGACTGGATCCAGACCCCCCTCATCCCCATAGACGAGGATCTAGAGCTCTCTAATGAGCAGATCCAGGAAACGCTCAAGTACTTTGGTAAGGAACAGGGATGGATTTCGTCTGGGGAGGGGGTAATGAGGGGGGGATTTTATCAGGAGAGGGGGTAGTTGATTGGGAGGGATTTTATCAGTTGAGGTGGGAAAGGAATGGGGAGGGATTTTATCAGGGGAGGGGGTAAAGAGATGGGATTGTTGATGGGGAGGGTTAAGAAGGGGGAGGGATTTAATCTGGGGAGAGGGTAAGGAACAGGGAGGGTTTTTTTCAGGGGAGGGGGTAAGGAATGGAGAGAGATTTTTTCAGGGGAGGGGCTAAGGAATGGGGAGAGATTTTATCAGGGGAGGGGGTAAGGAATGGGGAGGGATTTTATTGGGGGGTAGTAAGGAATGGGGAGGGATTTCATCAGGGGAGGGGATAGGGATGGATTGTGGCGACAATTACACAGAGAGAAAGAGGGGGAGAGCTTTTTTAAAAAAATCTTTATACCATGGACTGTTTCATGTATTGATTTTGCTGTAGGCTGATATAAAAGAACTTACCGAAATGAATTTAAGCAAGAGTTGTATTGTCTATGTGAGATTAAGTGTATTGCAGAAATAAATTCATCAGTAATGAAAAAGGGGACATCTTTTTGGGAAATCATCTCCTTTCACAATGAATAGCTTTATAGAGCTGTATAAAGATTGATTGATTGTATACTGTTTGACGTCCCTCTCCAGAATATTTCACTGATATGGAGATGTCACCATTGCCGGTGAAGGGCTGCAAATTTAGGCCTATGCTCGGCACTTACAGCCTTTGAGCAGGGAGGGATCTTTATCATGCCACACCTGCTGTGACACGGGGCCTCGGTTTATACGGTCTCATCCAAAGGACCGCCCCATTTAGTCGCCTTTTACGACAAGCAAGGGGGTACTGAGGACCTATTCTAACCCGGATCCACACGGGGGATCTGTATAAAGAGGTTTGGGATGAATTGCTGTGTAACAAACAGTTGTGATCATTTCTCTAAAGATAACAAAAATTCTTCACAAGATTTTTTAAAAATGAGATTAACTTTTTATTTTGTTTATTTACAAAGGCGTATATTTTGAAATGTGCAAAGATGGCAGTGTTTTTCAAAGATTATTAAAGTTCAGGTTTACCTTTAAGGAAATTAGTTCTATTTTTGTAAGCTAAGATTTACTTAACACCTTTGAACTAATTGAACATATTGTGACCTATAATGTAAAAAAATTACAGTGTATAGAAAACGTGTTCAAAAATGTTATTGAAGCGGATAATAAGATTAGCAAACTTGCAGTCTATGTAGATTGTCAAGTATGTATACCTTGTAAAAGAAATTCAATAGGATTCTAGTTATCCATTCATAATGTATGTGTGAAACAAAGCACTGTTCCAGTGTGTACAAATGTTCTTTTTAATATTTTACCTTGAGTAGTTCTGATGTATGTCTGTTGGGTGATACCCTCTGAAAGTTACTGGAGTGAATTTAAACTCGCTGACCTAAACCCACTGAAAAGAATAAGGCAGCAGTTTTGAGGGTGTAATAGTCATTTCAATCAAAGACCTTTTTATAAGGTGTAAGATTGTTTTGGCAAAGTGTCTTGCTTTAAAATTTCAATAGCTTTTAATTAACATATAAAGTAAGATTGGAATTTTGCCATATGTTGACTTCAACAATAAGAGTATTGAATAATTCTCTGTCAGACTTGGACTTATAAATTACAGAATATTAATTGCTTACAGGATTATTTTATTTGTGTACCTGTAAAGCTATACTGTTTACGTGAATTGTCATAATTGGATTACCTATTGCTTGTTGTTGTTTGATGAAATATAAATAAAGGATATTGGCTCATCATAGAATCTTGACAAACCTGACAATGCTGATTTAAAATTACAAGGAGACTTTGATCTTCCATCCAGAATTGCTGAACAAGTTGAATGCAAATTGTGAAATATGAATTTTTTTCTATAATTCCTTCCATCAGTTCCTAAGATAAGGCATTGTAATGCAGGATATACTTTTTGTGTATATTGAAAATTAAATTGCAACATCAGCATAAATAATCAGTCATCGATATTTTGATTGGATTCAATGTCATTAACCTGGTGGACTTTGAGATTTCAGTCCTGTCAATAATTCCAATGATAAGTAAAGGACAGAAATTTAATTCCAATATTGATGTGACAGCTTTGTTTACAATAGTTCAGTTTGAACATGTAGTACGCAAAAAATGTACCGAGAAAAATTGATGCCATTTCCAATAGCAACTGATGAGACCTGTCATTTGACGGTGATTTTCTGGAAAATATTGGCTACCTGGGAATAATTTTCCTCATGGAATATTTATCCTGGTGACTGGCTGATTTGTGTACTAGTGGCAATAGATTGGATATTGATCTGGTGATGTGTATTGGTTAGTCCTGTATATGGGTGGATATTGGCTTTGTTATACATCTCTCTGCCAAGTGTACAGGGATTATTGACAAGAACTGCGGGTATTATTGTGTGTTCCCAACGGTGATAGAATTGTCATCCCATTAACACTTCATTTGATGAAAAACAATTTATTTAATGGAAATATTAGAAATGTATAAAGAAGGCAAATACGCTTCTTGGAAAGTATATATAATACTGTTATTAGGACTGGTTTGCTGAATATTAAAGTGAAAAAAATGACTCTGAAGTTTAGGAAAATGAAGTATGAATGTTGACTCAGTAGAAATGAAAAGTTTATAAAATTGTGGAGATTGAATCACAAAGTTCGTAAGTTAACATACTTAACAATGGAGTATGGATGATCAGTTTGAATCGGGGAGCAGTGCAGACAATAGCCTATGGAACCTAGCAGGTACACAGATACGTATTTAATCTCCATACTCGGGGTTTTTGGCACATATAGCATGTCTTTTATGTAGGCTGCATAAACATTTTAATACACTCCTTTTGTAGACGACGTCAAAAGTTTAACGGCATGTTTTGATCTCTATTTGAATATGAGCCAGGCATTTAAATACACAAGATTAGTTTAGCAAATTCAAAACATAAAATTAAAAGGAAAATTTTTGTGTCAAGTTATGCAATTTCTTAGAAATCAAGTGTAGAAAACTTGATTGTTTAAGCTTTGTAAACTTGACAAATATGTATTAATGGACGTGAACGATCCGGGTAAAATAAGGTTGGGCGATAAAACAATCATTTGGGTTTGGATTATTTTTCGAGCTCTATGATTTTTCTGCCAACTGGATTCTAATACCAGGGTACATGCACAGATTTATGCATAATACTTCAACATGTTAAACTAGTTTGTTTTTGGCAGAGGAGTGTGCATGGGTTGGCCAAATATTTCAGATTTAATGGTAAGGTTTTGAAATTGTTCATTTGCGAGATCTTCAATATCCATGCAGAACTTATAAATAATTTATTACGTGTAAAATTCTCATTGTCAAATATTCTTGTTATTATAGTTATTATCCCATTCACCCAGTTCTAGCTTTGCAATATTATCTGGTACACATTGTCTCAAAATTGGTAAATAGCCAGTAATTAGAGATTTTACTTTTTAAATTATTTTTAAAGAATTAAAATCATCAATTTGCAAAAAAAAAAAAAAAATAAAAATAAATTCAAACAAAATTCAGTTAATTAAAAGTTGTCTTTCTGTGGGTTCAAATATGTGATTTTTACAGTTGTTGGACAAAATTTCAATTTATATGGAAATATGGACATCTTAGGTCTTACACTAATGAATAAATTGCTAAAATGTTTGTTCTGTAATGGATGTATCTCAACATATTTACTCCAAGGACATTTATTAAAAAGATGCAAAATTACAGATCATTTTACTTTTCAAAGACATTGCTTGAAAATGAAAAAAAAAAATTACATTCATTTGACAGCAAAAAGGGCTCCTTTTAGAAAAAGAATCAGAGAAATTTTAGTGAGGATGCAATTTTGGTATTTTGAGCAAGGGTATTGGGATTGCTTGAATTGAATTGATTAACAATTCATTTAAAATTTTAAGTTACAGTTATCTTCTGTGTAATCACCATAAATTGCTAAGATTCACTTTTGCTAAAATTAAATACTTATTTTTTTAACTAAATGCTGAATTTTCATCTTTCATTTTAAAAATTTCCTTATATGGTACTTTTTAAAAGAAACAGTTTTAACTTTAAGATAAAGAATTTCTGAGGTGACCGACTATTTGCTATCTCTGCTAGAGCTGTACATTTATGTGATCTTTGTTTTTTTTTTCAGTGCTATGTTCGGACCGCGTGACCCAGATGACTAAGACGTATAATGATATAGAAGCAGTAAACAGACTCCTGGAAGAGGTACATGTCAAAGTCTAACGACACAAGTATTATCCCAGAAAAAGAAAACCCTGTCAAAAGTACATGCACGCATTGCAAGGCAACTATTGACCGGGAAAGGGGGATTTAATAAATGACATGAAGAGGCACTGGTTCATTGCATTAAAATCAAGGAATTATTTGTACAGTATTTTATCAGGAAGTCTTGCCAAATTTATGATGTCTGGCTTTGATATGCAATTGAGCCAGAGATATCCTGCAATATTAAAATTAGAGACCAACTTGGGATAATGCTTTCAATAATGACACCTTGTTATGTAATTTTTATCAATGATAGAGAATGCAGAAGCTTATTTCATCTCCTTGCATGCAGAGGAATTTATAATTTTATTTTATTTTGCAGAAAGAAAGAGATTTAGAGTTAGCAGCTAAAATTGGACAGACCTTACTGACAAAAAACCAAGAACTTTCAGAAAAAAATGATGTATTAGAGGAACAGTTAGTTCTACTTACAGAAAAGGTACACAACACCAGCCCTGATTGGTCAGTCTCCTGCAGTTGAGTTGCAAGAGTACAATGTATAGGGGCAAATTAAATGCAGCAGAAATGTTTCCAACACAGTCTTAATGTTTTATACTTGTATATACCAGTGAATTCAAGATATGAAGAACACCTTTTTTCCTACGTGTTAGAGTCTGCATCTTATGTGTGGTTGGAGATTTGTTATGTGAATGTTTGGATTTTAAATTGTAATTCACTTCCATTAGACAAATATCATTCTTTGCTTTTAATTCCCAATCTGTATTTTTTGTAGGTAAATCAAATCAAACATGAGTTATCACTGAAGGATGGGCTACTGCAGGCCTTCTCAGAAACAGCTGATTTGTCACCGGGCGAGGAGTCCTCCAGGTATGCTAGAGTAATCATTAGTGAACTAATAAAGAACAGTTAGAGAGCAGAAACTTTGTCCAAACTTTCACACATGTCTCTGTTATTACCTGTTTGGTATGTAAATTAATGTCACATGAATAGATTTTTACCTGCTCTTTCATGAGTTGATGCATGTTGGTTACATAATTTATTTCTAATTATAGGTGTAGGTGTGTAATCTGTAAAAATTATACTGTAATTACAGGTGTTACTTGTATTGAAAAGTTATTTGTTTTCATGTATTCATGTACATTATAGATACCTTGATATGTCTCAACTTTTAATTACAAATGTTACCTAGTATGGCATAGTGTCTGTACTACTATGTTATACATATACTGTACAACTGATTTATGTATATGCGTTAAACCTATGAACTGTATGGTTCTTGGTAATAAACAATACAATACAATACTTCATTACACAAGTAACTTGAATTGTCTCTTGATATTTACAGCAGCAGTAATGACTGCTTACAGCACATTGGAGGAGCCTGCGCTCTACAGACAAAAGTCAAAGATCTCGAGGAGGAAAATCTCAAACTCCGATTAGAGGTCTCTATTAGATTTAGCTCAATTAGCTGTAAAAATCTTCTCTAGAGTTAATTTAATGTAGAAATTTGTCATTTCCAAAATTTAAAATTTAAGAACATGAGGCAGATATGAAAAGAATAAGAAGAAACTGAGAGATATATTTAAATGATATTAATTTTAATTTGAACAGACTGAGCAGCTTTCAGCAGAAACCTCTAAGTATGAAGAAAAAGAACAGAGATTGGTGGATGATTGTGTGGCACAGCTAAGTATGTACCAGAGTATACAGAATGTAAATAAATATGTCATACAAAATATGATTTAGCCTATAATACATGTATTATTCCCTAAAGTTATATAAAGTAATAACCACAATTCGTGAATTTTTTTGTCTCGCTTAAAAAGAGTTAATGTCTACCTCGCGAAAATAAGGTCTTGCTAAGATTTTGTGATCTGCAGAAATCTCATTCTATCATTGACCTTTGTATGTAATATTGCATGCTCTTTTCACTTAACAAAAATACTGTGTCCTCAGATGCCAAGAAGAAGGAACTGGACCTCCTGGTTGAAGATTTACTGAAGAAGACAGAGGAATGCAGTGGTCAAAAGGAGGAAATCACCAACCTGCTGGCTCAGGTGGTGGATCTACAAAAACGCATCAAGATCGTAAGTATTTCTGTACATGTCTGGTGGTGGATCTACAAAAACGCATCAAGACTGTAAGTTTTACTGTACATGACACGTAATGCATAAAAAAAAATTAAGCTGTACATGACAAAAGGTGGACCTACTAAAGATCCTTCAGGTCTCTGTCTCTGGCAAAACAATTGAAGGGTTGAAAGTTTGATGATTTTGGTATATTATAAAAATAGCGAGTGGAAAATTTGACAATCTACCAGTATTTAACAGTGCTCTCTACCTTGAATATGAAAGTTGATGAGTGAACATTTTGACAATTAAAAGAAATTCATCAATTTTGTCAATGTTTTCACATTGTCAAAGTTTCCACTTTTACAGTATATTAATGAATTAATGAATTTCATTAAAGAAATTTCTAAAATGCTATCAATGTCCACATAAAATATTTATAAGCTGTTGAATGCATTTGCTAAATTGCATCACATGCAGATAAGAGACTTTAAATGAATGATTTCAAGGTGCATTAAGATACATGTATGTGCTCTAGATCTCTTTAAATATAAGACTAGGTAATGTGTATGAGGTAAGGTAAAGGGAAAATCAATATTTCCTGGAGAGCTACGTGCTCTAGATGAGGATGTCAATGGTTTTAGGTGACAGAACAAATCTAATGTACCGAGTGGATTTACTGGATAACTATAAGATATTTATTGTAATTATCTGTATATATATATGTGTTGTTATATTTATTGTAGGTGACTCTGGAGAACATGGAGTTACAGAAGCACCTTGAAGCTTCACAAACTGCACAGAGACAGCTGACTTCAGAGGTCTGTATCAAATCTCAGACTGTGTGTATGTACATATTTCTATTCTTCATTCATTCATTCACTCAATCATATGTTCATCCAAAACATTCATTCATTTAATAATATATCATCATCCACATGATCAATTATATTTTCACGAAACGTTTCATGATTACAGTCATTCAGATTCCATTTCTATATTAAATGCTTTAAGGGAAGAAAAAAAAACACATTTAAATAGGTCTTAATCATTTTTTTTAAAAGTACCAAACACATTACTACATGTATTATAAATGGCTAATTTTCTTTCCTGATCAGCTTGCCAGTCTGAAGGACAAACATGACGAGATGTGTGCGATGTACGAGCAGGCTCAGGAAGAGATCCGTGAGCTGCGACGTAAACAAAAGCCGGGGGCGGTCAGACATAACTACATGTCCTCATCAATGCTGAGTCTCCCCTCAGACTCGCTGGCCTCAGAACTGGAGAGCTCACTCAGGAGCGAGTGTGATTATCCCCCCGGTTACTCACCAGCTGAGAGAAAGTAAGGCACTCTCACTGTCTTCTCTATAATCAGATTATGCACAGTAACACTATTTAACAGTCTTGGAGAACCTGTAATTTTTTTCAGAAAAATCGTAAGTCATAATGATTATATCTATATAACATATCAAGAATGTACACTGTTTATCATTCTTTCTTCAGAAGCAGTGATGCCTTTAAATATTATTTTTCCAAATTCTTCAGAGTACACAACTGGAAGATCTTCGAGACTGCTAAAGCTGCACTAAAGGCCGGAAATTCCCGCAGCTCTATGCCCGGATCAAGAAGTTCCCTGGCCCCCTCTGTTAGCCCGAGCATGCTAAATCTAGGTCACAGTCCCCCCGGGGCCAGTAGCCTGGACATGAGTCGTAACGACAGTGGTGGAGAATCAGCGTCTGTATCTACCAGGAGTTCTATGTACTTCGCTGACGTGGAGGGGAGTGAAGCTCCGACAGATTTAGCAGGTCTCAACAGTCTGTACAGGTAAATAAAAAACAAGATTGAGAGCATTTAGCAGTCTACAGGTAAACAGGTAAGGGACTGGAAAGTCTGTAAAGGTAATCAGAAAAGATTTACAGCATTCAGAAGTTTGTAGTAAACAGAAACACATGTTTTACTTCCTTTTACATTCTCTATAGGGAAACAAAAGAACAAACATGAGTTTTACAGGATTTAACTTTGAGGTCTATACCAAACTTACTGCTTAAAAATCAGATCTTTTGAAAAATTTTAAAAATGATTGATAGATACTGACAGGTTAGACTAATTATTGTTTTATTTAAAGGAAAACTTATTTAACCACATATACCTTTGTAGGAATGAGAAATGTCAGTATGGTAAACCAGGGATTCCTGGGTCGAATGATCTGGAGACAGCCCTACGTAAGCTGTCAATACGGCGAGCTAACGAGCTTAACGAGCGTGACTTCAGGGAAGACGAGGAGAAGAGACAGAGAGAAAGGAATAGGTATGACTTGTTAGGGCAGAAATAGGCTGTGTAAGGCCAAAATAGATGGAAAAAAATGTAGAGAATTGATTTAGTTCAGTTAATGTTTTTCATGGATAACAACATTAATATTCTGATACAGAACAGTGACTCTTTAATACCATAAAAGATCAAATCAGTCAGGATCAGTGATTGTGTGTTGAAGCTTTGCATTCAAGTTCACATTAGCTCACAATTGATATGAATCTTTTGAGATATTTGTCAATAAGATTAACTTGAAAGGAAGAAAAGTTCTCCTCTGACATGAACCTCTAACTGACTATATGTCTTTGATGTGACAGGACGGAGAGTGATTTGTACGACACGCCGGGCACCTGTCGTACCCCGGACAGCACGCTATCAACAGGAAGTGGACTGTCTCAGTTCTCACTGACAGGAAGTAACAACCCGTACTACCGTCTACCACAGAAACTACGAATCATCAAACCACTCGAGGGTAAATCAGACTTCTGTAGATTTCAAATTTATGTTTCAGCTTTTAAAAAATTACCATTTTTTCCCCTAATTACATTAACTTAAGATGCCAGAGATGCTAGATTCAAAACTCATAAATGTGATAGACTTGAAGTAACAATTAGTATCTTGTAAAATGTTAGTAAAATCCAGTGCATAAATTTTACATGTAATTAGAGGATCAATTACATGGTAGTCAGGATAGTTGGTTGCACACGTCTAGCATAAGCAATGTATATGCATGTACTGTAACTGCATGTAAGGCACCATCTGAGTTGTTAGATAGGTTGATGTGAAGCTCACCTGTTGACTGGCTCTTTTGTTTTCTGTACAGGATCTGTATACTATATATATAGGGTTATTTTCACCTCTCTTTATTTTCGCCTTTTCAGTCTTGCAGAAAATTTTGCCCCATCTTAAATTCGCCCAGTTACACTTTTGTTTAAGAAATTTTACAGTATTCTTGGATTTGCCTGTTTTAAATTTGCCCAACCGAGGTAAGGGCAAAAGGGGCGAAAATAAAACGGGCAAAAATTTCCCTGCATTCAGTACTATATTGACAGTTGATTGTTGTTGAGGGCACCTGTTGACTGGTTCTTAGGTTTCCTGTACAGGTTCTGTATACTATATTGACAGTTGATTGTTGTTGAGAGCATCTTTAGACCGGCTGCTTGTTTTTTTTGTACAGGATCTGTGACCTTGAGACAGTGGCAGCAGCTGGCGACCCCTAAGATGGACAAACTGTTTGAGTCCAGACCTGGAGTGGCCACTAAAGGAGAGAGAAAGCTGGACATTGAGGTGGAGACGTATAACCTCAGTGACTTTGAGGAGGATGGTAGGAACTACTACTGATCACTATAAAGCTGTATTCTCCTGGTTTTTATTACAGTTTAAGATTTATCATTTAAAAAGAAAACAATTCCAAACTGAAGTGTTAAATAATGGGTTTTATATGAATTTTTAGCTCACCTGAGCCAGAGGCTCAAGTGAGCTTTTCTGATCAAAATTTGTCTGTTGTCTGTCATCGTCATTGTCGTCGTAGTCGTCGTTGTCATAAACTTTTCACATTTTCATCTTCTTCTCAAGAACCACTGGGCCAATTTCAACCAAACTTGCTACAAAGTATCCTTGGGTAAAGGGGATTCAAGTTTGTTCAAATGAAGGGCCACGCCCTTTTCCAAGGGGAGATAATTATGAATTAGAGAAAAATTTTTTTTAAAAATCTTCTTCTCAAGAACCACTGGGCCAGGAAAGATGAAACTCATGTGGAATCATCCTCAGGTAGTGTAAATTCAAGTTTGTTCAAATCATGACCCCCGGGGGCAGGGTGGGGCCAAAATGGCCGATCAAAGTTTTACATAGGAATATATAGGAAAAATCTTAAAAATCTTCTTCTCAAGAACCAAAGGGCCAGGAAAGATGAAACTCATGTGGAATCATCTTCAGGTAGTGTAAATTCAAGTTTGTTCAAATCATGACCCCTTGGGGTAGGGTGGGGCCAAAATGGCCGATCAAAGTTTTACATAGGAATATATAGGAAAAATCTTTTAAAATCTTCTTCTCAAGAGCCACTGGGGCAGGAAAGATGAAACTCATGTGGAATCATCCTCAGGTAGTGTAGATTCAAGTTTGTTCAAATCATGACCCCCGGGGGTAGAGTGGGGCCAAAATGGCCGATCAAAGTTTTACATAGGAATATAAAGAAAAAATCTTTAAATATCTTCTTCTCAAGAACCACTGGGGCAGGAAAGATGAAACTTATCTGGAATCATCTTCAGGTAGTGTAGATTCAAGTTTGTTCAAATCATGACCCCTGGGGGTAGGGTGGGGCCAAAATGGCCGATCAAAGTTTTACATAGGAATATATAGGAAAAATCTTTTAAAATCTTCTTCTCAAGAACCACTGGGCCAGGAAAGATGAAACTCATGTGGAATCATCTTCAGGTATTGTAGATTCAAGTTTGTTCAAATCATGACCCCTGGGGGTAGGGTGGGGCCAAAATGGCCGATCAAAGTTTTACATAGGAATATACATGTATAGGAAAAATCTTTTAAAATCTTCTTCTCAAAAACCACTGGGCCAGGAAAGATGAAACTAACATGGAATCATCCTTAGGTAGTGTAGATTCAAATTTATTCAAATCACGACCCCCGGGGGTAAGTTTGGGGCCAAAATGGCCGATTATAGTTTTACATAGGAATATACATGTATAGGAAAAATCTGTAAAAATCTTCTTCTCAAGAACCACTGGGCCAGGAAAGATGAAACTCATGTGGAATCATCCTCAGGTATAGCTGCAGATCTGTATGGTTTTATATATTTGCCTTTGACCATAACGCTACAGCTCCCGTAATGCAAAAGAGGGTGCAATTTACAGCGCAATATTTTTTGCGCACTTTTGGGGAGAATTTCTCCACCTTATAGCATTGGTCAATCAACTACCTTTCACCCCCTAATTCTAGGCACATTATTTAACTAATCTATCTATTTTATCCACCTCCCAACCCTTATTAGTCATCTCTACAAGTGATAAACTTGCTTGATTAAAATTATTTGTTAAATTGCTGAAAATTCACTTCAAGCGAGTTTATTGCCTGTAGAGACAACTATAAATGGTTGGGAGGTGGATAAAATATACATGCATATTGCTACAGAACATGTCTAAAACTGGGGAGTGAGAGGTAGGTTATAATGCTATAAAGTGGAGAAATTCTCCCCAAAGTGCGCAAAAAATATTGCGCCGTAAATTGCACCTTTTTTGCATTACGGGATCTGTAGCGTTATGGTCAAAGACAATATATAAAACCATAACGCTACAGATCTGCAGCTACCTCAGGCAGTGTAAATTCAAGTTTGTTCAAATCATGACCCCCGGGGGTAGGGTGGGGCCAATATGGTCGATCAAATTTTTACATAGGAAGATATAGGAAAAATCTTTAAAAATCTTCTTCTCAAGAACCACTGGGCCAGGAAAGATGAAACTCGTGTGGAATCATCTTCAGGTAGTGTAAATTTAAGTTTGTTCAAATCATGACCCCCGGGGGTACGGTGTGGCCAAAATGGCCGATAAAAGTTTTAAATAGGAATATATAGGGAAACCTTTTAAAATCTTCTTTTCAAGTACTTCAAAGCCATGCTTAGTGATATTTATAGGGAATCATCCTCAGGTATTGTAGATTCTAGTTTGTTCAAATTATGACCCCCTGGGTTGTTAAAATTCAAGCCCCACCCCAACCTCAGTAAACTATCAGTTCTGATCTGATATGTGCTTTTTCCAAATCAATTGCTCAGGTGAGCAATGTGGCCCCTGGGTCTGTTGTTTTTATCTGATGTGGATAAATTAGATGTATATTTTAGAATCAGGAGCTCACTGAATAGAACTTCACTAATGAATTTAAAAAATATTTGCCAAAGAAAATGATCAAACAGCAATAGCAATATCAGTAAATTGTGTAGGTAAGTTTCAGTAATGTGTAACTTTCATTGATTACAGATGATTACCAGGAATGTCCCAGTAAGCGGTTTGAGGAGAGTTCTACCATTAACACACTGACAGACTCCAAAGTCAAACATCCATCAGACTACAGCAGGTACGAAGGGGCATAACTCTTATAGACAGCATGAATTCTGTATGATTGTATAATAATGTGTAGATTAATAACATTATAATAATTTATTAAATAATTATCATATTTATTATTTTAATTCATTATGATATTGAAAATAAATTTAATTTCATCATACATAAAAAAAATATTTATTTTGCACATGGAAGCATTCTCTCTCCTCAATTTTCAGAGTTTAATTTTTTTTTTCATTTTTGATTACGGTACATTTTTTGTTGCTGAAGCCTGATTTTGATTGGTGTGAATTTTTGAGTTTGATTTGAATGTTACTTTTAAACAGTGATGAGGAAGAGACACTTTCTGAATGTGATAAAACTGAGTGAGTTATCTCCTCTTGAGTGAAATATAAACAATAACTGGGATAAGATTGCTCTGTAGTGCTACTTATCTATATAACCCATTACTGTATGCATGAAACAGACATCCAATATATTCCAGGGTTTACTTCATGTCTTGAATTTAGCATGCAGGTGTTTTTACCCATTTTATGCTAAAGATATACTGTACATACATGTACCTGATCTGCACAAGTTAGATTTTAAAATTGATTTTACAAATTCAGAAAAAAATTAAATGTAATCTTCTGGAGTGCAATTTTATTCAATTCCTTCCCAGTATCACCCTTTTGTTAACACATAGAAATTTTCATCCCTATTAATGCAACTATCCCTGCACATGTGCATTGATGAGAGCATTTACAGTATCAGTAGATAATCTTTATTTATTTAAAGTTGGATTTCGTAAATATAAAACATTGACCCTCAGGAGCTATTTTTGGACTGCACTCATTGAAACCTGTAAATATAAAGTTCACAGCTAGCTCTGCTAGTGCTGTGTGGCTGTGCTTGTTTGCTTGGTCAGATTAATACATTGCATGTAATAGGTGTAGTCCTTACATTTTCCAGAACCAGGCGAGTTCACTTCGCTCCAGGTACAGAAAGTGCCCTGTTATTTTGTTCTGGTAATGCTTTGGACTGTTCAGTAATCTATCACATTAAGTTAAAGTGATACTACATGCAAGATTTCACTACACATTTTCGTTTTTGCTTGTATTTTTTTTGTATTTTTATTGAATCAATGTCACTGCATGCTTTTTTGGTTTATGAGGATTTTGGTTTCAGAAAACAATCTAACAAGAAACCACCTGTAAATACGTCTCACTGTGGTGTTTAAATTTATATAAAACAGGTTTAACTTAGAATTAAAAAAATTTATAGTATATAACATATTTTCTAAATACTACATGTATATAAACCAATTTTGATAAGTATATGACAAAAACCTGTGAGACTAGCAATCAAACTAAGTTCACTTTAAACTGTTACTAAGAAAGTAAACCTCAGATCAGTTGTGAAATTCAATTTTATTTATATCATACTGTTTTTCAATGGGTATTTCACAATATAAAAATTACATTCAGTCATTGGAAAAAAATGTAGATCAATCATATAGTTGCTCATGAAATATACCTTAAATGTTATTCAAAGTCCCTTTATTATAATTTCTTCTCAATATATCAGACTTTTTAAGGTGGATATGAAAAGGATCTCTTTTACTTTAGTATATTGTATAACACTTTAATTTGTGTTTGTATTTTTTAGCCCCAGAGTTACTCCATCATCCTTTACCTCAAGAATGGCAACAGGTCAACAAGGTCACGACAATGCCACTAGTACATTCAGCGTATCGATGGGACTGGCATCCATTCTGAATGAGAGAGATCTGTTCCCGCCATCCAAGGATCCAAAAAGTAAATCAGAACCCGCCGGGAATCCCGACAGGGTTGACAGCATTGTGTCCGATTCCCATTTTGAGATTTCCAAAATCACAACGTCTTCCACGTACACCACCAAGACAGACAGCAGGACAGAGGTGTCTATGGGACTAAGTTTACCCACTTCTGGCACTGGTATACCAGAACCGAGTTTACCCCACTCTTCTGCTACACCATACAGGGGGTTACCATTTGATCACCTTAACCAGGGCACTCATGTGTTGATGGACACCCTGAAACATACAGGATACTCAGTCCTAAACTCCAGGTACCTCGGGGGGTTTCTAGGTTCTCAGAAAAAAGAGACAGACACTGCGCCTACTTCCGTATCCAGTAGTCAGACTCCAGTGTCATCAACAGCTGACAAATCGGATGTGATTCATGTGACGGCTGGGAGCATGACAAAGGCTGAAGTGTCAAGGATAAGCTCCTTGTTTGGGCGTGCCCTACCAGGGGGCGTGTCGGGGGCGTTAACACAGCTACGCCAAAACGGTATCTTCTAACAATACAGCAATTAAGACTGTAGAGAACATGATTAACAGAGACACTGACTCTAGGTGATGGGTTTCTGTGGTGTGTGCCTTATCATGTAGCATTCAGATTCACAAGCATTAGTTATCTACCTTGACCTATATACAATCATCTGTGTGGCATTTGTTATCTGCTTTATATGAATCATTGCAATCGTTATCTTAGTTTTTACCACCACATTTGTTGTAATGACATACTGTATATGTACTTAGAAGAATTGGCAATATTATAGCAAAGGACTAAGTACCAAACCTTGCCAAGGCCTTTAACAGGGTCTGAATTGTCTCACACTAGTCAGGTTTTAAAGCATTTACAGGAGAAACATATTGTACTTTTAATTAATATCTACTCTGAGGTATGCATTTTATTTACTTCCCAGCAAAGTCTTAAATTAACTCTTCCACAAGGTTAAAGATTTACACCAAAAAGAAATACTTAAGCATTGATCTTGTAAAATAAAATAGAAAGAAGTTACAAGTAGAATTTTTGCTCATGTATTGATCTCTCTCATTTGTGTGCTAGTAGGAAAAAAGGTTAAAATGTTGAATTATAGTTAAATTGTTCACATCCATGTAAGAATTCCAGTGGCAGTAGATAGACGTTAGATTGATATTCCATCAGTTAGAACTAGGTCATGTTGAGTTTACTTTATTGGCATTAAACAGTACATACCATATGTGGTCACACTGTATATTTTACTGCTGGTTAATTTTCCCTGATGGCTGCGTATTAATGTTTCCCAAGTATGGGGTTGGTGTAGTCACACACATTTACGTGTACATGTACATGTTTTACTAGGTAAGTGTTTGTAATATCTACCTGCTTTTATCATCCTCCATGAGGGAATTCCAGTTGATATGTGCTTGTTTAAGTTTTCACTGTAAACATTATTTTCATAAATTTATAAGATTTGTGCTGTAGACCAGTAATTAGTCAGGGATTCCAGTGTTTTTGTGATATAACCTTTGTGATCATGTATATACTGACTGTATATAATATAACTGTGCTGATTTTATGTTAATGAGAAATTTTTACCTGGAGTTTTACGAAATCGGCAATTAATGTTCCAAGACACAGATTTGGGTCAGAGACTGACAAAGTTAGGGCTGTGTTGTGTCAAATGTTGTACTAATCAAGTTCTGTACTAATTAATACTGTGGTTAAAAGTGAAGATGTCAGTTTACTTAGTCTAATGATTATATATCTGTGAAGACAAATTGGGTGCATTATAAGAATCTCAGTCTCTCAGTGTTTAGTGTGAAATACAGCTGTTACAATTACGTTTCCAAGAAATGTCTTTCAAATGTGTTGTTCATTTAATTACTAAAATGACCCTTTAAAAATTTTTAGAGATTGAAATATAATCTACCCTTCTACACAAAGTGTGAAAAAGTTCAGAAAATTGAAGCTTGTGAATATATGTATGAATATATATGTCATATGCAAAAGCAGAAATTGTAAACATGTACAAAATATGTAGGAATTTAACGTTACGTCCAGTTTGTTTTATTTTCCTTTCGTGATTGTATCTGTTCAGTGTTGATGACAATTGTTCTTTCTAAATGTAAAACATTCACCTGCCATTCATTCAAACAAGAATTTTTGTAATCCAGTGCTTAGATTAATTGTCCAATTTTTGTTTTGTTTTAATAATTTGGGTCCATTAATTTGTGATTTCCCTGTTCTGAAAGTTAAGCGGATTCAATGAGCAGGGCTGAGATTTATTTGACAAAGAAATCTTTTCACTAATGAGAATTTTTTTGTGTCATGACTTTCCTATTTTGTAACCAGAATTGTGTTGTGATATATACATGTATTTTATTTTTTACGTCTAGGATATATATACGTTAAAGGGGATTAAATAACTTACGTCTACACCTGTAAGCGGAATCTTGTAATCTTAGTACGGACAAAAGGCAAGCTCTTTTGCCCTAAGACTTATTAAAATCTTATATGTTCATATGTGCCAAAGTTTTAAATTGATTTTGGATAGATTTTGTTTTAAGTGTAGATAGAAGTCGGGAAGTATATCCTGAGTAGTGAATATTAAGTCGTTAGTTCTATACTTTGCCTACACCTGATTTTGTACTTTAACGATATTTTTTTTCTCTTTCACTTCTTTACAAAAAACTTTAAGTTAATGTACACCTGTGTCATGTACAAATTCTTTTCAGAACCTTGGAAAGTAATTTACAGAGTTTTTATACATAGAATATTATTTGTATTTATTAAGCAAAATTTACTAAATTGTCCGAGATAAATTTACCGTTCTGATTTGTGGGCCGTTGATTGTGGGATGGACACATCCCAGTATGGGTGCTAAGTTTCGCTGTAGGAAGCCTGTTTTTATTGTTTTTGATTGTTTTCCTTTGATTACTATGCAACAGACCAGAGATCTATATTCCCTGGATTCTGTTATAGAAAATAAACAAAGAGTAAATTATTTAGTGTTTTTGTTGTTTAACTGAACAAGGGTACATCTGTGTCCTGCAGGATGAATACAGCCTAGATAAAATAAGATTAAACTTTGAGGAATTTTGGAGAGTACAGGAAAATATAAGATTGAATGGTAACAAAGATGTCCAGCTACTGGAAAGAAAAACATTGATATAATCAGCTGTCAAATCAGCAATATGAAATGGAAGCTGGTCTAAGTGTGGCGACTGTCCTAACTGTATACGAAGAAACATGAGGGCAATTTATTTGGTAAATTTTTGGTCTTGCATAACTTCCTGGATGTTTTTTAGAAAAGATGAGTTAAGGTTTCATGCCGATATATTCATGTAAGGGGATAAAAAGAAGGGGGGAAAAATACATAAGTCTAAGAAAAGAACATCAATGTAATGCCTGCATCCTCATGTAGTGTTCCATTTCGAAAAAAAAAATTAAATAATGATAACAGCAGTGTGAATCAGATTAATATTATAGCCCTTCTGCTTCATGTTGATATTTACAGACACTTTTCAAACACAACAGTTTTAACAGCTATTTATTTGTTAACATCATATGTAAAATTAGTCACAACATAAAAAAGTGTACATTTAAACAAATAACTCAAACAAGAGGCCCACGGGCAGTGGTGTTCAACTACCGTTAAGTATTTTCTCAACAATCTCGCTACACATATTTAATTTTAGCTCACCTGAGTTGAAGGTTAAAGTAAGCTTTTCTGATTAAAATTTGACTTTTGTAATTGAGGTCAGCATTGTCAAGGTCATAAGCTTTTCACATTTCCATATTGTATATTGCAAATTTGTTATGCCAGACTTCATTTTAATTTAATGTTAATTTTTTCAAAGAATAGTTCAGAATTTTAAGGGATATTCCAAAAAACTTAGCTTAATACATGTACCTGTAAATTTGCAATACCGTATATATGTGTTCATTGTAAATCAGTTTTAATGTTGAGTAATGAAAGTTCATTAATTACTGTAGAATTTAGTTAAATCAATACATTACACATGTACAATAATCCATACACATCAGAACATACGAGGATCAGGTTTTTATTTTAATCAGAGCCCTTTACTTGATCAGGTAAAAATTGTGGCCCAAGGGCCTCTTGTTCAGTCCACGGCAAAATATTGTAAAATAAATCACTAGTCCAAGAAAAAGGGATGGAAATGAATGACTCCAAATGTTTGAAAATTGTTTATAAAGTATATGTCAACATCAAAAACAGCAACAATGCTGGATTCATGTAAATGATTGGATAACATACAAAATATGTTCTGGTATTATGCATACATCTGAACATAAAAATAAAACTTCCATGACTTTAGGAATTACTTAATTATTAAAACACTATAAACTTCGGCACTATGATAATGTTAAAAGTATAAAAATTATAATATCATAAAAATCTCAGGCTTTAAAGTGTATGACAGAAAAATAGCTATAAAACACTTTGAAAAAAATATCATGCCTCTTGTACGTACATGCTTTGTATACACACATACACAATCTACATCCAACCAGCCTAGCTGTTCTACACAATGGTCAAGCTAAATTTACAACCCTGAGTTTTGAGACAAAAATATTTTTAAAAAATTGATATTTCCTATTTTGAAAGAGGAAACTATAAACATCTTTTAAAAAAATCAAAGTCATGCAAAAAAAACAGACATAAAAAAACAGATAACAAGTGATTCATTAATAATGCAAATGATATCAAGTTTTAAATGGATATTTGGATGTTTGGCATTTGTGGGAACATTGACAGGACTTACAATTCACAGTCTGCAGTATTTCAGTCACAGTGTATCCATGTTCAAGATACTGAGGTTCAACTGTATATATGTTTATAACCTAAACAGAGGTTTAACAGTTCTGAATTGAGTGAACCTGACATAAAATCATTTATTAAATCGCGAGTGTGCCACCATTACATCAGATCAATTTTAAGTTCTCAGTATCAGTGATATTATTCTCTAGTCTATGTGACATTAGTGAAAATGTTATAAATTATTGTAAGTATATTGAAACATTTCTGTAACCAGTTATTGCTACGAGACAGTGTAATATTAAAACAAGTTTTAAAAAATGTACATTCAAATATTTCATTATTTAATGCCCATTTACTGGTTGTCAAAACTGACCTATCGGTATGCTTACATACACTCAACATTTATCCTGCAGGGAGAGCGAGAGGGCGACTGTAGAGAGTATGGTTGTCGTAGCCGTAGGAACGGTACAAACTGCCCTTGACGGCGACTTCCTCGAGGACCCGCATCATCATGATGGACAGTTTGTGGTCCTCCTGCGTGACCCCCAGGGTGGTGTACATAGACGACAGAGCCCCTACGTAAGCCGTGGTCAGGTTAGCCTCGCGATCCGCCTCCGATATCACACGGATTTTATCAGCCTCAGCTTTACCAGACTCTTTAATCTCATTAGCTGTGGAAACAAAATGTTCTTACTTTATGTTTTTTGCAAAATATAAATATTTTGTTCAAAAATTTATTAAACATATCTCAAAGCACATGCAACAGAGACTAGACATTTATAAATTGTAGTATTTATGAAATAAATTTTCCTGCATACGTATACTTGACTTGCTTGAGGTAGCGTAATTCTGTTACCTTGATTGCGTGCTAGACTAGTATTACGTTCTGTAATTTTGTCTTCAACAGCTTTGTCTTGCTTCAATTGCTCTGTAAACACTTGCTCCTGTGAATAATTTTAAAAAAATCCATTAAAATATCTATGAGGGAAGTCTTTGAATTCAAATACTGATTGCATATCTATGAATTAATCCATTACTATGTAAATTTAAATGCTTTGATATCCATTTACTTTTACAGCTTTGCCTTTTTACCTGGGTGGCTCCCCTCTTACCTGAAGTATAACACTTGTGAGGAACCGCTCCAGCACCTCCTGTGGTATGTCGACCTTTGTGAGTTGGAAGTACACCACGTAGATGTGGTATCCCTGGCTACAGTTGGCGGGTCCCAGACAGGTGGTACAGACTGTGTTGTTAGTACAACTAGTGGGACAACAGTTCGGACAACAGTCACCTGCCAGGGTAAAATACACAATCAGATCACATGGAATCTAATGGCCACCAAAAAGAACTATATACAACAATTGCCATTATCTACCCCTTAAAACCGAACTTTAATTAATTAAGAGGAAAGTTTTAGGGTTTATTAAAACAGTTACTTTCAAAACAAAGAATAGAGGCTCAGCATAATCTATGCACAATTTCTGATCCAACTTTTATAAATACTCACCCTCTAGCCTTTTCTTGAGTTGGTTGTGGAAATACGACTCTAGATAAGCCCGCTGGAATCTGAAGTAGTCCACACTGATACTAACAGCCGAGTTCTTCACTCTGCTCTCTGTGATGGAGCGAATGACAGAATCGTACCCCGTACCAAACTTCCTGTGTAATGTCCCAATCTCTGACTTCCTGTTCAAACAAAATCAACAGCATACCCAATGGAATGTGTGAAATTTTTTTAAATACACTTTACAATACAACAATGGACTTTCAGGTGATTAATATCATAATCTCAATGGGACTGCAAAAACAACTTCCAGACATGCAAAAAGGAGACATTGACATCATAAGTAAAGATTTTAAATATTTGTGGACGATTATGAACATTTTGTATTGAGATCATTAAATGACTTACTTGAGGAAGTACTGCAGATGATACGTAATTTGGATGCTCAGTTTATCAGCAGTGAACACTTCATGTGACTTGGTGATAACGTGAGCGCTGCGTGAAAACCTCAGGAAAGCTGTACTGGGGCCAAGGATATAACAACCAAAATCATATGTTGTCGACCTATCGACCACACCAGTCACTTTGTTGTACTTCAGAGCATACTACAATAACAATGAACTCGCTATAATTAACATATCTACATATCAGGATGCCAGTAGTTTCTGTCTGCAAAGAAATTCAGACTGTAAAATATGTACTACTAACTCAATAAATCTTACAAGTAAATGATGGTGAAATACAGATGATTTTTAAAATGGATGTTCCACAATTATTTTCCACCAGCATTTTTGCAAGCATTAAGATCCATTACGGTAGGTCTTTAGATTTTCGTGATACCTTATTTTCACGAAATAAACATTTCCTCCTTATTAGTGAGACAATAAAAGTTTATTTACACTATAAACATATTATGTTTTATCATAAAAAAAACAGATATCTTCTCTTTTACCCACCTCATGATAATCCAGATATACGAAACTGCTGGGGAACAGACCCAGGAATACAATGGCCGCCACTACTGAAATCGCTATGGCGATGATACATTTACTTTCTCTTGAGGTCCAGTCTCTGTTTCTAAATAGGAACCTCCAGCATCGAGTCAGAAACCTGCCGACTGCTGTACAACAGGAGTTCAGGCGACCCATGCGTTTACACTCAAATTCCTCAGGCTCACTCCTGAAAAAAGATGCACACCATTTCATCAGTATATTATTGTTGACTAAGTCAGCAGTGGTGATATTCTGTAATACAAAATATCTGACAATATATAATTAATATGAGTTGTTTGTAAACCTTTGTTAATCAAACAGAATTGCAGTGAATGCAGAGAATTTTCACATGTTATTTTGATATACTCAAAAGAAATATGTTGTGATACTAAATAATTTTCCAGTCCTTTGTGAGTGACAAATACAAACTCTAACGATACCTGTCTTCAGTGAGTGACCCCTCCTCCATTCTCCTGAGGTGTGTTCTCCTCAGGTCCTTCATTTTGTCCAGTAATGGCTTCCTCAGCTTTGCCTCCTTCTCCTCTGCTCCTTTCTCCTCCACTCCTTTCTCCCCCGGACCCTCCTCTACCTCTGACTTCTCGCCCTCTCCTTTCCCCATCATTGAGGAGATAGGAGGGAGGGATTTCCCCACCAGTGTCGTGTCCTCTCGTAGCTGGTCGGGGAGACTGTCTACAGGCCCCGAGTCTTCTGCGTGGATCTTGTTTTGGGAGGACATCCGCTTTAACAGGAGGGGAGGGAGGGCTCGGGTCTCCTTTGTTTCTGGGGTACAGGAGGGCTCAGCTTCTACATAGGCTGCTGTGGGAATCTGAGGGGGGAGATTTTCCTGATCAGGAAGCTCCTTACCTGGTAATCAGAGTAAAAGAAACATCCTTATCAAGGAGTAACAACAAACCTGAGGTATGTTTTTGTTTTGATTTACCAAAATATGTAACAAGATTGCAATTTTTGTAAAAGCAATTTACTACAATATTGACTTGAACATTTTCAAAGGAAATATCCTGTATTCAGTATTCCACACCCAATGAATCCCAATAGATGTTCACCTGTCATTTCCTCTATGACCTCTCTCTCCCCGATCTTCTTTTTCTTCTTCTTTGATTTTTTCTTGGCTTTCCTCCAGGATGATTCCTCCTCCCCCTCTAACACCCCTACTTCTGTCACCTCATCAGGACTAGTGTCGCGGCGCTTCTTCTTTTTGGACTTTTTACCTGTCTGCTCTGCCTGCTCGTCTAGGACTGAGTACTCCCCGTTTGTTGAAACCAGTGTCAGGGCTCCATTCTCCCCCCTCTGTGACTGATCAGGAGGGGCCTGTAGCTCTACATCAGGGATTTCCCCCGCCTGTCTCTGTACAGCCTCAGCACTCATTTCAGTCATGTCTCTCTCAATGGCTTCTCTTTCAAGGAACTGTCAATAAATGTCAATATTAAGAGTTGTTTATATACAGTTAAAGTATATCACTGAGGGAGTCAGCAAGATTCCAGTTCCCCAAGAGTAAGTCTATTTCCCGAGGCGCTTGCGCCGAGGAAAATAGGCTTGCTCGAGGGGAACTGGAATCTTGCTGACTCCCTCAGTGATATACTTTAACTGTTTTATTATACCGATACAAACAAGACATTTGAAAAAAGTTATATTCAATACTGTATTCTGTAAGAATGCTTAATTCCAACAGAAATAAATAAAAAAATAACAACAAAACAGAATACAGACATGAATAGAATTAAATTTTATCAATAAATCAGTTCATTGTCCGAGTTTTTACCTAGTAAAATGGAAAGTAACATTACGCAATTCTTGAGATCGCCATTTCTGTTGTCGTTTGCTACCAGTAAACTGGTTCTTTTTGATTGATATTGGACCAGTTGACTCGCGATGCATTTTGATTCATTAATGAATATTCATAAGTTTATTCGGAACATTTCTAAGTTTGTCGTAAGTTGAAAGAAAATGCAAAGTGTTCCGAATAGGTGTGTATCAGTTCATCCAAAAAACATACTTTTTTTGCAGGGAATCAGTCTGTTTTGCAGGGAATCGGTTTATTCACGGTGATTTTCAGGAAATCAGCAAAATATATCGATTTACTTTTATATAGTGAAAAATTGGTAGAGGTATAATAATATATCCTAACTCTAAAAGAAAATTCCTCTAAATTAAATCCTCATAATAACAATCTTACCCTCTTCTTTTTTTTCTTTTTCCTGGACTTTTTTGGGGAGTCTTCCCCCTCTGTGGTTCCCATTTCTGTTTCTCCATTCATGTCTTCTGTCCATGTGTGACTGGAGTTATCCGACCTCACCTCAATCCTCAGTGGAACCTTGAAGAATGAATTAGAACAGATTAATAAATTTGATTTCACCTGCTGTCAACTTCTACTAAAATTGCTTTTTAATTAGAGGTACAGTGTACATGCATGTTAATAATACTTTTACTTTCTTTAAATCTAGCTGAAAACCAAATTATATTCTATTGATTAGCAATCGACATATGTACATGTAATTGAAAATAAGAGCTATTTACCATTTCTACTTCATTGGTGGGCTCTGACTTTATTTCACTTTCTTCACCATCTCTCCTCTTTGATCTTCAATAATTAACAATCAACATAACAATAGTCTTCTCTCTGAGCACAAATCTAATAAGATTGTGCCCTGGCCTGTTTCATATCAACATCCTGTAGCTTTAAATTTTTTAAAAATTATTTCTTTGACTAATTAAACTACCCCTTCCTCTTTACATCACCATTACCTGATTGAAACCTTAATCGTGCTTACTTTTTACTCTTTTTCCTTTTTAGTTTACTTTTGTCCCTCCCTAGGAACACAGTTTCTCGGGGCCCTGACGCGTTACCCTCCCCGGCGTGGGTGGGACTTGCATCCTCTGTCAGCTCCTTACTGTCAAAATAAAAAACATCATCTCAATTAAGACTCTAAATAAATATAAATAAAACAAATAGTAACGAATAAAAAACTGTCAAGATAAAAAACATCATCTCAACACTCATATTCACATCAAAATAAATATAGATAAAACAAATATTTCTCAAAAAAAAAAAAGCTTACATGAAAATATTCAAAGCAGTTTTCCATGTATCGTACAAAAATGATAATTAAAAAACATTCAGTTGGTAATCAGGGGAATTTGTAGATTGTAGGTAGAAATACAACTTACAGATCACATTCAGCCATATACACATAGTAAACAGGAGAGTACAGATTATACGTTATGGGTACATTTTCCATAATACATGTATGTAGAAATAAAACTTACAGTCCTTTATATCCCAGGGCCACTGCCTCCTCATATGAAGGTAAATATTCCGCGGGAATCGCTGGCTCAGGGTGAACAAAACTGTCCTCCCTTTGTTCTACAGAATACAGGAGAGAAAGAAAAGCTTATAACAAGGTTTTATTAGATTAGTACCATTAGTAAAAACAAAGTCAAATATAAACTGTTTATGATAAAACTGTATATTTTGTGTGTATGATGAAGTCAAATCCTAAAGTGTATTATAAAATATTTAATGTATATACTGGTACCTTGCCATAAAACTGATCTTTTAAAAATTATGATTTGGAGCTCTTTTACATATATTTCTAACACTTGGGGATAAATCTTACCTTCATATAGCTGTCTGAGGGCATTTCTGTCCACTGGAGCTATTGACAGTGTGTTACTCTGTATTCTGTCGCGGACTTCATCTATATTTCAAATAAATACATTTTAAATGACTAAAACTTCATTTTATTATACTTTCATGTTACATACTAAAATCTGATTGGTTTAGACGGAGTTAACAATCCGTTCTATTTCCCTCAGCCTCAGCAACACACGTGACAAAGTGTAACACAATGGTAATGTCACATGCGTGCAAATCATGCACGTACGGTTCACCATAGAGTTCTCAACACGTCAATTGTGCGTTTGAAAGAAGCCAAATAAACGACGTCAATAAAGCTTGTGTTCAATGTAGCTTACTTGAAAACAACAAACGACAGAAGAAACATGCTTGCAAGTGCAGAAATTGCAAAAATATAGGATTTTCTGAGAATCGGTTAATCTTTTTCGAAGCTTTCTTATGAATAAAATAGAAGTGGGAAGTTTGAAACCTTTTCTAAATGTGAATGTCAAGACGATTGACAATTTTTTTCTGTCATCCTTAATCAATAAGACATTTAGTATAATAAAATAAATGGTGTCTTTTTTGGAGGGTAACAGTTGAAACTGACACCTCAAGGAAAACCATTGTCAATCTCTGCTGACACGTTGGTTGACAATGGTTTTCCTTGGGGTGTCAATTTCAGCTGTTACCCTCCAAAACAGGCACCATTTATATAGTAACACATCCCAAAGGGCATATAATATAACAAGAGGCCCATGGGCCACATCGCTCACCTGAGTAACTTTGGTGATGCAACTCTTTACCAGATTTCCCCTCTCGTTATACCTATTGTGGCCCCCTACCCCCTCCCCTGTCATGATTTTAATACTTCAGAATTTACACAACCCCAGGATGCTTCCACATAAGTTTTAGCTTTCCTGGCCAAGTGCATGGTTCTTGAGAAGAAGATTTTTCCTATATACTGTATTTCTATGTAAAGGTTCATTCTCTATAAGGCCATTTTCCGGCCTACGATAAAACCACTTTAAAATGTAATTTTATATAACTATAATCATTCTAGTTCATCATTTTGATGTTTGTTTTTCAACATCGATCATCTAAGTCACGTGATTTAGAGATAAAAAATGGCTGTCAGTTAAAGAAAAATTGAGGGTAGGTCTATTTAAATCATGTTTTTATTCATGTTTCTGAATGTAAATGATCAAAAATTGTTTATTTATGTCGGAAATACATCAGACCTAAGTACTAAATTCGAAGATTTTTTAAATTTAAGTTTCAAGATATTTTTTATGACAAGAATTCTAATGCATCCATTTTTGGCATATTTTGAACGTAAATCTTTACAAAATTCACACTGTATGGTGCTGAAAAAGTTTGATTTGCAATTTATTGAAAAGTATTATATCATATATAATTATATTGTAATTGTATATCATTTCTATAGATGTGGTACTTATTTTACGCATAAAAAACCATGTTAGAAATGAGGTTTCTAAGTTCCTATTGAACTCTAAAAGTTATGTATCAAATGTTGAAAGCACTGAATGGATTTTGATTGTGATTAAATGAAACTGAAGTTGTAATTAAGAAAAGAAATTCAACAATTGCAAAAAAATAAAGAATTAACAGCATAAGAATGTCAATGCAAGTACATGACTTTCCATATATACATGTAAAAAGTCAATACATATATAACTCAGAGCCGTTGCATTAAAATATACATCTCTAAGTAAAATGAAATAGCGTCGTAAAATGGCTTTGCTTTTATTCAATTACTCGTGCTGCACGATATATTCAATTAGAAATGCCTTCTAAACTTTATGTATTTACATGTATAAAAGTTGAGACCCCCCCCCCCCCCCCCCCCCGCCCCTCATGTGTAACGGCACAGCATAAAATGGATCAGAATTTTAGCAGTTCCTTCAACTATGCATATGGACCCTTAGGGTTTGATGCTCCTTTCCCGTTCTTGAAACCTGTAGGTTAAATTCAGTCTCTTTCCCAGTGCAGCGTCAAAAACTTGTTTAACACGGACAGTGACAGTTCCCTACCTAAGTCTTTAGCATTTAAAGTAAATGTCATCGGTCTTTTGGATACTATCTTTCTTTCTTTTTTTTTTTTTTTTTACAAAAAAGGGTCCCGTCCTGCGTTGGGCGTTGATTATTATTGCAACTATGCATTAAACACTTGATCTTAATTGGATGATTTCTTTATATGGTTAAAAAATCCTTAAATGGGGTAAAGCAACATTCATTTATCAATCACATAATACATTTAGGAATCCCCCTGCACTTTACTAGTTTATTTTCTAAGACAGGACTAATGTTATCGTAACATATGTCGATGATATCAAACAAGTGTGATGAAAAGATTAAGTCCTCTCAATATTAAGACCCAGTTAACAAAATATGGATCACGTGATACTCGTACGGAAGTGTCCATATAAAAATTTTGTGTTCCCCCATAGGAAGAAAGTCTATAATACAAATAATAAATGCATGTTGCCACTTCAACAAAGATTAATTGCTTTCATCATTTCTAGAACATATACAGTACTCATAAGGAAATACAAAGAATATTTGCAGAACTCATAACGAAGTTCAAAGAAGTAGCATATATAGTTATACTAAACTATCATTATAAATATAAAAGATAACTCATATTCACACCTTATATTCTATAAAAAGTTCTTATTTCTTAATTTTTATTAAACATTTCAAGGAAACGTCTCCACTTGTAATTTCATGACATCCAGTCTTCTCAGTCCTTTGATTTTCAGATTTTTAAGTAAAAAGTTCACTTTTTTTTAGTAAATATGCATGGCTGATATAAACCTTAGTAAATTAACAGAAAATTGAAATGTAACGAAAAGTTTATAAAAAGAAATAATCTACATAAGCTGATATCCTTCATTGTGAGTAGTTAGCTTTTTCTGCAAATATCGTAAAAATGAAGTGAAAAGTTTTTTTTAGATGTCATAACCACCTTTAACCAAATTCATAATTTGGTAGTCACTTTTTATGTTTATTAGAAATTTACATGCAAATTTTGGTGTTGGTTAAAGGTGGTTATGACATGCTTAGGAGTTATCAAACACAGCCACCCTCTTGTGTTTTCCCATTACTCTAATGCTAATACGGACCGATAGTACCCTACTTTGTGACCCTATATCATTAAAAATACTATTGTATCATTAACCAACCAATATTTATCATTAAATTGGAACACAAGTCTAGTGATTCATGCAATTTTTAAGGGAAAAAATACTATCTGAAAATTTGAAGTCATTGTAGGCCGCAAAACGGCCTTATAGAGAATGATCCTTTGGATTCCCTATTGTGGCCCCGCCCTACCTCTGGGGGGTCATGATTTTTATAATTTAGAATATTTACATTTGCCAATGTCTTCCCTTGTATGACAATACAAAAAAAAAATGAAATTCAATTTTCGATGACATGCAGTCGGTCACATGATCTGACTTTCTTGCGTATGGAAAGCAAACTGCACGAGACATTTGGAAATTCTTGACTGTGACGTAATATGACGTCGTATTTATACGTTATATTGCATTCAATAACAAACTCTAAATACGACATTTTATCTTTGTAATGTGAATAGAAATAAAAATTTAAATATAAGAAATAAAATATCATTTTTAGAGTGTCAATGGGATATGACATGAAGTCGGTACGTGATCAAATCTACTATAAAACGCCCTTCGGGCATTATAGAATTTGATCACGTGACCGACTTCATGTCATATCCCAATGACACTCTAAAAATGATAGTTTATTTCTTAAATCAACACTAACCAAAGATGCTTCCACATAAGTTTTAGCTTTCCTGGCCCATTGGTTCTTGAGAAGAAGATTTTAAAAGATTTTTCCTGTATATTTCAATGTAAAACTTGGATTCCCTATTTAGGCCCCACCCTACCCTCGGGGGTCATGATTTTAAAAATTTAAAATCTACACTACCCCAGGATGCTCCCACATAAGTTTCAGCTTTTCCACCTAGTGGTTCTTGAGAAGAAGATTTTTTAATGATTAACCCCATTTTTGATTTTTCTTGATTGTCTCCCCTTGTAAGGGAAATTGGTCCTTCATTTTAAAAATTTAAACTTCCCTTCACCCAAGGATGCTTTGTACTAAGTTTGGTTAAAACTGGCCCAGCAGTTCTTGAGAAGAAGTTGAAAATGTCACACCGTGAGACGGATGGATGACGGATATTGGGTGATCAGAAAAGCTCACTTGAGCTTTCAGCTCAGGTGAACTTAAAATATATCATATACACAAAGGGAAATGTTCAGAAACTTATTTATGAATTTTCTTCATAGTTCTTAGTAGAAGTTTGGAGGAACAGCAAAGTTAATTTTTCATTTTTACTTAATATAAGGGACACAACCCATGTACATTGTATGGGAATTCAAACCCCTCAAACAAGTAAAATAAGTTTAAGCATTTTTTAATTCTCACCATTTCCACCTGTTTTGTGACCAGCTGGATCAGCCATTGCTTGGCTTTAGCTACAAATGTGTCAGTTATGTGTCTCCATTTTCTACAAAAAGTAATTCAGCTGTGACAATTTGAGTGCAAATTAGTTAAAACTCAGGATCTGTCAAACAAATTAAACAGCAATTAAAATTGTGCATAGATTTATTTTAGTTCAGAGGAATATAACTTTCACAGTGCTTTTAAATTCAAACATATCAGTAGTTCTTTTTTTCATGAAATTAAAAATACAGTCAAACTTCGTTATCTCGAACCTGAAGGGACTGAGAAAAAACTTCGAGACATCTAAGGATTCGAGATATCAAAGGTTATTTAATAAATACTTAAAGAATATTATGTGGTTGGGGCTTCCAAATCACTTCCACATATCCATGGTACTCAAGATATCTGGGTTTGAGATACCAAAGTTCAACTGTATATTGAAAGTGTTCGCAATCCTCAATTCCAGTACATCAAAATTGAATATAATTGTGATGAAAAATGTGTCAATTTTTGTGCTATTACTGAAATTCATCATGAGGACCATCTTTAATAAAATTTGTTTGCCCTCTCCCTAATCTCAGCCAGATCTTGAAGCCAAGGGACTAAAAATTTTGGTCTGCTGTCCCTGGAAAATTTTTAGTCCCTCCAACATCTCGCTGAGATTACCCTCTCAAGACCCACCACTAAAAGGATTGGGTCGGAGGGTAGGTAGTATACCCCCCCATCCCACAATTTTCAGCGTCAATGCTGAATTTTCTAAATTATTAAAATTGAAAGAATTTAATTTGCATCATGACGTAAGAAAATTTCGATACCAAAAAATTGTTTATGGAGTTTTAAAAAAAGGTTTGAAACAGGTAATTAATTTATCTTGTAAGTAGGAAGAAGGGAACTGAACATTAAAGATGGTCCAGGCCATGTTATGTTATGTTCATAATGTCTACTCTACCCCATTTACTCCGTGTTGTGTCACCATCTGACATCTCTGAAACTATATATGTTTCACTGAAAAATTATTTATGCACAAGATGTTCATCGTCGCAAACCACGGTCAAAATGTATCCTCTCCCATTCTGGCAGTGGTTGAATGAGAATAGAATTTTTTGTAGCTCATTAAAATATTGGTAAAGCATATAGTTGGATGATGAACTATGTCGCGACCTTTCACTATCCAATCGCATTATACAAAATATTTCTTGTATACTTATGATGTCAAATGTTGATTTCAATTGCAATGGAAACAAATATTGTCATTGACTGAATATGATGTCTCAATAGAGAGGCGTAAATATTCAATATTACGACACTTTTCTGTGATCAGAGCAGCCGTGGGTAGAAGCACACTGAGGCACCTGAATTTTTTTCAGTAAGTCGCTAAATTAGCCAAATATCGAAAAAATCTACTCCCTCTATATAATAAATGTATTTATAGCGAGCGCAGCGAGCTCAATAGACTAACGTGTAAGAACAGAGGGAATTCGGATTGAAATCAGCCAAATTTCTCTGTGCAACAAAATTCCTGCACTACCCAATGTCCTTTGCGCGAATATTGCCGAATAAATAAATAAATAATAACGTAGTGCATATATGTATTTATATATATGTTTTTCGACAAAAATTGCACTATATAGAAGGGGGTAAGCTCCGACGAGCTTTGTGACGTCGTATGACGTCAAAGCTAGTCGAGATATTCGTGCGGCTTGACGTTCGAAGTGGCTGATCTCAAGTGTTTTTGATGGTACAACTGCGCTCGCCCCAACGGTCACACCGTAAAACATATTATATAGAGGGGGTAGAATCTTTCAATATTTGGCTAATTTAGCGACTTATTGATAAAAATTCAGGTGTCTGTGGTAGGAGAGACTCAGGACCGTGGCTTGAGATGATGCAAGATGTTCTAAGTACACATAACTGTATTGTAGCCCTTTACCACAGGAATCGGCAAATTTATTTACAATTAAACTGTTAAAGGGAAAATGAAAATCGGGTCCTGCCAGTGAGTTTTGCAAGTGTAAGAAGCAATTAAAGCAAGAGGTCACTTGGCAGGAAAAACTCATTGGTAAGATAACTTATTTCTTGAGTAAAAATGTGACATTCAGCCAATGTATCTATACAATGTGTCAAAATACAGCCATTTTCTCACCTGTCACTGTCTATTTACGTCGGTTGACAGGTTCGCCAGAAAGACGGATTGTTTTTGTTTTAGATACAAGCGCCAAACATTTTCCAAACGCTTGAATGACTAATTGTTAACTTTAAAACTTATTGGGACAAATTAATTTATTCCGAAATTGTCCCGAACCTAAAAAGTAAATGAAATGAATTCAACATTTTCTTAAAATTAGCATTTTTGCTTGAATAAAATTTTTCACGATCTCAAAACATTAAATCTAGCAATAACAGGCAATTTTTAAAAAAATTTTGAAACCACACTTGTTTTACATTAAAAGGAAGGTCATCTTTACAAGGATTTCAATGGTGTAAAGGTTATTTAATTTTTCAAAAAAGATATAAGTATTTGAAATTCGTAGCATTTGTTTGTGTAGCCAATTTTTCGGTTATAAAGAAAATAATAATAACACTTGAAGAAATGTAAATTGATATATAACAATTTTAAGTAAAGCATTTACTGCTGCATTTTAGTGAAATCAAATGCAAAATCTATTAAACTTTTTGTTTTCAAGCCCCTGATTCCAGATCATTTTTCAGTTTATAAGTATAAATTGTAGGACAAATACCTTAATGTTATACCAGATAGGGAAACCAGGCACTTAGTAAGATAGAACATGAGTACTTTTAATGAAGTACACATCAGCAAAGAAATTTAGATTTTGTTTACATAATGGATTTTAAATTATTATATAAATATGTTGTTATAAAAATGTATTATCAAATATTGCAAAATAATATTGTTAGAATATTTTTATTTCTTTTTTGTTGAAACAATTTGATTAAAATATAAATCTAATATTTAAAGAACACTTCAAAAGTATTAGCATTCATTGTTTTTATTTTGAGCAATTCAAATTTTAAAATAATGCTAATCTAGCTGTACGATATACTGGTGCATGTGTATAAATCTGATAAAAAAAATTCCTGAAAAAGAAATTCCAAGTATGAAACATTCCCTTAATCTGTTCAATCACTTGATATTCTGTTATAAAAATTGTTTAAAAGAAATATATGAATTTATAAAAATGAAAACATATAGATCTATTATAATAATTATAATTATCCATACATTACACCAATTACTGCAAATGGTATCCTAAAGTTGCAGAATGCAATGATACTAATCAAAGTTCATAGATCTGATTCATTAAAATCATGCATTTTATTTACTTTATTATCTTTTTTTAGCATTGTAAGAATATAACAGCTTGAGATTGACATTGATCAACAAATATACAACTTAGAAATAATGCCTCCTCAGAATCTCCGATGTTGGCGGGAATTTGTGCCCCTGTTAAAAATGTCGACGTTTTTGTCAAGCATAATAAATTATTGCGCTCCTATGCGCAACGATTTATTTTAAGAAACTATATACCAAATGAAAGAAAAATGATTTCTCCTTCTGTTTATTGCTGTCAAAGTATTGTCAAAACGGCAAATTAACGAAAGAAAAAGTTGAACACGATATGTCATCTACTTTCGCTTTAAATTTCTATTTATGGGACTTGATCTACGTACCCAAGATGTTTTTAGAAATCTCTATCTTTCAGCCTTCATAAAACATTCATATGACTGTCTAATATCACGTGCTTAAGCATTATAATGCCTATTTATAACATCAGGGTTTTCTCACATAATGGCCGCCATTACGTCTTTGTTATCTATATAACCGTGCGAGTATCTCGTGTTATGCATTTTTTACGCCCTTTTGTCAGGAATCGATGTATGTATTATCCAAAATGGTCTTTTAACTTTTAATCTGAGTCAAGAAATTAAAGTATGCACAGAGATTTAAGCTGTTAATTCACTTATAAACATGACCTATTTAGCATGGAGCAGAATAGGAAAGTGCCATAACTCGCGCATGCCTGTCATTGCTATTAAATCTAGCCATCAACTTTTCATTAGTGAATAAAATTTAACATAAATGTATTTCATTGTGCAAAACGTCTTTAGGGCCTTCAGTTTCTGTCAGACATCTTAATGAATTTTTCATATTATTAATTATGATACATGTACAGATAGACGGATTGTTTTTGTAGATGTAGATGAAATACAGTATACGAAAATATATCAATTAAAGTCTGGTGCAAGTGAAATAACTGTCGAAAACTTTCAATTTCAATCTATTTTAGCCCAATGTAGAACAAAACCTTTTATTATACCTCATTATAAATATTCTAAACAACGTCTTATCTGATTGGTTCTAAGTTATCACGTGATAGGGCCGTAAAACTTCATATTTCCGGGCCGTCGGCACGCTTTTCATCATATAGCTATGACGTCACAGCCTACTCCACTGCGTCACAAAACTGATGACAATGTGTTGAACAAAGGGTTTTATAGTAACTTTACGTAAAAAATGAAAGTGAATTTGAGAGCGGTGCCGAATTTGAAAGTTTATGTTTATTTCAAAGGTTTTGTTTGTTTCGGTATAATAAACAATCTTTTGAATTTTTAGGAAACTGAAGAAAGAATTCAGCCAAGTATTCCCCCCAATCCCTCGGGGAAGAGATTCTGAATAAGTCTTTATATTTCCCTCACTATCATGCAATAAATGTATAATGTTCACCTATAGAAAGTCATGTGAATTCACCAAGTGAGCTTAAACCCCCCCCCCCATTTTTTTTTTTACATGCAAACAGAAATCTAGGAATTATTCAGTAAGTAAATAATAAAATACTATAAAGCGCTGACGATTATTTAACTTTCATAAGTTTTTTGCCCCCCCCCCCCCCCCCCCCCCCCAATGTAGGAGCTAAGCAAACCAATGATAAGAAAGTGGACTGCGGACTGACGGAGTTAACACTAATTAAATCCGAACATTTCATAGAAAGACTTTAAGTTCCCGGGTATCTTACTGCGACTGGAAAATAGTAAAACAGTTTCCCGAGGCCATAGTGCAATGATGTTTTAATTCCCTGGCATGCATACATAACAAACTAGACAGTGATTCCTTATATTTCTGTTTCAGTGTGAAAAAATATTTTAAATGTAATTTTTTTAAAGTTTTCTAATAGATTTAAATTAAATTGAGATTGAAACTTCCGAACATTTTCTCCTACACTGTCCCTATTTCAATGATCTCAGAGATAGATTTATCTATACTCTTCCGTATTACATAAACAATATATTATTATTTGGTGAACAAAATCTTTCATTGGCAGATAATGTTCTGATCTTTAAATCTGTCCAAAAATTTATTGTAGCTACAAAAAGATTCATGTGATCAGTTTTCCCCATAGTAAATATTCACTACTCCATCTCTCTTGGGTATGTTACATCCTGTCAACTGCATGTAAATCATTTTTTTCTCTTCACTATATCCCCAATCTTTTATTGTTATATTTCCCAAAATAGTATTTATATTTGTAACTGCACCTGTAGTTATTCATTAATTATCTTCTACTTTATGTCAAACTTTCTTTTGTTTGTTTTTTTTCTTCACATACATATTGTACATCAATAATTCCACGTATAATTAGAACGTGTTTCATTTGTGTAATTTAACATGATTTCATATTCAATATGTATGTCAATCTCAAATATAATACAGCTCAAAACCGTGTTATATAACTATCTAATAATTCTGTCATCTTTATCATTAATAATTAGGAAACGGAAAATAAGTTTTTAAATGTAATCCTTTTTTTTTTACTTCTTGCCTGTATTTCTTGCTAGTCATGTTCAAATAAAATATGGTTTAAACTAAATTACACGAGGCCTCCCATGTTAATTTCAATAGTTCCCACCCACTGACGTCAGATATAAAGAAAGTCGCACGAGATTTACATGCATATTAAGCTTAGCAGCTCCTGTGCTAGGCCTATCGCTTTGCGAAATTTACATTCCGATCGAATGGTCAAGAAATCAACTCACCTTAACTTTCAAAGAGTTATAATCACAGAGAAAAACAAACAGAAATGGAAATAAATACGAGGGTTGATCCAAAAATAATGTCACAACTTCGATAAAATTGCTGCTAGTCGACGTAAATTAACGAAATTATACACGATCGAAGCTATACATATTACAAATAAGTCCTGAAAAATTCAAATTAAAATGATTTATACTTTTCAAAATATCGAATTATATACAAAGTGCAATTATGGTAGTCGCCGCAGCTAAATAACATCATGTGCTGGATTCGCGCCGTCATCACTTATAATCGCTTCCCCTTCCTTTCATTAAAATATTAGAGATTCACGAACACATTTACATAATTTATGTTTCACATAATTATATATTATAGGCACCCATTGTACATTCACTCTATACATAATTTAGTTCTCTGCAATATTTTTTTTGAACAGTACCATGAAACAAACTTAAAGTTTCTCATATCGCTCTAACGGTCTCACCGTCTCTGTTTTTGGACAACGTCAGACACCATTGAACATTTGCGTCCGAACTCTTTTTATTCGGTCTTTTAGTCCTCAGCTGATCATTCAGTGACCCATGATCCGCTATAATAGCTAAAACCACCTATAAATAAGTCTCTAATTTACATTCTATCCTCTGTGTGTTTGATTAATCATCGTAACTGTTTTTACCGGCGATTTCCCGATTTTAAAGCAAAAACGCATTACAGATCGTTCCAGCGGTTTCTCTCCATTTTGACATTTCTTTTGTTTAATACAGCAAATTAAAACAACAATGTTTATGATCAAAAAGCAATGACGTCATTTTATTTTCATCTTCAGACTGGAAAATGTCGTAAAATTTTGTTTATTAAAATATTGGGCGATTAAACGTTTTTTTAGATACTTTTTAACGTGTTTGTCTTTTTTCATTCTAACAATTTACACTTTAAAACGTGACGTTTAGTTGTGACGCGGCGACACCCCTTATGTTTACTATTTTAAACGTCTATAAAATTAATTCATGTAAACATTATTAAAGGAAATTTTCAACTTTGATTAGTTTTATTTTTTTGCATCTTTTGGTATATTACATTTGATAATCTGACGTCAAATATTAAAGATATTGACACAGTGATATTATTTTTGGGTCAACCCTCGTACGTGTTCGGGCTGATACGTGTTTGAATTGTAAGTAATACTGATCGATATGAATGAATTCACGTTAAATAGGCAGACGTTAACAATAAACATGGATGCATTTATGTTTATATTGTTCATGTTTGCCTATTAGAAGTGTGTTATTTAGTTTTTATCTTCTCTTCAAAGAGTTTCGAGAATTTTACCGCAAGAAGGAACTTGAAATATCAAAATGGCCGACGATGGATGACCTTCACGGTGCCATGACAGGACTTCTCCAGGTTTGGTCAGTTTATCACTTGAATGCAGATGACGTCATTGCTGGTGTCATTTTTGGTGCTCCATCAACACCGTTGTCAACAGATGATATACTTCTTCTGGCTGAGCATGCGCGGAAACTGGAGTTTTACACAAAAGAAATTGCTCTTCGCCAAGAGTTCATGAAACGTCTTCAACTGGAAGAAAAAGAGCATTTAAAACATACTTTAAAGTTGGCAAAAGCTTATCACAATGTGAGTTCATCAAAATCATTTTACGGTCTAAGAATTTTTAACTAAATGCATACCTGTATACTGTATTTCCTTTTTAAAAAAGAATTAATGGTAACAATTTTTTAAACATTACATTTAGAACAAGATGTCAAACACAGCAATGAAACTTTTATCGCCTCTTCTACTGACAGGTTCGTAATCCAATTAATATGAATTATAATCAAGCGCATAGATCTAATGAAATTGGAATACGTTTTGAAAATCTTCTTTTGACTGAAAAATAGTATTGTTTGAAATAATTTTTTGTATTAAAATAATTTCAGCACACGGCAAAGTAAAACCACTTCTGATTAAATATGGACAAGCAGCAAAAAATCAAATTACACCGACAGGAGAAGTCAACGAAGAAAGACAGATTGCTTCTGAGTCCGACCCACTTTGTCGAGGAATCACCAAGGTCGACATTTGTTTTCAATACTCAATGCAATGTTAAAAGGTTAAATGTATAATGATGTTTGATAAATATGTATTTAGGAATATATTTTTTAAAAAGTACTTCTAACTTGTCTTAGTATGCTGGTATTTTCTGAAGATGAGGTATATCACCTGTTCTGTTTGATTAGTTTGGGTCTATTTAAAAAAAAAAGAATATGACCTCTCATTTGTTTATACTTTTTTACTCACACTCCTTGGTTGGGACGGTATAATTGAAATATATAAATCTTTAGATATTTATAGAAAATTTAAAAAAAAAACTATATAAATCTTTACAGACACCCAAAGAACGTTCAGAACTGCACTGCACTTTAAGAACTAAAATCCCGTATTACTTAGTCAAAGAAGAGGTCCTTCATGTTCACCCGAGAGTGTCGCTTTTTCACGAGGTCTTATCCGAGGACGATATCAAAACTTTGAAAAGATACACAGCTCAACAGGTGAGAAAAAATGAATTGAGACCAAATGATATTTATAACCGATAAAAAGTTACTAATAATATTTTCAATATTTTTTAACGAATTCCTTCATATGTAATTTAAAAATGATAATTATAAATTATTTCCTCTCTTTCTATTTAGGTCAGTAAACCCTCTCCAGCTGAGACTGAATTCGTCGACCTTGCAATGACTATGTATGTATTTGTCATATATTAGAATTAATCAACCACAGAATACAGTAATTTCATTTATCTAATACAGTGTATGTAACACATACAATGTATATGCTTTTCTTGTGCTCCATTTCAGATATCAGTTAAATGAGAAAAAATTTAGGAGGTTGTCTGACAAGTTAAGCAGGAGGATGTCCCTAATAACTGGATTGGGTACTCACTTAAAGACCTCCCAATCAGATGTCGAGGACTTTCAGGTATACAAGTGAACTGATTAACAACAGCCCTAAATACTAAGTAATGTTTTTTTTACACTGACTGAGGTCTTTTATACAAATGAAAGTTCTTAATTGAATTCTGAATTGTCTACAAAACAATCTGATTAACTCAGATTTGAAGAGAAGCACGCGGTGGGTTCGACAGGTAGAGCAGCAAGGGAAGATTTATTGTTAATGGCACCTGATCCCACCTCTGATTTTCAATGTTTTGAAGTTGCTATATTTTAGCATGATCACATACCATCTTTCCAATTGATGTACCATTATACGATGAAATTATTTACTTTAAAAAAGCCCATTTTAAATTAAAATATTGGGCAGGGAAAAGAAAACAAATTGTGTAGAATTGTATATATGTATTTACGTAAATAATTTGATAAAGGGGAAATGAAAAACTCATGGATATCATTTGTAAAAAAGATTTTTGATAGATGTGGTTTATCAAATATACACGAGGAATATTTTTATAACTGCTACACTCAAACAAAGATTAAAAAGGTCAATATATAAGTGGAATAGTGAAGTTCAAGAATCTCAAAAAGTTTAAATTATAGAATTTTTTAAAATCAATTTTTAGTGCGAGAAATATTTAACACTGTTATCATATAAATTTAGAAAAACTTTCGTTAAATTTAGAACCACAAATCACCACCTTCCAATTGAAACAGGTAGAAGGAATGGTTATTGGTACTCAAAGAAATGAAGATTTTGTAGCTTATACAGTAGTAACCAGATAGATGAATATCATTATATATATAATTTAAGAATGTAATGCTTTAAACCACTGAGGAAAGTTTATTTGAACCAAAAAATCCAAATATTATCAAGTTTTGTGAAGTCATGTGCCAAAATGATGCTGATTCCTTGAAAAAAAATTATGTACATTTATTTCTAAAATTAATAGTATTGTCTGTTCTCCTTAGTTATCACCTTCTGCTTGACCCACTGTATTATATGTATATATGTTTTATATGTTTCTGTACCTCGTGTACCATTTACATGGTTTTGAGTAAATAAGTTGAGTTGAATTATCTTTAAATGTACAATATATGTTTATCACCTTAAAAAAATGAATGCATTCTGCTTCAAATGGGTGTTACAGTTGGATAGGGTCTTAGCAAAGGCATTAATGTGATAAAGCTTAGAGTTAATGCAGAATTAAGAATGAAGAAGATAACAATTGTATGATATTTTAATTCAACTGGAAATAATTCTCTTTGGTACAGAGATGTATTAGCACATGTAATATATTTTTGGGGGCTTTGAAATGTCCATATATATTAGTTATACGAGTCTAATTTTCTTCGCCTTCTTCCACGTTTCTCTCTATAAAGGTAGTCAATTACGGAGCGAGCGGTCAATTTCCTCTACACAGCGACTGTAGGGTACGTAACATACACTGATTCCCTCTTTAATCTGATTTTGAAGTGTAAAATATCAATCGTTTAATATCTATACTTTCCCCATATGTTGCTTTTTATAATCTGAAGACTTGGTTATTTCTTATTATTCAGTCTGAGGCACTATGGACGAGCACAGACGACAACCAGCTCCCTCTGTCTCCCTATGTCAGATATTCAGGTGACAACATAGCTACCTGGATCTACTTCGTAAGTCAGATTTTTTACACTCAATATTTATCAAATTTTAACATACGTGTGACAATTCTGGACCAGGAATTAGTCCCTTATTTCTTTCTGTGGTCCAAGAAAAATTGGAAGGTTAAATAAAATTTTAACATTTCATTTTTGTAATTTTACAGATGAGTGATGTTGGTGAAGGTGGTGCTACAATAATGCCAAATCTGAAAGTCCGAGTAACCCCTGTTAAAGTAAGTGGATACATGTATATCATATATATTTCTAGAAGATCACGATTATTAATTATCCCTTATATACATACCTGTAGCACTTAGTAAAATAGCATTAAAAATCAGGGTTTAAAACTCTTACAGTAAGTTTTAATTATTATCATATTTCATAAATATAATTATGTAACTTAGATAAATTCCTTTCTTTCAAAATGACTCTGCACAAGCTTGAAAAATAACTGGGTTGAATTGAAGAACTAAATTATAATTATAATTTTCAGAATGTACGACATATTCAAATCAAGATTTTTTTGTAAATAATTCCAAAATTTAAATATGGAAATAACTATAAGTATTCAAGCTAAGTTCATTCAAACAATACAGATTGGAAGCAGAGCAATCAGGAGCCTCCAGAAACATCAGAAGCGGGATCAGATGCTATGGATGAGTGAGCATCCCCTGTTGACCGAACACACCCACCCGGTGCTCTTTGTCATGACATGCTCGTGTGTGGTGGTTAGCATGGGTTGCTCACTTCTTGAAGGCACCTGATTCCATCCTTGATGTTTTAGATGTCAGTGTTAGCTAAACTCCTTAATTGTATTGTTTTAATGGACTTTTGAGCTTGAATACCGCTCTTTATTCACTTCTATATAAAAGAGCTGTTATAGTGCCATGAAAACAAAGACTGAGAAGTTTAAAGTAATAAAAATGTGAACATGAACTTCACACATTAGACAACATTGCTTTTATGATGCTTTTATGATGCTCGAATTTTTATTTTTATACATGTTCATCAATCTTATTCTGTGGCACATATCAGAACAATATATGGTAGGAAGTTAAGAGAATTGTTTTATACGTTGACTCGATATATGCCAGAGAACTTGAAATAAAGCATAATAAAAGTGTCATGTATGAAAATTTTAACGAACAGGATGTTAATAAATACTCAAATTACTAAGTTACGTAAATTACGTAAAATTACAATTAAAAACTACAGTATGACAAGACTCTCACAAACCTGTTTCATATTTAGATAGTTTACTGTTTATGATTATCCAAAACCATAACTTTATGAAAAACGTGATGACTTCAAATTTTCTATCGCAGCGGCTAACTTTCCTTACTTATGTAGCAATATACTCTTTATAACCTGCATATGAGGTTGATGTCTTCTAATTGTACCCAAAAGCATGAAACACATTCGAACATTTTCTAAAATGAGACAAGCTAAATTGGCAACATGTTGATAAACAGGGAATTCACGAGTCTCCTTTAAAGTCACCATTTTGCAAGTTTTTTGGTCAATGCAATGACATTTTCATCTTATACAACTTAATCATGAAGTCGAATGCCGACTGTTGTAATAATGTAATTGTTAAGTCATTATTTACGCCCTGATTTGTCTAGGGATTTTTCCGTATTCCGGATCAGGAACACATGACGGGTGTGACCAGTCAATAGAGATGTTTACTCCTCCAAGGCACCTGATCCCAGCTCTGATTTTTTGGAGACCAATCTTGGCTCTGCTACCAATTTAAATAGCTTCAATGGACGTTTGCGCTTGATTATTGTACTTAATCTCCATATTTCATTCAGTAACGTATTTGTAGGGATCAGCTTTATTTTTTTACAATTACACACCCGACGGAAACTGTGATTTACTCACTCAATATGGCACGTGTCCGGTGGCGCTAGGCACGCGGTGGGGTAAGTTTGATTGATTGATTGGTTGTTATTTCTTACTTAACATCGATTTTGTAGTATTTCAACCATATTTCAGTGGAATAAATTGTTCGAGAGTCCTTATTTATCAGATTTAATGATTAGTTCTACTATAGGGATTAGTTTCTTCTGTGAATATCTAGCTTTAATTATCAGAACTTTATTTACCATGCTGGGATTTTGAATCATATCATATCAAATGTGTATTGTATTTGTGAACAATAATATTTATTTGCAGATGCTGTAAAATTAATAAAACAAGGCGGACAAATTTTCCGAAGATTGTGTGACATTTCAAATGATGAATAAACTTTCGCATACTAACATTGTGCGTAAGAAGTGTTGCTTGTCTCATTGTTGTTTACTTTGGTTACTGTAGTAGTATATTTGTAATATATGGCTAACAACACATTTCTGTAAAATATGTGCTTTAGTGCCCATAAAGAATTAAAAAAATTAAATAGTATTTTACAAAATATGGGAAACTTAGTTTTAGAAATTGTAATTTAATAAAATGTGGAGCACGTAGTTCAATTAGAATAGGTCGGTATATATGGTTGTCTATTTCTTTTTGCGAGTCATACATGATATTATAAGGTATAGCAGAATTGTTTTATAACTTTTTACTATGTATTATTTATTTATTTATTGTTGTTATTTATTTATCTAAAATATGTGGTTGAATTATATTCGACAATTGCAATATTTCGATTTTTGAAGTGTAATTTTAAATCATTAAATGACATATGTTAATATAATAATCTCTGCAAGATATGCATGGAGACTTAAGACAATTATTAATGAGTACATTATAAAATGTCATTTTAATATTATTGAATAAATTTCTATGAATTCCTCTATAGAATATTCGTGTTCTTTGTTTTCGTCTCCAGATACAAGAAAGATCCCTCTTGCCTCCAATATTTCTCCGAAGCTCTAAACATGCTAAAGTTTGACTTAAAATTAGACCTTTTCCTCTATGGTTATCCTCAGTGTCCCCACCTATAAAATACAAGTTTAATTCGTTTTCCGTCACTTTCATGTTAATTATCAATTTTATCTATTTGTATAAATTCTATTTGTACCTGTACAATTTTTTGCTACCATGCAGTTGTGTTCACTTTAGTTTTGATGGAGAAACTCCGATATCTTTAACAGCTGGCTTTCTTTATGCCTTCACGGTCAGTTTGTTGTTTTCTCTTCGTTATTTTATTTTGTTCAATGTTGTGTATTTCTTCAATTTTCATTCTTTCATCCCTTATTTCTTTTTTGAAAAATGAATATTTTTAGGAGGTTTTGTCGTTTTTCGTTTAAAGAGATCATTTCCTAAGTTCTAGGGTCGGTGCATTGACCTTGTCAGCAAATACACTCTATCAGTAAGTCAAATGCTAATGTTTTTCACACAAATTGTTTGGCCATTATTTATACTGCATTCTCGACGGATTTTTTGGTATTTCACTCCGATCTAGACAAGGGGCACACAGCGGATGTGACTGGTCGGCAGGGAATGCTCACTCCTCTATGAAACCTAATCCCACCTCTGATGTTTCAGGGGTCCGTGATTGCTCTGTTCTTGAATTAATTAAATGATAAGACTTTTGAGCTTCATACCGTTCTTTCCATATATTGCTTTTTCCTTAAAACTTCAAAGTAAAAATTTCCCGTCCTTTTCATACGTTTGTTCTGGAAGCAATTTAGATTTTTTAAACTGTATTTTTCTGGGGTACTTTGTTAAACCCCCTTTCACTATTAAAGAACATCTCTCGTCTTGTAAAACACAATCTCGCTTTTTTGAATTCCTTCAACTTTAAGTTGTGTAGTTTAAAGAATAATTTTTTTTGCGAAGTTTTTCCATTCATGTTATGTGTATCTTTTTCCATCATAAGAAACTGTAAATCAACAAATCTTTGCAATTGTCTTACAAGTTTCTCATTAATGTTTCATTTGCTACATGTAAAAAAAAATAACATCTTTGATTCTTAAAAGATGGAGCAAATTATGATTCTGAAGTTCTAATTCTGATTTACATTAAAGACAAAGCATATACATAGTTCATCCTGATATCTATTTAAAATTGTACATTTGTTGCATTATTTGTAATTTACGTTCAATAAATGGGTCTTGTATTGGAAATTTCAAATTTATATATTGTTTGTTTTTGTTTTCGATGTTAATCTGAATGCCTGAAAAGGCCTTTTTAAAATCCTTTCAGTATGATCTCTGCATGGTATATATAATATCCCTTAAGCTTTAGAGTAGTTCTTAATTCGTCCTCCAGCCTTCAATCCTTTCAGTATGATCTCTGTATGGTATATATATAATATCCCTTAAACTTTAGAGTAATTCTCAGTTCGTCCCTCCAGCCTTCAATCCTTTAAGTATGATCTCTGCATGGTATATAATATCCCTTTAGAGTAATTCTCAACTCGTCCTTCGATCCCTCGAACTCCAACTGATTAAAACGAAACATGCAATTCCAATCCATTCTTTTTTAAATTTAATTACGCGTGGAAACTTACTTTTAAAATTCTTTTTAATGGAGAATTTAGAAACAATATTTAAAGGGATCTACTAATTTTTTCTAAACAAAAAGTTATCATTTTTTAAAATTTGATATATTACACGAAACTCAAAATAGATACACCATCGTGTGTGACACATACATCCATTTCATAATTGGTCATTTTATTTGAGATAGACAGTTATCACAAACTAGCAACAGACTTTATGATAACATAACTTCGATTTTCTCATCGTTGACTCTCAATTTTCATGTTACAGCTAGCTAGTACGCATGTACCATTGTCAGCTGTTTATCTCTCCTAGATGATTCGATGCACGGGAGCATGTACATGTACTAGTAGTCTGTAAGTAGTCTAGTGCTAGTATTTTTTAAATTATGAGATGTTTGCTTATTTTACCTTCGATGTACAGTACATAACTGCAATATGATTTTAAATCCTTCAGAATGCAAACATATGTTTTTACGGTTCCCGTATTTCTTTTAAATAAACTTCCATTTTATTTTTGAATAAATATATATTTATAAAAGAAATTAAATAATATATATAAAATATATAAAAGAGGCCTGAATTAAATGGCCGCCATATTGGAAGCAATTTGTCTTACCAAGTTTAAGAAAATATAGCAGAAATATTTGGTGGAAAATCTTTATCAAATAATTTTTTTTTAAATACAAAAATTTATATACTTCAGAAAAATAATGATTTCTAATTCAAAATAGCAAATATAAAAATTTTAAATTGGTTGAACAATGAAGGAATATGAGCATTTGGACCTCCAGTATGGCGGCCAACGGGAAGTAACTCTTGGTCAATCGAAAACTATCTATTTCATGTAATCCATTATTCCCGGATGTTTAGACTGATTTTTAGTTCCCTAATTTATTCAGTTGTTAAATGTTAATTATTTGTCAAGAACATACCCATGCAGTGTTTTGGGCTTTGGTGAAATCTATAAAAAGTCTCAAGTCAAACTAAGAAGTTCATCCGTGTGATTTAAATTTTTGCAGTTACTGCGCTCCATACATTTTAATCCCACAAACTGAACTCTCGACTTTGTTTATTATCGTGTAATATAAAGGTACCCAGGGGTAGATATGATTGTTCGGATCTTTAGATATCTGTCTGATTGCTCAATGTAAGTACAATATCTATATCATGCATTTATCAGGCTAAAACAGTTTCAGACACATTACCAGCACTACATTTCAGTGATTTCTTACCAATGATACAGCGATTATATGTCCAAAACAAGGTAGATTTGTAACTAGATTGCGAAGATTTTAAAAGAGTAAAATATCTTCTAAACCAGCTGCCATTACAATTATAGCAGACACTTTTGGAAAATTCGCCAAGTAGGGAATCTCCCATTTGTAATCATTGTGAATGTATTTTTGCCCAAATTTGATCTTTAACAGTTTCTGACTACACGTGGTTTTCACGTTGAAAGGGGTATATTTTTAAATGCCAAGAATGTCGACTAGTCTGTTTTATTATTTAATTTTTGTATTTATATTATAACAGACAAATACTCCACTTACACTACGAAAAAGAAGGCTAGGGCTCTTGTAATATCTATACGGTACCACATTTTTGCCATTATCCCTTAATAGAAAAAAGGAGCACCTGCGTTACTCTTGGAGCAGATATAGGAATTGAAGATTAAATGGGGATTTTTTCAATTAAATATAACATTTTATTTTTCCCCCAGTTTATAGTTTTTTGATATTAAAAGAATATTTCATATAACTTATTTTCCCTTTTGATTTTATCCTCAAGATGAATTATTTGGTCCAGTTGGCCTTGTCGACGTCATCTTGAAATTTCAACAAAAAATAATTTGAAGGTATGTATCGTTACAGTAATTATGTCACACACAAAACTTGCCTTCTGTGTATAATACTGTAATATGTATTTCCAAATCTGTTTTAAATCACTACATGTGATAAACGTACCTAAAGTGTATAAAAATATGCATTTAAAATAAATCAAAATAGTAATTTTGTAAGATTGATTATTACGTACTGCAGCAGAAGTTCACGTAATTTTGTTTAATGTTAAGGTAAGTCACTCCTGAAATTTGTTAAATCAAGGATTTTTTGAGAAGTATATTTTGGATAAGTACTCATAAAGTGTAACTCAAACTTGCAAAGAAAATAGGGGGTCAGTATGCATCCTACTGATCTACGGTACATTTAAGTTGACCTTTTTGCACTTAAATTTCATCTCTTTGGTTAATTACTTTAACCCTTATTATATTTGATCAGATGTAAGCATGGCAATAAATATAATGTTATTTTACGTAAAATAGTTTGAATAATATTTATCCTTAAACAAATCTTGCAAATTAATGCGCGTAAATTATTGTGTGACCATTTTGCACTAAAAAATAACATATTTGGGGTATTAAAAAACTTAATAGGCAATAAAAAAATTTCTTATATCAAACTTTTTACGACTTAAGTGCTGATCAGTCACAAGTATCGAGTAGTTTAAAATAATGAAAGAAAAAGGTGATGTTAATTTTGAAATATTTGTCAAAATATGTGATTTTCAGGCAAAAAATGGTGTAAATTTGATCTTGACTTCTTTAATATATTTTCATTTTTTGGAAAAGTTTGTTGAGGGAAGGTGTAAAACTTAGTTTAAAAATATAAATTAAGACCTATATTAAATATATTTAGCAATATCAAAACGGAAAATATTCTCCCAGTAAAAGTATGTGAGGCTAAATTTCCATTACATTAAATTTTATAAATATGCAGATTTGCAGAATTTTCTGCTAGATATCCTTCCACCAAAAGAAATAGTCCCTCATAAATCTTGCTTCTTTGTAGATTTTTGAGCAGTTTTTTCATTGAATGTTAAAAAAATTTACATTGTTGAATTTAAATATGTTATAAAAATTGAATTTTAATAAGTTGTGTTGAAGTAAAAGCTTCTGCGTGAACTTTTCTAAAAAGCTGACGAGTGACTTACCTTAAGTGCACTATCCGCAAAAAACCCACTGTGCATTCAATAACATAATTTGCTTACAGTCAATAAATTTTAGTTTTTCATATATTATTTGAACATTTCTTTTAGATGACCACTGCTAAGCGTGTAGCAGTGATTGGGGCGGGAGCTAGTGGACTGACCGCCATTAAATGTTGTCTGGACGAGGGAATCACCCCTGTTTGTTTTGAGAGGTCAGACTACATAGGTAACCAGATTTACCACTTGGACTGTTGACAAACTGTACTTTTATATCTGTATTTTTTTTATTTTCTATCGTCAACTTCCGTTATCTATGTAGCAATATGTAGTAGTATACCCTTATACCTACCTGCAAACAGTTTCTACTTAGAGATAAGCAAATTAAACAGTGACATCCACAGTCTCGTTTAAAGTCAAAATTTGACTTTGTGGTCGATATAATGAACTAGTTAGCAAATAAACAAAGTCAAATGTTGACGAACATTATGTAAACTAATTATTATGGTGTCTGACGATTTTTCACTTAATCCTGTCATGATGACAAGATGCAAACGGCGTTTGTGACTGGCTAATATGGGATGCCTATTCCTCCATGACATCTGATTCCACCTCTGGTGTTTTAGATATCCATGTTTCCTCTGCTCCTAATTCGTTTGGTTCTGATAGACGTTTTAGCATGGCTATTGTTCGTTTTCTTCATATTTCATAATGAAAGCAAAGTGTTGAATTTTAATGCTCCCTATACGTTGCAGTACTGTAATATCCATTTACTGCCCCCTTTTATAGGAGGTCTTTGGCACTACACCGATGAGTCACGTGACGGCCAGGCCTGCGTGATGAAGTCCACCGTCATTAACACCAGTAAGGAGATGATGTGTTTCAGTGACTTCCCTATTCCCAAGGAGTACCCCATCTTTATGCACAACAAATATGTCCTCAAGTACTTCCACCTGTATGCGGAGAAGTTCGACCTCACTAAGCACATTAACTTTCAGACAGAGGTAATGAACTTTAACAAAACATAGAGTGTTTTGGAAATAAAGAGGTCTTCTTTTTTGTTTAGATACTCAACTTGTATGAATAAGAGATAATCTCGCATACCTGCAAATGACATATATATAGTTTCTCAGAAAGGTGTGCTGAGATAAAATCTTGTCCTTCCCCGTAAGTATTTTGAGGCGAATCCTCTCCATATTTTTAGGTCCTAAGTATCAAGAAACACAACGATTTTAAAAACAATGGATGTTGGGATATCAAAACACGTGATCTAAAAACCAATCAAATTAAAGAACAAACGTTTGATGGTGTGTTAGTCTGTACTGGACATCACGCAGAAAAAAATATTCCTACATTTCCAGGTGAGACATTAGACTGTACATCGAAATTCAAGTCTTTACGTGTATCTTAAGTGAATTTCATTGAACGAAACTCAAACTCTTTATATTCTTAAGGCCTGGATAAGTTCAAGGGAGAGATAATTCACTCACATGACTACAAAACTCTGAAGGGATACGAGGATAAGCGGATAGTTATTATTGGCATAGGAAATTCGGGAGGAGACGCCGCGGTGGAACTCAGTCGTGTAGCTAACCAGGTTCTTAATTCTGTCTTCATCACTATTTAAAGTATTTTTGTTTACTTTTTAAACCATACGTCCAGTTAAACAATAAGCTTTTCTCTTGTGTAGGTTTTCTTGAGTACACGGCAAGGTTCCTGGGTCATAAATAGAGTAGATAGCTTTGGATATCCAGTGGATATGATGAGGACAACGCAATTCAATTTTTGGTAAAACATTTCTTAAAAAAGTAAATGATCTTTACGTCATACCTATTTTCCATGTTATATTCAAAATTAATACCTTAATGCCTTCGTAAACAGGATGATGCGGAAGATTGTGCCCGCTTCTGTTACTCAATGGATCACCGAAACAAAACTGAACATGAGATTTGATCACGCGCTTTACAGCCTTAAACCAAACTTCCCGCCGTTATCCCAGCATCCAACAGTCAACGATGACCTTCCCAATAGAATCATCAGCGGCAACGTCATCGTCAAACCCAACATTAAGTGCTTTACTGAAACTGGTGTGGAGTTTGAGGATGGTACAAAAGAGGAGAACATTGACGTCGTGTTTTTGGCTACAGGGTATATCTTTGGGTTTCCGTTTTTGGACAAGTCTGTACTGGAAGTAAAGGAAAACCGAGTTAATTTGTATAAATGGATGTTCCCACCTGATCTGGAACACAACACATTGGCGGTGATAGGTTGTATACAGCCCTTAGGAGCTATCATGCCGCTCTCCGAACAACAATGCCGACTCTACACAAGGGTTTTAAAAGTATGACGTTTCCTTTCAAAGTAGCAGTTAAGACAATTTCAAAAGTAGTTTGGAAGTAAAAGAGCACAGATGTGTTCATTTGATTGAAAAATAATGAGCTATAGGTCGTTTCACAATTTCATTACAAACTTTGCACATTTGTTTATTTTTTCCTATAAAATAATCCTGTTTTTTTCTTCAGGGTGAAGTGAAGTTACCGCCCTCAAATGAAATGTGGCAAGACATAAAAGATAAAGTGACAGCGATGGCCAAACGTTACGTTAAGAGCACCCGTCACACGATACAAGTGGACTACGTGGTGTATCTGAACGAGTTAGCTGCCTTGACTGGCAACTGTCCTGATCTCGGTACGTATTCATTTTCTATGCTCAGTCTCTGTTGTCGTGATCTTATGTAGTCTCTGTAAATATATTGATTTATACAAGGCATCAGTTTAAATGTCTAGTCTACTTTTAAAAAAATTAGTATCAAAACTTTGGTAAAAAATATTGCAATAATAATATAATGAATAGGAAAAAATGGGTAAATGAATATTTTTCTCCATTAATGACCAATATTTGTTTATTTTAGTAAAACTGTTTTTCAAAGACCCTCGTCTAGCCATGGCTTGTTTCTTTGGCCCCTGTACACCGTATCAGTACCGACTGGTGGGCCCCGGAAAGTGGACAGGTGCCCGGGAGAGCATTCTGACTCAGTGGAACCGGACCTTTTACCCACTGAAAACGCGACCCATGAAAAACCCTCCCCGGGAATCCCAGATCACCTTCTTCTTCTTCTTTCTGCTCATTGTTGGGTTGTTTACTTTAACTATTCACTTACTCTTTATGAGATGAATAAATATTAGATTGTGAAACTACTGACAGCTATTGTAGGTGCTCACATGATTGTGTTCTCTGGATATAGCCGAAAAGTCTAAGTGATACGACACTTCTGAAAAAAAAATTTAATCAAACCAGACATCAAGAAACCAAAACTTTACTGAACAACTTGGAATGGGAAGTGAAAATACATTTTTCCTGTTTTGGATGACATTGTACTTATGCTGTTGTATCAATAGAATTTTGGATGAATAGATATTTTATACAACATAAAAGCGTAAATTTGATTATATTCTGATTCTTTTTCATGATATTCATGTTGTTTCAGGATATTAAAAAACTGTGATATTTATATATATATATATATATTAATGGACTAGTAAATATTTAATTCAAAATATATTATATTCTTGAATTATGTGTTGTTGTTTTCGAAATGAAAGTGAAATTAGAAATTAGAAATAAGCTGTCAAGGCAATCTTGAGAAGTGTAAAACTGTGTATAGAATACATGTAAAAGTCGTTCAATTTCTTGATTAAAAAATACTTTAATTTAGTGAATAATTTTTAAAGCTAATGTTAAATAATATTATTAAATAAAGATTTGAAATGTTTGTTCCATTTAAAAAAAAATAAATTCACATATGAAATTTACTTGCGGGAAGAAGATTCTTAATTGCAACACAACTACATACGAATTAAGTACTGCAAATGACCCAATCTATTAAAACAGTTTACATGTATTAAATATAAAAAAAATAATCAGATTCATTTATATATATTGCTTTTTTATACCCCTACATACGATAAGGAGAAGGCAAGAGAGCATATTAAATCTTACTTGAACATTTCAATGTATGATAAGGCCTTGTTTTCAAAACCAAAAAAAAAAATCACAGAAATGCTCGCTTTCTTAAAAGAAAAATGGGATTTTGTGTAGAAGTAAATCTGCTAAATGTTGTGTGATGCGTCTAGTGTGTTGGTGTTGGTGTCTGTGTGCTTGTCACCTCTCGCTTTCAGCCCTCACTGTTGGCTAGCAACAAAGCGAAACGGGAAGCAATTTGTAAGTCTTCCTCTGCCAGTACATACCCTCTCCACAACAAGTCCTATGCGATGCCTCCACGTGGAAGCAGACGGATACTGGGCACCTTTCGGCCCCAGGCTAACTTCGCAAGGGCGTGCGGGAAGATGAGGCTCGAAAGCCTTGGTCGGCAACTCATCTAGGAGAGAAAACTCTGATTACAATCCGGATTTAGTAGGAGACCGTTAGCAACTACTATGTTGGCCCTCAGACATAAAATTGGGGGTTGGACTTAAGGCTAATCACCTCCTTCCATAAAAAACAATTGATTACGGAAACCGTTGCAACAATTAGTACCACTGAAAGAAAGGCAAGCGCGACATGCGAGATTCCGGATGAGGATAATTACCTTCATTGGGAATTCGAGAGAATGACGGCAATCAGGAAAAGCCGAGAGGACCCTAGCGGCCTGACAGGAACGCAGATGCCATCCATAACAACACCTAAAAACATCACTAAGATCGGATGTTGGAACGTAAGAACAATGTTCCAGATTGGAAAAACAGCGAACATCGTAAGAGAGTTTAACAGATATAAGTTTGACATAATGGGACTGAGCAAAGTCAGATGAACAAGCTTTGGTGAACTTAAGACAACCTCTGGAGAGACCATCTTGTACTCGGGAGCTGAAGAGCATCATAGAGGAGTAGGACTTATACTTAGCAGGAAAAGCCGACAGAGCTTGAAGGAATGGAATTCTGTTAATGACAGAATCATCAGCGCACGCTTTTTCTCCCGCTTTGTTAAGCTAACAATGATACAATTATACTGCCCAACAAACGAGGCAGACGAAGCGGATAAAGACACCTTCTATGAACGGTTTCAAAGAGAGATCGCAAAAGTGCCAAAACATGACATACTGATGGTAATGGGTGATGCAAATACAAAAGTGGGAAAGTCAAATGAAGGATGGGAAAGAGTCATGGAACAAGAGGGCATTGGGATTATGAATGAAAACGGCATGAGGTTAGCAGAAATGTGCGCTCTTAACAATTTAATCATCTGCGGAACCCTCTTTAAGCACCTCGACATACACAAGCTTACATGGGAGTCACCGATTGGAAGAGATATGAACCAAATTGACCATGTAATGGTGGACGGCAGGTACAAGAAGTCTATATGTGATGTAAGAGTTATGCATGGTGCAGATGCCAATTCAGATCACCTTCTAGTATTGGCTAAAATAAAGATGAAGCTCAGCAGAAACTTAAAGCCGAAGGAAAGCAACAGGAAGATGTATGATGTCAACAAGATGAAAGATCCAAATATAAGCAAAGGATTCCAACTTGAACTAAGGAATAGGTTTCAACAACTGGTCGATGACGAAAGCACAATTAATGAAAAATGGACTCTTGCAAAAGAAGCATATAATGAAACAGCGGAAAAGATCATGGGCCAGAAGAAAGGGAAGCACAAAGACTGGCTAACTGCAGAAAATAGCAGAGCCATAGACGAAAGGAGAAAACTAAAGGAAGAAATAGGAAGATCAAATTCGGAAAGAATAAAGGAAATCAAGAGAGAAGAATATAAGACCAAAGACAAAGAAGTGAAAAGAAGAGCAAGAGCTGATAAAAGGGAAAATCTGGAAGATGTAGCTAATCAAGCAGAAAATGCAGCAAACACAAACCGTCTGAATGAAGTTTACCAACTGATCAAGCAGCTTTGTGGGAGAAAAAGAAACAGGACAAGTGGCATAAGGTCCAAGAATGGTGAACTTTTCATTAAGGATGGAAAAATATTGGAGAGAGGAAAAAGCATTTTGAAGAGGTCCTTAATGTCCCATCAGAAACAACAGATTTACCTGAAGGATGCACCATCCAAGAGAATGAAATTGCAGAAATTGACACAACACCAATTAGAGAAAAAGAGGTTAAAAAGGCAATCCAAAAAATGAAGAGGGGAAAGAGTCGGCATAGATAACATGAATGCGGAGCTACTAAAGGAAAGCGTATCATATTCAACAAACTTATTCAACAGAATCATCAGTGAGCAAGAAATACCAAAAGACTGGAAGAGATCGCTCATTGTCAAAATACCCAAGAAAGATCTGACAAAATGTGACAATTATAGAGGAATATCACTACTATCAATGTCATCTAAAGTGTTTTGCAGAATAGTGATTGACAGAATTAGAGATAGATTAGAGGACAGACTAAGACCAGAGCAAGCTGCATATAGAAGAGGAAGAGGAACATCAGAACAGATTTACATTCTAAGAAATATTTTAGGACAATCTATAGAGTGACAAGCACCATTGTACATAAGTTTCATAGATTTAAAAAAAAAGCCTTTGACAGCATAATAAGAGAGTAACTGTGGGATATATTATGGCAGTATGGAATTCCGGGCGTGTACGTGGATATCATTATACGATGGTAGTTCTAGTTGTTCATAGAGAATGGAAGAACAACAGACTGGTTCAAAGTACAGACAGGAGTGAGACAAGGTTGTGTTATGTCTGGGTTCCTGTTCATCATTGTGGTAGACTGGATAATGAGAAATACCAACAATAAGAAGAGAGTCATACGTTGGAAATTTATGTCCACTTTAGAAGACCTGGATTATGCAGACGACTTTGCACTTCTTTCCAGCAAACACAGCGACATGCAGGAGAAGACCAGGAGATTACATGCTGTCGCAGAATATACAGGCCTAAAAATTAACGTCGATAAAACAAAAAGCATGAGAATAAATATGAAGAGAAAGGATGCCATCAGGTTGAATGATAAAGAAGTAGAAGAGGAAGAGGTCGAAACATTTCTCTACCTGGGTGCCAGTGGAAAAGACCGGAGGAACCGAGGCAGATGTTGGGAGAAGGCTAGGCTTAGTCAGGACAGCCTTTGCATCCCTTGCCAAGGTATGGAAGTCAGCACAATACAGCACAAAGACCAAACTTAAGATCTTCAACACGAACGTTCTATCCGTGTTGCTGTATTGTGCTGAACTATGGAGAACAACAGAAAAAAACTTGATACATTCCACCGAAAATGCCTTAGAAGAATCCTTAAAATACACTGCCCTGAAAAGATAACTGACCAACAACTATATGAAAGAACAAGATCCATACCTCTATCAAGCACTATCAAAAGAAAAAGATGGAGATGGATAGGCCACATCCTGCGAAGGGAAGAGAACTCACATGTTAGAACCGCTCTTACATGGGCCCCTGAGGAAAAGAGACGAAGAGGACGGCCGAAGAACACCTGACGACGCTCTGTTGAGAGAGAAAGGGAAGAACTGGGCTGGAACAGTTGGAAGGAAGGGCAAGTTGTTGCCTGTGACCGCCGTAAGTGGTGTTCGTTGTTGAACGGCCTCATGCGTCCTCCGGGGACGGAGAGGATAAGTAAGTAAATAAGTGTAGAAGTAAATGAAGTTAACCATTTTGAGTAGTATAATAAAAGGAGTCAATGGTAATATGGGCAAACAGATTAAAATGGGGAAGAGGAAATATAACCTTTCCTTCCTGAAGCATGGATTGCTTTAGTGTCCTCGCCCCCTTTAAACAACTCATTCATATACAGTCACCAAATGCAACCCAAATAAACGCATGAATACAAAGAAAGACGTCTTCATTAATTTTTCAGACCTAATGGAACTATAGGATCCTAGCTTTTATTAAAACTTGCAAAAGATCTCTGGAGAAACTATTCAAATAATCACTTCAAATTTGATGCTATTATTTAAAGAGGCTTTACTTATCTACCTATATATCCGTGACTGTAAATAAGGTTGTTGATATCCCTTTTTCAACAATTTGTTTGTCAATAGCTTGCCTCGTTTTAGAATTTGTTTGTAGATGAAGGATATTCTTAGGTATCAAATCAATTGGTAGATACAAACCCCATATGCAGCTTATAAGAATGTATTGAGAAATGTTTGCGATGGCTAGAAATGTTGATGTCATCACGTTTATCGTACAATTGCGCTGTTGGTCACCAATAATGTATTTTCTAGTTAAAAAAAGCCAATATGAAACCGATATTGACGAAACTGCTTACCTGGTATTTTTGTTAAGTTGACTGGAATACATGTATATCGAGTCGACATATAAATGGAAGTTATTGTTTTTTGATAATACGTCATCAGTATAATTAAATTTAGGGTTGAAGACCACAGCAAGTGTTTCTTCTTTTCATGCTTAAGATTTTAAAGAAATTTTACTTCATATGAAAAACAGAAATATGTTTACTAATGATGGGACCAGAGCAATTAGAAGCAATGAAAATTCCAACAGATTTTGGTAGGCTTTATCTCGTATTTCAGATATTTCAAGTAGAAACTCAAACATCTTTTAAATTAATACATGTACAATGTATTAACGTGTACAATCAGAGAGTTTTTTTTCAACAAAAAAGCAAATGAACAATGCCTAGTTAGTGAATTTATAAATTCCATTTTCATTGAAAAAGCAGGTTATGCAAGGATATTAACAGTCTCGTTTAAAGTCAACAGTTTTTTGCAAATTATATGGTCGATACAATGACCTTGTCAACAAATACAATTTAGCGCTGACTATTGACTGACTGGCGTTTTTAATATACAGTTTTTGTTCAACTTGATATGGTTTAATAAGAAATGAGAACACTCATTTGTATCGGGAAAATTCTTGCCATAAAATGTTTAGGTATAACCTGAAGGTAAAAAAAAAATTGTTTACAATTCCACCCCTTACCAATTGCAATCGCTTAGAATGCAAGTAAGATTTGTTCACAGTCCTTAAAGATAAGCTACTGTAGTTGAAGATGACCCCTATCCAAATTACAACAAAAAGTAGTTATACTAGATTCTTATACAAAATATCGCACCTGGACGTATAATGCTCATGCACGGTTCGTGTTATTGGTCAACAGGGGATGCTCTCGTCCCCTAGGCACCTGATCCTACTGTTAACATTTCTAGGGGTCAGTTTTTTATGCCCTCTTTGGAGATCTGTATTGTTTATAGACTTTGTTTTAAGACCAGTCAATGTTCTGTATATAAGGTTCCGTTTGAACTTATACACCCCGTAAAATTAACATATCGATGTACATCGTTCCAACAAATAAATGAAATCCAAGGTATTGCACCTTGCATAACCAACTATTACGTAATAATATGACAAAGAGTTATTTGACAAACACTGAACATACATTTTATGATTTTAAATGTGATTGAGGAAAATTTACAGCATTTCCAATTCATATACCAACCGCGTTTTATTTGACCACTTGATATGTTTTAATGTAATGCGTAACTCGTGTTATTTTGTAAATATGTCTTCCTTCTTCACAAAATGAACTACAACTCTGACGTAGCTACCGTCCTGTAAGTAAATAAAGCATTTTTAATGAAAAAAATGAAATGAGTTTGAAAGTTTATCTCAATTAAAATTAAGAAATATTATTTTATACTTCAAAAGATACATAATAACGCTGGTTCCGTTTGTGTTGCTGGTCACGTGTATCATGCTTGCGTGTTGCTGGGACAGGTTTGGATGTAAAAAGAAGGCAGACAGTGGGCAGAGACCGACAATCAATGTAAGATATAAAAAACAAATAACTTTTGCTATAGATGAATAAATCATGCGCAAAACTTACATTGTGTTACAGAAATTTAATTCCAGGAAATCTTTTTTGTAGGACAGACTTTATTTTGTAAGTAATGAAGTGAATGGATTATCTATATGTGATCCGCCACAGTCCCCTGCAACTGGCTACAACTCCTGTTACGAAGATTCACCTCCACCTTATAACGAGGTCCAAGCTTTAAGTGAGGAAGACATACCGCACACAGCGTTCATTAACCCTTTAACTAACCAAGAGTGGGTGTCAGCGAGTTCTAGCGTACACTGGGTATGATTCTACACCAAAACTGTCAACACAGATTATAACGATACTATATTTACAGGTATTCATCAGGGAATGAGAAATATCTAGCGTATTTAATTTAGGAAAATATGTGTCTATGTTTGTATTGTAATTATGTTTTTGTTGTGAATTTTCAACTGTTTTTCTGTTCAAAATGTTTCACTAGTAATATTTCTAAACATGATACACACTATAAAGTTCCTTCATCTTGATACCCCATTATTATATTAAATCATGTTAAAATCAGTAGGAAGATCATTTAATCCACAGCTGCTTGCCTCTCAAAATTTCAGTGGTAGACTCAGGCGCCTAGAAAGATTAAGCACCCTCTGTAGGAGGCCGATCACACAACCTATGTATTAGGTAGACAAAACATACTGTAGTCATCCTCATTTTTAAAAAAAACAAAGGCTTAATAATTGAGATAAAACACCCTCGGACTATTTTTTTTAATTTCACGATCTTGACGAGGAGCGCACTGCGGGTGTGACCGGTCGGCAGGGGATGCTCACTGCCTGCTCCTATTTTATATTGTTGTTTGGACTTTGGAGCTTGAATACTGTTCGTATCTATCTCTGTTTTTTGCTTACAAGGTTATGAAAACGACGTTACGAAAACTCAGTATTTAATTTTTAAGGATGTTGTTGACATTTTTGCAGTATCAATATATCTGTCAATAGCCTGCTTTGGTTCTAAAAATGATAATATTCGGAGACTGCTCTTTATCATAAATCGATAAGTTGGGAGATGTAGGCAGCAGGTGATAGCAGGATATTACTTCATAATTCGTTTATCATACAATAATCATACAATTTAAATCTTAGTTGGTTCTTTTCGTCTATAGTCAGAATAACATCGTAATCTATGTCTGGTAAAGTATTTCTTTTTGGGTATTTGCATGATTTGGATACCTGCCAAAACTGAATTAAAAACCACCCAGACATATTTACATTGAGAAAAATCCTTTATATAGCTTAATATCATTTTAAAGAGGGCTTCATTGTTCAGCAAAATGTAAGGAAGAAGTAATAAAAGAAAACGTAAATAATTTCTCTCGGTATTTTGTACTACAGTGAATTGTGTTATTTTCAACTTGAAAACTAAACTTGTTATATCATTGGGAAAGTTAATTGTCAAAGTGATAAGTTATAAGAGTTTATTTATTAATCAGATGGAGAATAGTATTTCTCTTTGTTCACCTTATATCAGTCTGTTTGGGTATAATTTTGCCATCATTCGATTTTGATATTTAAATATTTCCTGATAAACTTCATCTTATATTGAACGACAAATTTCCTCTCGTCATTAGAAAATATTTTCCTTGATGCCACAGAAAAAGATGATTACGAATCAGGCAAAAAATAATCTATCAAAATAATTTCAAAACAATTAAAATGAACGAAAAGACGCTTTTATCAAGACTTCATTGTTATTTTTTTGAAACTGATAATTTAAAATCATGTGTATAATTATAGATATAAGTAAGTGTTTCAAAGCATCTTTAAATATTTGATATTTAAAAAATATTTAATTTCATTATATGGATAAATTATGATTTTCTGGTAATAAACAAATACTAGTACATTTGCTTCTGACTCAATTGTTTTTTTGGAAGGTGCCAAATTATTAATTTTTTTTTTTTTTCATATTTGAAATCCTTGCAGGAAAATAAATTTCGCTAGGATATATAGTGCGTGTCGCTGTGTCTTATGCATATAAATTAGTTTGCAACTTTCCCAGTTTTATTGGATTCTGATATAACAATAATTCACTTTGATACGTATACATCAATATAAAAATTCACTTTGTTTAGAGACTATAAATTTTTTAAGAATGTTTCTTAATGAATAAAACTTATTACTTTTTAAAAGTTACTGGTATCTATGCGTATGAGAATAAACTTGATTTTAAGGACAGATGATACAAACAAAAAATGGATGCCTGGATTGGTTTATATTTTTTGTCCTAATTTCATTGCAAATGATGCAAATAATAAATTACTAGAAAATAAAGAAATTGTAAACCTTCTGTGATGTTCAAAAGTATGCCCTTCTGAAACCATCTTTATTAATCTATGCAAATATTTTTCACTTAAAATTCCATTTTTATGCAAATTTGAATAAAAGAATTTAAACTACGCGGTGAAAGTTATTCATTTTATTCATTTAAACATGACCCAACTTGTTATTTTCAAATTCTTTTACAAAAGTTTGTTTGTATCATCTGCCCTTAAAATGTGAAGATTTCGAAATTTTCTTGTTATAAAATCTTATCGCGATAATATCTTTTCTCTCAAGTTATAAAGATATGCTGAACATAAACCCCATAAAAAGGAGTCACAGATAAAATTCTACATTTAAAAAAACATGATAAAATAAAACAAGTCGGATTTCACATTTCCTGGCAATATTCCGATATAGAATGTTTATTTCGTCTAAAAAGATTATATTTGAAATTTTTGTATTTTTTTTATATAGATACTTGGCAAAAAGGGATTGATACGCTGATTGAAAGAAAAATGATGGTCGAGAGTCCCAGCTCGCATTCTTCTTCTTCTTCTTTCTGCTCATTGTTGGGTTGTTTACTTTAACTATTCACATACTCTATATCAGATAAATATATATGAGATTGTGAAACTACTGACAGCTATTGTAGGTGATCACATGATTGTGTTCTCTAGATATAGCCGAAAAGTCTAAGTGATACGACACTTCTGTAAAAAATATGTAATCAAACCTAAGACATCAAGAGGCCAAAACTTAACTAAACAACGTGGAATGGGAAGTGAAAATCAAAACATTTTTCCCGTTTGGATGACATTGTACTTATGCTGTTGTACCAATGGAGTTATAGATGTATAGATATTTTATACAACAAAAAATCATTAATTTGATTATATTCTGAATCTTGTTCATGATATTCATGTTGTTTCAGGATGTTGAAAAACTGTGATATTTATATATATATATTAATGTACTAGTAAATATTTAATTTAAAATACATTATATTCTTGAAGTTTGTCTTGTTGTTGTTTTCAAAATGAAAATGAAATTAAAAATAAGCTGTCAAGACAATCTTGAGAAGTGTAACACTGTGTATAGAATACATGTAAAAGTCGTTCAATTTCTTGATTAAAAATACTTCAATTTAGTGAATAATTGTTAAAGATGAAGTTAAATAATATTATTACATAAAGATTTGAAATGTTTGTTCCAATTTTAAAAAATAGAATTCACATATGAAATTTACTTGCAGAATGAAGATAAAAAATAATCAGATTCGTTTATATATCTTACTTTTATATACTCCTACATACGATAAGGAGAAGCCAAGGGATCATAAAAAATCTTACTTAAACATTTCAATCTATGATAAGGCCTTGTTTTCAAAACCGAAAAAAGCACAGAAATGCTCGCTTTCTTAAAAAAAGGATATTGTGTAGAAGTAAATGACATTTATCATTTTGAGTTGTCTGATAAGAGGAGTCAATGGTAATGTGGGCAAACAGATCAAAATGAGGAAACATAGCCTTTCCTTCCCGAAGCATGGATTGTTTTAGTGTCCTTGCCTCCCTTCAAACAACTCACTCATATACAGTCACCAAATGCAACCCAAATGAACGCATGAATACAAAGAACGACGGCTTCATCAATTTTTCAGACCTACTGAAACTCTAGGATCCTAGCTTTTATTAAAACTTGCAAAAGATCTCTGGAGAAATATTCCAATAACCACTCCAAATTTTATGCTAGTATTTAAAGAGGCTTTACTTATCTGCCAATATATCCGTGACTGTAAAAAAAAGTTTTTGATATCCCTTTTTCATCAACTTGCTTGTCAATAGCTTGCCTCGTTTTAGAATTTGTTTGTAGGTAAAGGATATTCTTAGGCATCAAATCAATTGGTAGATATAAACCCCATATGCAGGTTATAACAATATATTGAGAAATGTTTGCGATGGCTAGAATTGTTGATGTCATCACGTTTATCGTACAATTATGCTGTTGGTCACCAATAATGTATTTTCTAGTAAAAAAAAGAAAGGCCAATATGAAACCGATATTGACGAGTCTGTTTTACCTGTCGACATATAAATGGAAGTTATTGTTTTTTGATAATACGTCGATCATCAATATAGTTAAATTTAGGATTGAAGACCACACCAAGTGTTTCTTCTTTTCATGCCTAAGATTTTTTTGAAGAAATTGTACTTCATATGAAAAACAGAAATATGTTTACTAATGATGGGACCAGAGCAATTAGAAGCAATGAAAATTCCAACAGATTTTGGTAGGCTTTATCTCGAAAACCTTTATATTTTCAAGTAGAAACTCAAACATCTTTTTAATTAATACATGTACAATGTATTAACGTGTACAATCAGAGATTTTTTTGTAACAAAAAGCAAATGAACAATGCCTTGGTAAGTGAATTTATGAATTCCATTTTCATTGAAAAAGCAGCTTATGCAAAGATATTAGCAGTTTCGTTTAAAGTCAACAGTTTTTGCAGATTATATTATTTATCGCTGAGCTGACTATTGTCTGACTGGCGTTTTTAATATAAAGTTTTTGTTCAACTTGATATGGTTAAATAAGAAATGAGAACACTCATTTGTATCGGGAAAATTCTTGCCATAAAATATTTAGGTATACCTGAAGGTAAATAAGGCCATTCAAAGTTTTTTCTCTGTTTAGCGTCCACCCATCTTTCAAAAACCTACCTACCTATTCGCAAAAAACACAAACCAAAACATAAAACACAGGCTTAAAAGTCATAAAAATGACGCCCTTCAAATGATTTGATCTAACTAGACTGCATTAATAGAAGATATATCTATTCTTAAGCAAAAACAAGGGATTAAATGCATAACATACACCGAATATAACTTACTGTACAGAATTAATTTGGAGAAATTGACAAAATTAAAAAATTTCGACTAAAGTAATCAATTTCAGGACTCCTGATGTTGTGTGTTTTTTCTTACATGGAATGTCAAAAACCAAGATGCATGCGGACGCTAAACATAGAAAAAACTTGGAATGGCCTAAAATTGTTTACAATTCCACCCCTTACCAATTGCAATAGCTTAGAATGCATGTAAGATTTGTTCACGGTCCTAAAAGATAAGCTAATGTAGTTGAATATAACCCCTACCCAAATTACAACAAAAAGTAAAGTTATACTAGATACTTATACATTACAAAATATCGCAGCTGGACGTATAGTGCTCACAGTATGTGTTATTGGTCAACAGGGGATGCTCTCGTCCCCTAGGCTGATCCTACTGTTAACATTTCTGGGGGTCAGTTTTTTATGCCCTCTTTGGAGATCTGTATTGTTTATAGACTTTGTTTTAGGACCAGTCAGTGTTCTTATATTAGGTTCCGTTTGAACCTATACACCCCGTAAAATTAAAAATATCAATGTACATCGTTCGAACACATAAATGAAAGCCAAGGTATTGCACCTTGCATTACCAACTATTACGTAATAATATGACAAAGATTTATTTGACAAACACTGAACATACATTTTATGATTTTAAATGTGATTGAGGAAAATTTACAGCATTTCTATTTCATATAGCAACCGCGTTTTATTTGACCACTTGATATGTTTTAATGTAATGCGTTCTCGTGTAAGTTTTTTTAAATATGTCTTCCTTCTTCACAAAATGAACTACAACACTGGCGGAGCTACTGTCCTGTAAGTAAAATGAGCATTTTTAATGGAAAAAATGAAATGATTTTGAAAGTTTAATCTAAATTGAAATTTAGTACATCATTTTATACTTTATAAGATACATAATAACGCTGGTTCCGTTTGTGTTTCTGGTCACGTGTATCATGATTGCGTGTTGCTGGGACAAGTGTGGATGTAAAAAGAAAGCAGAGGCTGGACAGGGACCAGTAATCAATGTAAGATATCAAAAACACACTGATCAGAAAAATAGTTATAGATGAATAAATTGTGCATAATTAAACATCGTTATAAAGATTCCAGAAAATCTTCTTTGTAGGACAGACTTTATTTTGTAAGAGATGAAGTGAATGGATTATCAATATATGATCCGCCACAGTCCCCTACAATTGACCACAACTTTTGTTACCACGATCCACCTCCTCCTTATGACGAGGTCCAAGCTTTAAGTAAGGAAAACATACCCCACACAGCGTTCATTAATCCTTTAACTAACCAAGAGTGGGTGTCAGCGAGTTCTAGTGTACACTGGATATGATTTGATACCAAAACTGTCAAACAGATTATAGCAATACTATATTTACAGGTATTCATCAGGGATTGAGAAATATCTAGTGTATTTTATATAGGAAAATATGTGTCTATGTTTGTATTCTAATTACGCTTTTGTGAATTTTCAACTATTTTTCTGTTCAAAATGTTTCACTAGTAATACCAAGGGTATTTTCTAAAAATGATACACACTATAAAGCTCTTTTTTTGATACCTAATTGCTATGTTAAATCATGTTAAAATCAGTAGAAGGATCATTTGATCCAAAGTTCCTTGACAAAAGCTCCGTCCTCTCAAACTTTCAGTGGTGGAATCAGGCGCCTAGGAAGATTTAGCTCCCCCTGTAGAAGGCCGGTCACATACCCCTATGCATTAGGTAGACGAAGCATACCGTAGTGAACCTCAGTTTAAAACACAAAAGCTGAATAATTGAGATAAAACACCCTCCTACGATTTTTTTTCTTTATTTCATGATCTTGACAAGGAGCACACTGCGGGTGTGAGCAGTGGGCAGGGGATGCTCACTGCTCCATGCCACCTGATCCTACCTCTGATGTTTTGGAGGTCCATGTTTGCTCTGCTCTATTTTGTATTGCTGTTTGGACTTTGGAGCTTGAATACTGTTCGTATATATCTCTATATATGTCATGAAACAAGTTAGCCAATACTACGACGTAAAAATTATGTTTTATTTGCTTTCAAGGTTATTAAAACAACCATATATGTTACGAAAACTCAGTATTTAATTTTTAAGGATGTTAATGGCATTATTGCAGCATTAACATATTTGTCAATAGCCTGCTTTGGTTTATAAAATGATAATATTCGGAGACTGCTCTTTATCAAAAATCGATAAGTTGGGAGATGTAGACACCAGCAGCAGGTGATAGCGGGATATTACTTCATATATTTAATTCGTTTATCATACAACAATCATGCAATTTAAATGTTAGTTGGTCCTTTTTGTCTATAGTCATTATAAAATTCTAATCTATGTCTGGTAAAGTAATTCCTTTTGGGTATTTGCATGATTTGGATACCTGCCAAAACTGAATTAAAAACCACACAGACATATTTATATTGAGAAAAACCCTATATAGCTTAATATCCTTTTAAAAAGGGCTTCATTGTTCAGCAAATTGTAAGGAAGAAGTAATTGAAGGAAATGTAAATATTTTCCCTCGGTATTTTATAAGGAAACTTCCGTGAATTATGTTTTTTTTTCAACTTGAAAACAACACTTGTTGTTATGTAATTGGGAAAGTTAATTGTCAAAGTGATAAGAGTCTATTTATTAATCAGATGGAGAATAGTATTTCCCTTTGTTCACCTTATACCACTCTGTTTGGGTATAATTTTGCCATCATTCGATTTTGATATTTAAATATTTCCTGATAAACCTCATCATATATTGAATATATTATATATTCTCTCGTCATTAGAAAATATTTTCCTTGTTGCCAGAAAAAAATAATTACGAATCAGTCAAGGAAAGAATCTATCAAAATAGTTTCAAAACAATTTAAATGAACGAAAAGGCGCTTTTATCAAGGCTTCATTGTTATTTTTTTTTAGACTGATTATTCATTTCAAATCATGAGTATAATTATAGATATAAGTAAGAGTTTCACAGCATCTTTAAATAATTGATATTTAAAGAATATTTCATTTTATAATATTATTGGATAAATTATGATTTTCTGGTAATAAACAAATATATTTGCTTCTGACTCAATTTTCTTTTTGGTAGGTGCCACATTTTTTTTTCATATTTAAAATCCTTTCAGGAAAAAACATTTTCGGCATGATATATGTTAGTTTGCAACTTTTTCCAGTTTTATTAGATTCTGGTATAACAATAACTCACTTCGATACTTATACACCATTAAAAAGACTCATTTTGTTCAGAGACTATTATTTTTTTAAGAATGTGTCTTAAATGAATAAAACTTATTACTTTTAAAAAATTACTGGTGCTATAAAATCTTACCGCGATTATACGAGGGCTGTTCAATAAATAATGTCCTGAACTGTATGACATACAATACAGATATCATATGACATTAAGCTTGACTTTCTCTCATTATTGAATCTTTAAAGAATTTATAACAGTTTATTTGACCACTTTTTATCACATACATGTAGTTTTACTGTGAAAAGCTGGGAAACAAGGGTTATTCGAGACACCGCATTATAAATGAATGGTAAAGAATCAGTAAACTAGAGTGAAAATAAAAGCTTCATTAAAGCTTCTGTAAAACTTGTTAAAAATCTCAAAGAAATGTTCACTGAAATATGTGACATTTACAGCAACCAATGCCTGTTTTATAGGCAAATGAGCGGATGGATTTCATTGATAAATAAATATAAATTGGGCATAAAAAATGGGTAAGGTCCTTGCCAACAAAAATTATAACAACTTATGTACTGTTTGCCAAATTTCAACAAATAATATTTGATGATGTATGATTGACTTTATGACACATAGCAAATTTGATAGACATCATTTAGGGATTAGTTTACACTCTTTTTAAGAAACATTTGACGGTAAAAAAGCTTAGTACTCAAAGGTCACCCTATATTTTGAAAAATGAGTGAAAACGACAGCGTGTACGAATGTCTTAACAAATACTTTAAAATATCAGTAATTGTGATTATCCACGTTTGTTTGATATTCAAATTAAACAGATAATGGAACTTGAATCTATTACTAAAAACCCTCAAAACAAAATTTACTATAAGATGTACTTGATAAAAACAGCGAAGATCTCACAAGAGCATAGAATCGCAAGAGCACAAAGACAGATTTATATGCAATTTTCTTAAATATTAGTTGCATTGTTGTTCAAATTCGTATTCGGGGAGACAGTTTAATTTCTAGAGGAATCTAAAAAGCAAATTGTTTGCAAAAAAAATCGAAAGGTTTATTAGAGGAAGGACCCAGAATCAGGAATCTACTACATTAAATTTCTTCATGACAGCGTCCAAATTCGCACGCCCTGAAGAGTAAAGGGGTTTTCGGGATAAACAGAAAGTTAAGTTTTTTCACATTAACAATATTCGCCAGATCTTTGACCTTTTGACTTGTTTCTATTTCCAAACTTGAAAAAACACCTTTCAGAAGGAAGAAACAAGCCCAGGAAATCATTGGATCTGCCATTTTCCAGTATACTAAGGTCATACCCAAAAATGAGTTCTAAAAACAATCAGAAATTGGATAAAAAATGTTACGGACATGTGTTTTAATTAAAAGAAATTAAGAAGTTAAATCACGAAGACTAAATCATTGAAAAGCGTCTTTTGCTTCTTTCCGAGCACCGAGGACATTATTTATTGAACAGCCCTCGTATTTCTTTTCTCTTAAGTTATAAAGACATACTGAACATAAACCACAGATAAATACTACCTTTAAAACATGGTAAAATAAAACATGTTGGATTTCACATTTCTTGGCAATATGCCGATATAAATATTTTTTTCGTCTAAAAATATTATATTTGAAATTCTTGTATCAAATTTATACTGATACTTGACAAAAAGGGATTGATACGCTGATTGAAAGAAAAACGATGGTCGTGAAATTGACACCTGAATACATTTACCGTATTAATTTAATTTTCAAAGTTAAACTCACAGGTAGTTCAAGTAAATCGCATCCACAACATGTCTACATCGGTCGTTTTCTTAAAGAAAAAAAAGACTGAAAAAAGTTCGTGTAAATAACCTCTGATGTGTAGTACTTAATCATATATATTTTAATTTAATAAAAACAGAATGCTGCAGTCCAAATTAAATAAAAGCTTTACTGTTAGCGCTTTCAGCCATGTTGGCTTTTCAGACAGTTATAAAAAATTCAAAACGTTGTCAATTATGTTACAAATGACGTTGTGATAATTTTAGGCTAAAATTATCACGACGTCATTAGCAATTTTTATTTGATAATAAAATGTTGTAGAAATCAAGCAGAACAAAATTAAAATGTTTTCAATAATAATTTTCAGAATTGTAGTTATCTGCAAATGTCGAAATGAATTCCAATTTTTATGAATATTTTATAGGTGATAGAAAATTTGACTTAAGTCTAAGTTTGTTTCTTGATCATGGAGCCTGATCGGGATATAACTGACAAATCCGTCGTCTATTCAGTGTATAAATAATGAACTAACAATAAGTATGAAAAACGTCAGTCATCATTTGTCTCAATGAAAAATTGTATTTGCTGTCAAGGTCATCGACCATAAAACTTACGAAATGATGAATTTAAACGAGACAGCAGAAAATCTTGTTTTATTAACTTGTTTGTCAATAATTTACCTCCTTTTAGGAAATTGTACATACATAGAGCATGCTCGTACATATCAAATCAACTGAGATATATAAACCCCGTATGCAGATGATAAAGGTATATAGCTGTATTAGTAAGGGAAATAGACGATAAAAAAGTTAAAATAGAATATTTAAATATGAAACTAATGTGTCCGACTCTGTGGTATCTTTTATCTCAAGTTCACCAGGATATATCGTATCGACAAAAGAATGGAAATTTCCATTGTTAATTGGCAATACATCGTCGATATACACTAGACAAAATTGCTAACGCACCACCTAAGAGACTTAATATTTTACTTTTAAAAACTTGTTTATGATGCATTTGATATATAAATATGTTACTTTAACAAAAAATAAGGCATATAAATATCAAACCTTATAAACAACTACAATGTTTATTGGAGAGTGACCATTTATAGAAAAAAAATAAAATCATGACAACTCCATTTTTGAAGATTTAGAAAAAAGTAACACCTAATGAGGCGTTTGACGCTAGAAGAACGTGCAAAAGTAGACAGGTTTGCGTCTGCAGGGGGTTCCTTCAGAAAAATCTGTAAAAAATTTAAAAAAACAATAAAACGCTTATGAATTCCATGAATTGTTCCAAATAGATTAATAAACATAAAAATGTTTACAATAGATAATCACGGCATTAAGTTAGCAGCATACACTAAGTTGAAAATTGGTCCACAAAACTGGGTCAACCGGAAGTGGAGTGAATTTGGTATGGACACTAAGGTATCAGATGATTACTAGGAGATATGGGAGTCAATGACTGTTTGTTATTTGATTTTTAACAGGGGGATCCTCCTGTGGCTATCTCAAAGACCCCTTTAGAGATCAAGAATTTCATATCTGTGGAAAAAATGGTGCGCAGTGCACAGCTGGAAATTAGTTTTCGGACAAGAAGGTCATTCAAGGATTTTTCCATGATGCCAAGACATTTTTCAATCCCACTGCTTTTGAAATAATGGCATATCATGTACACTAGAACCGATCCGGCAAATGTTCAATTCACAAATAAAAATGAACAAGTAGTGAGTTAGCAATATTGTCTAGTGCATCTAAATGCCGAGTTGAAGACAACAGCAAGTGTTTTCTTCTTTTCACGCATAAGATTTTGCCCAAATTCTGCTTCATATGAATACAAAAATATGTTGTTGGTAACAATTGGTACTTATGGGAATTCCAGTAGATTGTTGGAAGACCTGGTCTCCAAAAACAACATAGATATTGTCAATCAGCAACTCTAAGCATCTTTCTGATGTCAACTTCAGAGTACTTGTGCGTACAATAAGAATGTTTTTTTAAAAAAATAATTTTGCAAATGACCGATGACAAGGTAAGTATTTTTTTATTGCAAAAGCACCTGTCAATGATATAAAAAAGCCTGGACTTTAATTCATCGTGGGGAATGGTTGTGTATAAAGTTGAAAAATAAAGTTTTTAAGCCCTTGATTTTTGTAAAATCTTGTGATTTTAAACTGTCCAAAAGTTTGTTGGAATTTTTAAGCATCCACATCTGATTTACACCACTTCTTGAATATATTGTTGCACTCTCACAATCGACTTAATTTTTAAGTATCTTGAGTTTTATTTTTCGTACATGTTCCACGTTTACATAATATTTACGTACAAACGCACTATAAAAGATTTCAATTTTTTTTTTCAAAATTATTTAGCTATATCAATTTGAAATTTTTACTTAAGTCGTTTTTCAGTTCATGATCTTAAAGGAACATTTGCATTGAAATATGTTTTGGTCCCACATGACAAAGTTTGTGACATCGTATACTTTGTTTGTAAGGTTTATTATTACAACTGCTTTAGAAAACTTTTTTCACATGAGGTTACCTAACCTATACTCTTCAAGAAAATACTCATAAACAGTTCAAACGAAAGATGTCAATTTGTCCAAAATATTTGTTACAGATAAAATGTCAAACGATGTCAGTTGTATCAAGTATTTTTTCTCGTTTCTTTTTTGTTTGGCAAAATTTAGTTTTTCCTGTTCATCGATGAAAAAACGTGCAAAAATCATAATATATTTCGTTTAAGTGAAACAATTTTTAATATGGAATCAGGTTTGACCCATGTAAAAATAATGTTGAAAATATAATAACTGATTTTTGAAATAGACAAAATATTGAAAACTGGGTTATTGAGTCATATTCTATGTAACAAAAAAAAAGCCACCTGGAAAACCGATCTCTACATTGAAGATTATTCATGCATGCAGCACTTCCTGGTGCATTGTGGCCACACTGTTACAAGGAGAAGGACATATCCCCTAATGTTAGTATAAACAAAAACCTTTCATTTCATCAACATTTTCAAAAAGACATATATTCCAAATCATTTGAAATTATTCCATTTTTTTCAGTGTTTCGATTTACATTTAAATCGAGGGAAAAAGGTTAAATTGTGTTCGAGAGGAGAAAAAACTGGAATGGAAGACTACATCTAGTAAGTACGCTTCTAAAGATAAACCGTGACTAGAAAATATCCCTTTTATCCTATTTAATGAATATCTCGACAGTCAGTTGAAAAGTCTGTTTATCATAAATTAAGATAATAAAAACTATTTAAATTATCTGTTCTGCAGTGGAATCGCAGTTGGAATCATTTTATTTAAGTTTTTGCTTTGGATGTGCATCTGTGTCATTCGCTCTAACAGAAGAGAACACCAGCGAACAACTCGCCGATATATTCTGGCAGTCCCAGGAAGAGGTCAGATTCTCCGCGTACCAAATACAAGACAGGCTCAAGATAATGTGAGTAATTAATCTAAAATATTGAGAAAAAGTTTATTTCTAAGGAATTTTTAAAGAAAATAAATCCACCATTTTATTCCTTTCCATTTAGGCTTTCTTTTAAAGAATAATGTTTTTTTTTTTTACACTTTGTTGTCGTGTTTTTTTTTTTTTTTTTTTTTTTTTTTTTTTTGGTAATATTTTATTTTGTCAAAATGGCCTACAGGAAAATATTTGTGTAATAATTTTTTTTCGATATACAAAGTTTTCATACTGACAAGTTTATACACATTTTAACTTTCAGGACAGGGCATCGATTGTGAAAAACGAGGAGATACCACAAACTCATTGTCCCCCCGGGATGCCTCCCCCATACACGTATGCAGATCTCCCTAACATCAATAGTGGACGACCGTCCAGAGTTGTCTGAGGACCATCTAATGTTAAAGACAGATAGACTCTTTATAAGCTTATAATTGCCTCTAAATATATACCTTTGATGATTGTTATAAATTTTTTGTCTTGGAGATTTAACATGGTTATTGTTGCTAAGAAACATGACTGATTTATATTTTAAAATTGTTTTCTAGAAAATTTCATTTTGGTTAATCATTAGTTTTGATGAAAATGTCTATCTTTTTTTTTGAAATACTGAATTACTCTAGATGAAAGATAAAAATGAAACGGAATCAAGTCAAGTTAAAGTATACACATATGTCATGAATTTTGAATGTGATAATTACATACAGGATGCTGTTAAATATATCAATTATTAGACTGTAGAATTGACAGAAAAAAGTGTTTTAAATTGGAATGGCTTATACTCTCATAAATGGCATTTTTTGTTGGGATCGTTATATTAATGGTGCCACTGTTTTTCATTAAGGCGCCTGATCCAACCTATGAAATTACCAAGAATGCATGTTTTTGCCCTCTTCACAAATTTATGCATTCAATCGATCGCTGATCGTTATCTGAACCTTTTAAGTTGCGCTTTATTCAAAACTTATTTTGGCAATGAATCATCACTTTGGCAAAACTACAAACTACTAAAAAGTGAGTGTCAAACTATTTATATTTCTAATATATTGAAAAAAGGTTTTGTGAATGTATTTAATGCCATTAATGTTATTCCATAGACCAGTGTGAGGATGCCTCTCCGTATTTCACCACTAAGAGGCATGTTAAGTAGGATGTGTACAACTTTTTGATGAATTACCGGGGGTATATTTCTAACATTTAAAAAAGGACTGTTTACGTGGAGAAATGATTTGAACATTGTTTCATGTCTTTAGTTTGTTAAAGTAATGACACACGCATTGTTATTTAACATAACTCACTCAAAATGCTTAACTTAAATGCTTAACTTAAGGACAGATGATACAAACATACTTTAATAAAAAAATTTTGAAAATAACAACTTGGGTCATGTTTTAATGAATAAAATGAATAGATTTCACCACGTAGTATTTAATTTTTTATTCGAAGTTGCACAAAAATGAAATTTGAAGTGAAAAATATTTGTATAGAATAATAAGTTGATTTCAGAAGAGTAGAATTTGAACGTCACAGAATTTTTACAATTTCTTTATATATCCTAGAAATTTATTATTTGCATCATTTGCAGTGAAATAAGGTAAAAACATATAAATTAATCCAGGCATCCATTTTTTGTTTGTTTGTATAATCTGCCCTTAAGATAAATATTTTCATAAAGTATTGTTTATGTGATTATCATTTTATAAAATTGAATTGATGGTGCAATTACTTTTTATTTAGTATGAAATGATTAACGTTCATTTAACTATTTACGAGGGTTGTTCGAAAAGTTCGTGGACGATGCCCATCTTCGTTATATTACTCACTGGAAATTCAAAACAAGCACATTATAATATGTAAAAATATTTATGTGTGAAGTTTCACATTTAACACAAATAAATTTACTTCATTTTTAACTGACAACAAGTTAGGACACAATTCCAAAAATCTTGAAATTTATTTTTTAATTTTCATAACTTAACTCTCTAAGCAACTATCATTTTCCCAGATGTTTTCAGTAAAACCGTTTCTTCACAGGTCATCCTCATCCGATACGGATGTCACTCAAATATTGCATGTACTATTTGTACATACGCACATAACGTGATTCCTTTAACATTTTTAGAGTTTACAGGATTCAACAGAATTGCTTCAGTACCTGCTGCTGTAAAACGTCATCATTTTGTCGTTTTCGATAAGGACAACTTATCTTCTCAAGTTGATTTCTTTTCAACAAAGCAAAATATAAAACCATCATTTGGTACACGTATCGATGTAACAATTTTTAATTTTAATTTCTAGGTAGTTTTACGTTTTTCCTCCAGTTTACAGAGAATATGACTATAGACATTATTTATTGTATTGTCTGTAACTGACATGCTTGATTTTTGCATTTTTAAAATCTGGATAAGTTTTGAATTAATCGTAATATGTTGTCAAAATTAATACATATCATTTGAATTTATTGTTAAAATATTTCACACACATAGCAGTTGTTTCGTACATTCTTTAACTGACAACAAGTTAGGACACAATTCCAAAAATCTAATTTCATAACTCTTATCATTTCCCAATCGGAGTTCCACGGATGACTCGTACCTCGCACATAACCTTAGACGTCAACGGTGATGTACCATCTTGCTGATTCAGTCATGTGATCTGATTTGAATTTCTTTCAAATGTCATACATTTGAAATCGAAGTTATTCTGTGGCACACACAACAGTTTTTTCTTGCTTTTAAAGCCTATTGACATGAGGATGTAATCAAAACTTGTTACCGATACAGAATTGCACAAATTAAGGAACATTTTCTAAAAACGTTATGCATAGTGAAATAAGAAATGAGTGATAAGGCAGTTTCCGGCGGAGAAATGTGAGAATCTGTTGCGTATTCCTCCACTAATCACATCCGAGGTTTGAATGGAGCGTAGCGGAGTCAGCCGAGGATTGCCGATGGATCATTTCCTCTTCTCCTAAACATGACAAGATAGGACACCAGGTTGGTGAATTAAAAGCATTTTGAACTAGTCTGCACACGGGGAAGAAAAAAGTGTGCATAGTTCAAGTTCTATTTACCTTCAAGGGTTGATTTCAAACGTAACATCTCACATTACGTTAAAGGCTAGGTTATAATCTAACCGGAAGTCTGATAAACACATAGATGACACAAAGATATTTGTTTTTTCACATCTTTTTTCCACGGGGAATTTCAAAAAAACATTTTATAGGTCAATCAGAAGAGTTATATTGTTCGATATTCATTTTTTTTTAAAAAAAGAAGGCTCATGTGCAGAAACTTTTTCATGAGCAGTAGATTTTATGTATTTTGCAAAATTTCCAATATTTCCCCCCCCCCTCCAAATATTTAAGGCCTCTTAAATAAAACTTCAAATATAGGAATCGACTTCCGAGTCCTCAAAATAAATTGTATGATTTTAAGATTATCAGTTTGACTTTAAGTTCTCTTTTGATTCTTTTCTATTCTCTTGTATTATTGAGATGACCTTTATCATGTAATAATAAATAATAACTAGGGCTAATTGTAACGGGAACCGTTACAGATGTTCCCCAAATGCTCCCCAACTCCCTTTTGGTGCCTTATTCCCGGTAAGCTTAATTAAATAAGAGAAACGCGATACATTTAAGACTTTAACAAAGTTTTACCAGAAGTATTCAATTTCAGCAAAATGCGCATTTGAATACATGTGCGTAATGACCATATCATTTTACACTATTGATATATTGTAATATACTAAATATTACAGCATTTAATCCAAAAATATGTTTAATCTAGTGTATTTGGAATTTTACTCATTTCACGTGCACGCACGTGCATGCATGTGCATGATGACCATTCCCTATTGTAGGAGTCTTTAATAACTATCTATGTTCTGAATCCCATCCTGTTTGGTTGAAAACCAAGGGAGTTATAGACATTTAAAGTTTCAGCCAATCAGATTGCAGCGCACGTGCATGCGCGTGATTTGATGAAAATTATTATATATCATATTGTAGGATATCCTAAAGCATGCCTATGTTTTAAATTCCAAAGCATTTCGTCAAAAAATAAAAAAAGATATTGATATTTTTGTTTCAGCCAATTAGAGCGAAGTGCATGTTCATGCACGTGCAAGTATGTTCATGATGATCATACCTTCTTCTAGGAGTCCATTATGTTTGTCTATGTTCTAAATCCCATCCTGTTTGGTTGAAAACAAGGGAGTTATAGCCATTTAAAGTTTAAGCCAATCAGATTGCAGTGCACGTGCATGCGCATGATTTGATGAAAATTCTTATGTACCATATTGTAGGATATCCCAAAGCATGCCTATGTTTTAAATTTCAAAGCATTTCGTCAAAAAACAGAGAAGATATTGAGATTTTTGTTTCAGCCAATCAGAGCAAAGTGCACGTGCATGCGCGTGAGTTCGTGCTAATTTGACAGTGTCACATTATCTACACTATTGATATATCTTTATATAATGAGTTTCAAATCATTTCATTAAAAAATGTAAAAGTTATAGCTATATTAAGTATATGAGTCATTTCACTCATATCACGCGCACGAATGCATGCGTATGCGCGCAAAATGACCTTCGTTCCGCACACCTACACTACACACCTATTAACCCTAAAAAGGTTTTAGCTTAGTTAGGTGAACAGTTTCTGAGAACACTCGCGGACAAAAAAGTACCGGATAACAAAGAAGAAAAAAATGAATAATAATAGTAATAGGAAGAAACCGAGTAAAAACAATATGTTCCCAAACTCCGTTTGGGGAACATAACTAGCAGAGATCTCGTTGCGAGCAACAAGTGGGTCTTCCGTCCGATTCTTGATGAGATGAGATAAGATTTTAATTGAGATTTTCATTCAAAAATAACGATGAAATTGTTAAGAAGAACGATTTTGAACATTAAAGACTTATAAATTCGACTTTTGTCCCCTTCTGACCCCTTATAATAGGGAGTGCACTTTTTTCTTCATATCATCTTAACGCTCTTAGGATTTTGAACACTTTTGGTACAATTACTATTCAGAAAACGTCTAGCAAAAAATGAAAGGCTGCATATTGTTCAGAACATTATTTTGAACATGTTTTGTTCAATGTTACGCACCAGAATATTCCCCACTTTCGAAATAAAAAGCTTTAGCATTCTGGCCCCTTGTGACCCCTATTTATGTGATAAAGTACATAAAAGTTGTTACATATATTTGTATATTGCTGAGATAAACATTTTTGCTTCAGAATGTATAACAAAATATGAACTGTTAAAAAGTTATCGTTTAAAGAATTTTAGCCCTTTTTGACCCCTAATTTGAGTGCCCAGACCCTTTTTCTTGATTTTACCTGAAAGCTCTTAGGATTTTAAACATATTTTGTGTCTATTCAGATTTTCTTTTTCGTTTTCGAGATATTTGCAAAAGAAATATTTAGGGGCCAACCCTTCAACTCCTTAATAGGGACGTTTAGCAAAAAATGAAAGGTTTCATATTGTTAAAAACTTTATTTTGAACTACTTTTGTTCAATATTACTTATCAAAATATTTCCGACTTTCGGGATATAAAGCGTCAAAGATTAAGCATTCTGGCCCCTTGTGGCCTGTACTTATGTAACATATGATATAAAAATCATAAGATATCGTTGTATATTGTTGAGATAAACATTTTTGTTTAATGTATAACAGACAGTTAAAACGTTTTTTAAATTTAATTTTCAGTTATATTATATTACTGTAACAGGAAATCCAAGTATATTGCATGTCTACATCGTTCGTCCGTCATATATAAGAAGATTCAAAAATGTTTATTACCTCTGATATATACCCGGTAGTACTTAACCATATATGTTCTTTATTTTATTACACAAAAATTCAAAATACATATGTACATTTTTTTTGCTTTGTTAGAGCTTACTAGCCCGACAGTGGTTTTTTTTGAGTCCATCTATAAACACAAACATCCACTTTTTAGTTCGACGATGTTTACAGCGTCATTTTCCTTTGGGAACTATCTTGATACCAGCACATTCAAAACATAACCACACAAAGGGGCAGTCCTCATTGTCACAACCAGTGACTTTGTCAGAGTCTCCGTCATACTCCTTCTAGCAAACACAAATAATTTCCCTTCTTTGATGCTATACCCAATGTTGTTTGCTGGTGTTGCAGCACTCACCACATGCCCCTATAGAAGTCTAAATTATATAGTAAAGCAGCTTTTTAAAAACCTCCCCATATTGGTAATCTCATCACACAGAGTGTAACTCCTATTAACTCTTTCGACTAACATGTCTTCATTAGTCCAAACAACATAGTCACAGAATTCTTTCCCTGTCACAAGCAACTTGAACTGGTACTAGTAATTGTGATGGCCAGAATTAATTACCTCATACAATATGTATCCTATTGGCAATTTA